AATCGGGAGGATAGCGGAACGAATTTGTTTTAAACAACACGGCTTCTGAATGCTGAGCGCTGTGACGTTCTTTGAGAACATGGCAGTGTGGATAGATGGCAGGATTACTCTTTGAGATAAGTATCTTCTAGAGTCCATATCTGATGGTAATTTCAACGATGACGACAGAAGCTTAGATCAAGGGTACTGAGTCGCCACAGGGAAACATGAACATTGAAGGGTAGGCTGGTTTGGGCAGGTTTTGGCTTGGTAAGCAATAAAAGCAAAGAGGCTGTCGATTTGGCATGATCTAGAGTGGGTTCTTATGGATAAACGCTATGCTGACCCGCCTTTCAGAGACGTACGCTCCTAACGAGAGGCGGATAAATTCATCCGGGAAATCCCGAGTCAATTATAACAGGGACCAATCGGGCCGGCCGTTCGTCAACTCTGTCCCGTGCACCACCGTCATTCGCAGGCTATTGTTTATAAGCTGCCTCGCCTAGGATGCTTACGGGACCGGTCACTCCTAGTAAGTATATCTGCAGTTCAGCGATCTGGTAATTGTTCTCATAACGTCTCGCTTTCATGCCAAGCATTCAGCCTCGAAGACATGACTATGTCATCTTACAAACGACTCTGCTTTACTGGATAAAGCCCCTCATTTCATTCTTGACTTCTCCCGCCATAATGGTGTGCGTGCTATTTAACTGCCCGGTATAAGTCCTGCCGGATGCATGAATAACTGTTACCAGGTCAACGCTACATCAGCTATACTTGATCTCTCCGCTTTTCGCCGTACATCTTGCACTCGCATACACTCCGTCGGAGAAAACCTCACTCCTGAAAGAATATCTTGCGCCATGAGAAATCCGAAAACACCAAACTTCCTGGGACCCTGCGACGAGATTTCTTGTCTTTATTCGGAGTTCATTCATGCCTTCTAATATTTCCGGATTTCTCGTCCGGTCTGTCACACCCTCTTCTCATTCACATTCGATTCTCACGAACGACGCGTCATGCCTGCCTGAACTTTATCATGTCCGCAGTCCTCCCCATCATCACGGCATTGTACTTGATTCACAGTCTTTCTATGATCTACCTTGGGAAGTCCTTCTCACCCGACCGGAATCGATGAGTTCCTGGTCCCGGTCATGCGAAATAACTCTGATTCGGGTTAGTCTATTGATGATTGATGGAAGACCGTACGTATAGCTTGTCGACGCCTTACCCTTTCATTGTATCCGCAAGAGCTTTGTTTTTGTTCACTACGCGTAACTGTTACCGTTCGACGATAGCTTCTCTGTATTCCTCCCGCCTATCAGATCTTGTCCATCTTGTGTTGTTATCCTATTCGTCAGCGAATCCCTCGGAACTATAATCTCAGTCGTGCATTAAGATTAGCCGTCGATCCTGATACATGCTTTTCTTTCCTGAGGAAGAGCGGCAGCGTATCCTTCGGGGCTCCTTAGTGGTGTATCTGTGTTACACTCCTTTTTACTTGGGGAAGAAATGCATCTACGGAGTGCGGAAAATACAGAAGGATCAATGGATTAGTATGCCTTGCGAAGCTGGGAACAAAGAACTACAGAGCTCGCCTTGGACCTCTCTTGCTAGAAGTCGAACCCAGCTTTCGCACGAAGTTCCCCTACATGCCAAAATGTTCTTCTCTTCCTCGAATTGAACAATCCTCATAGGCTCGTTCCCGTCCCTTCTACCTTCGCGTGGGTAGTTTCAGCATCAGCAGAGTGTCCCAAGTCTACAAGTCGCCATCGGGGGATATCCTTGTTCTTCATCGTCTTTGAACTTTCCTTAATGGGTACTAGAATGATGTACTCTATATGACGGTTCTTCTGTCTCGGTTTCTCTTGTGGATCCACTTGCGCGCTTTCTCACCTTCGTACTCCGCGAAACTAGTCGGACTTTCTTTCCTTCTCCTGGCAACCGTTCATCGAATTGCGCGTTCCTGGTCGCTCCGGCGCTCTTTGGTTTTAGACGCTTGGATCCTCCTGTGAAAGACTTAGTTATAGCATGATAGTACTGATTTATCTCTCCCTGACACATATCGAAAGTACTAGGATCGCAGGCGAGCCCGCGGCCTCGAATTCACTGAGTCGAGAAGTAATATGATACCTGAGCATATTCAACGAGAATTGCGTCATACTCTCTCGTATCCCCTTTGGCTAGGCTTGAACTCGTGTTGCCCAACCCTGTGCCTCTCCTTTGATAACCGCGCGCCCATCCCGCATGGGTTAAAACCTAACGCATGGGTCAGTCGAGTCTATTCTCCTCATTTGATATCGCCGGTTGGGTCCTTATACTTCACTCTATAGTGACCATGGTGGCGACTTTAGACAGTGCCTTGTCACTTAATGGCTTGGGGATCTACACCGAGGTATCACCGTACTACGATCCTTGATCATTGTCTCAGCGACTTGTCGATGAATTCTGGAATCCTCATCATCAACACGAACGTCTGCAACTGTTTATAGATAACATTGTATCTCCTGCAACTCTCGTCTCCGTTGCAACGCCTCACTTTGAACTACTGTTTTACAACACGGTCTTCATCCTCCCGGGGATTTCACAGCCAACCCATTCTGATCTCTCGCTGTTCTCCATTTTCCTTCATGCGAAAGTTAATTCATAGTTTGATAGTACGACAAACGCGTGTCCTAACCAATAAACTACTAGAGATCCCTCAATTTGAAGAGACCGAGAAATACTGCGAATGAAAAAACTGCATAGTACGAGGTTGGTGTTTAACTTTAAGTAAAGTATGGGTTACTACAGAAGCTCCTGAAGATTCGGAAATGAGCAACTTGATGGCTGTTTGATGCTGGTTTTTCAGTGTGAACGTGGGAAAGTTTACAAGTCATTCGGGTGTGATTCGCATGGATCACCGGTCCGACTGCTACCACGCGCGATTCAATCTTAAAGCACGATCCTCGTTCTCTCTGATTTCGCTCTTATTTATTTCCTCGACACTTATATCTGGTATACACAGAACTTGATAGACGATCGGTTAGTCGGTGGGATCTCATTGACCTCAGTCTGAGCAGTTGTTGTCTTTTCTGAGTTTCCGGCACACCAAGATCTGGGAAGAAACCTCCTTGTGGCCGGCAGGTCCTGTGTCACTCTTTTCCAATTCTCGCACTTTATCTTGTTCCTCGAACTCTATCTTTCTGTTTCCGCCGCTTCTCACTCCAAGCGTTATTCATACTCGCCACACGGAATTTTCAGTCCTAGTTTTGGCAAATACCCGTCTACTACTCGCTCGACTGTCCAACTAAATCCTCCTTGTGCCCCTCACATATATCTTTCTGTAATAAGCCTTGTCCGGATGTACTAACCATTCTCTCCGAAACAATCGAGATCCCAGCACCGTGTGGGATCGAGCCATAAAATTCAACGAAACCTGGATCAAGAGCACGCAAATCTCGGTCCCGTGTGGACACCGGAAGATATTTCTCTAAGTACCAAGTTGTTTCTCTCCCCATTCGCATCGCTTCTAGCATCGTTGTTTTAATATCTAGTCTTTGAACTTGCCTTAACAGTGTTAATGAATAATTGTGGAACGATAGACTCGAAATTAAAGTTCTTCCGCTCAAGGCTTCTCTCGCAGATTTGCCCGCACACTTTCTTACGTTCGCATTACCTTCCGACTCGTTCCTTGGTACAGATCCCCCGCCACCTTTTCTCCTGAAAATATGAGTCTCGAGTCTACTTCTCTTTGCTTTAGGTATTTCGATACTTCCGCACGGACTCTACTCCGATGTAGCTATTGTACTGGCGTATCTCTCCAAAGTCTACACGTCTACTCCCGTGAAATGAAAACTGAAAGAATTCTCCAGTGCTACATAGTTCGACGATTTATGGTGAAAAGTTTCAACACCATGCTCTTATGTCTCCCAATCACCTGATTCGAATTCATGTCCTGTTATCCTATCCATACCACCTCTGATAACCGACTGCCCAAAACACATGCTCGAAAAATCTTACAACACATGTGTCACGGTCGAGCCTATTCTCTTCTGATTTCAATTCCACCGATCGGACTCTTGGACTTTGTTCTTTCCTGGGTATGGCGGCCGTAATGTCTATTCATCTTCGTCGTCGCGTTCTATTGACTTCAATTGGGTTTTACTTACACAGAGATATTGCAGCCCTTGGCCCATTGATTATCATCCTCGTGCGTTGAACCTTATCATCCCTTCAAAAATCCTCGCCATCAACCACGAGTTAAGTCACGAAATCCGCAACCGCGTATAGATAACATTATATTCACCCCCACTCACATATCTATCGCATAGCCCTGCATTCAACTAGCGTTTCACACTCGGTCCTTCATCCCCAACTGGTATCTTGCAACCCCTACATTTTCTGATCCCTCGCTGATCTCCGGTCGCGCAAAAGAAGTTCGTACTTCGTCTCGATCATAGTGATCACTGATCGTTGATTTAGGACCCTCTCGTCCATCCTTTCGGCTCCCAGTACACCCTTATCCGTTCTCTTGTTAGTTATTCTACATCCATTCCTCGTCACCTACTTGTTCACTCTCCGCATCATCTCTACACTGAAATGTTCCCTCAGAAAAGCGTTAAGATTAACAGGTGATCTGAAAAGTTTTCGTCGAGGAAACTTACCTGTCATGTGACAGGTAGTTGAGCAGAACAATTCAGTACTATTACATCCATATTTCAACTTAGATAGTATATTTACAGATGAGTGGTCTTTACGACTGAATGACCCTGCATTACATCAAGAAAATGTACAAAAACACGAAGACAAAGGTTTTGTAAAAATTCGGCAACTGCGGCGCGTTAGTCATGTGATAATACACGTGGGAAGGTAAGTAACGGTAACTTACCGTAGCAAAACCACCCCCTTGGGAAGGGGCCGGTAACAAACGGTTACTTTAACCCCCTGGAGGTTTCGTGTACAACCCTACTTTCAAGTCTTACGGTCCTTTAATCATTCATTCATTATGGAGTGAAAAAGAATTTCTAATAATGGCCAAACTCTCTGGCTGGGAGTCGAACCCAGCTTTCGCGCGTACCCAGCTATTTTCACAGTGTAATGACAGGCGCGTGTACTAACCGATATACTACCAGAGATTACGCGTGGTGCTTTGTGGGCCATCAAGGCCAAATCGCACAAGGAGTCTTCAATTTACCTGCCTTTCCGTCTTAATACCTTCCCTACAACTCAGTAGCTATGCTCGTTGTTAACGGTATTGCGAAGACTTTCTCGTAACATTGTCAAGTCAACACTCGAAGTCGTCTTTTGATCAGATAATGACAGACTTGGCTTAAGTTCTTTTCTATTCTATGTACTCCTCCGACGTTGCGCTCTTCTTAAGTATCGGCGACAGTTGGACATGTACATGTCTGTTGCTAGAACCTTAAGTTGCTTGGATCACGTAACAACCGCAGTCGCTCTCGTTCTCGTTCTTGGGTCACTGTTCCCCCGCGGTTACTTAAGTACTACTTTAACATTACGGCTACTAGTACGCAGGGCTGGAATGATGAATCCCTCTCGTGATTCTTCTGTTTGAAGTGCTAGACATGTATTTGGCCCTCAATCTCATACTTTTGTTCCCCTTGCTCCTTCTCTCTCCTTAGGCTTCCATCTCACCGCAAAACTATCTTCCTCCCAACGATCGACGCCCGATGCCTCCATGGGAGCAAAAAAAAAAAGTGATCGACTCCGATCGATAAGAACTTGAAGCCGATCTTCCCTCGTCCGCGTCATGGTCCCTCCAAACCCTCAACCCAGAGCTCGTTCGTTAATTAAGACTGACGCAGGGACCCTGCATATGGGAGAATGCGGCGTCCGGGAAGATGGACTCTTCTCCCACGTGAAGTGTCATTTCTTTCTTTCTCACGTGTTGAGATGTCGACTCTACTTCTTTCGTCCTCGAGGATGATATTTCCGAGTGGGTGTTTCTGTGGACGACGAGCGGTCGGTATTACTCCATGCCCAGCGGATGTGACTCGTAATCCTTCGTTGCCTCCTCAGTTCAGTGATATCAAAAGGACTCAGGCTCGAGCGCAGGCTCGGGCCAGTATCAGAAAAACCCGAGTTGTCCGACGGGCCCACCGAATCGTTGTTGTTATATATCAAAAAATTTCTCTTTGCCCGAGAATGAGTTGTCAGTGGTAAGCTAACTAAAATTAAAAATGATCAACTTCAATTTTGCGGGTTCGACTGGTTCTGTTCTAACTCCCCCGACCGAAGTGTTAATGTTAAGTCTTTTAGGGAGCAAATGCCTCGTGAGGGACTGAAGAATAGCCGAAGTCGTCCGGAGCATCGAGTGAGAATCCTCTGACTGATAGACTCGCCCACTCTCACTGTCTGTTACTCGTCAATCCGGCATCTCCGAATTATTCTGGACAGTGATAATCAGAAAAGACCCGGGGTCGAGATAGAATCAGAACCTGAGTTTGTTCTTGCTGAGGCTTGTATATTGTGAGTCCCTTGCTAATAATACGTCAAGACTAAACTGTTCGTAGATTGTGATTTTTCTCACCTTGGCAAGGGGAGCAATTTATTTCCGAGTGTATTTAGGGACGGATCGAAGGGAGGGCTTGATGAACAGTTACACTGGAGTTAGCGCCCTTCCACACCTCGTAGCCGGTGTCGTCGGGGGGCTTCTTCAGCGGATGCGAATCCTCACAACGCCACGCAATGACTCATAGCTTCATATCGACTCGCCTTACCTCTGTTAAGTATGCCATAATAGCGAGATACTCCACCCGCCAATCCGATATCTCCGAAGTTTTTTTCTAGACATTGATATCAGAATATTTACATCCGGTGAGTGGTTCCCCTTACCCAGACTTGAACTCGTCCGTCCATACTTATCAGTAGTACCCGGTAACTTGATATCTTTCCCTGGCTCCCCATGTTCTGGCCGCTACATACATCAATGAAAGTACACTTTTCGCGCGAGAGCCAAAAAGACCCGCGTTTGCGCCACCCATGAAATTGTCTGATCTGGGTCCGTGCGTAGAGGGTGTATCGTATCATTCATCTGACCTCTTAACCAAAGGGGGGACAAGAAGCTGCAATTTATTCGAAGCCGTGAGGTGATAACTCCGGCGGTGGAAGGCGGGATTAATAAATTTTTTGATTTTCCGTCGTGCTACTAGGTGGATCGCGGGACGAGTTCATTCTCAGAGAGTTCAAAGTACTGTTGTTTTGGCTTTCAATGGCATAGGTAGACGAGGCCGCCACCTCGTATCACGCGGCCTGGATGATTTACATACTCATTCACATCAGCGTTTGATAAAGTTCTCGGACACACGGGGGAGTTGGATTAGTTGAAAAAAGGACAACGCCACGGGATTTGATTCGAGGGTGGGCATGAGGTGAATTGAAATTGGTAATGATGGATGGGGATTAGTCGGAATTTTGAGTTAGGCGCTGCGTCCTCTCCATTCATGGCTAGCTAGCTCGAGGCAGTATCTATGATCGTTAATTTTGGTTCCGCGGAAGTATATCGTAGGGGAAGGGACGAAGGGACAAAGTACAAAGGACGAGTCCAGACAAGAGATAGGGAAGAGAATACAAGGGAAAAAAAAGACGATTACGTTTTACATAATTCTCATCAGGGCCGGATATCCGATACCACGTTCACGGGCCCTTTCTTAATCGCAGCGTTCGCATTCAAATCCGAGATCTAATCATTCCTACCTCCCCCCCACTTTACCCTCTTCACCAGCGACACCCTCCCTCCGACTTGCGATGCCTAAAACACTCTCCGGCGACATGGGCACTCAGATCGTCTGGACCCTGCCCTCCTCTCCCTCTTCACATCCTCATTCACCCGCCCAGTCCCCTCGCCACAGTAAAAAGAAACCCCCGACGCATATCCCGCGCCCGCCCAACGCCTTCATTCTCTTCCGCTCGTCTTTTATCAAATCGCAGCATGTCTCTACCGATGTCGAAACGAACCACTCGACCTTGTCCAAGATCATCGGGATGACATGGCAGGGACTCCCGGAGGGCGAGAGGCAGGTATGGCACGACAAGGCGCGTGCGGCGCTCGACGAGCACAGGCGGCGGTTCCCTGGATATGCGTTCCGGCCCGGTAAAGAAGGCGGAGAGACTAGAAACAAAGGACGGAGGAAGGTACGGGAGGTTGAACCAAAGGATACGAAGAGGTGCGCCAAGATTGCGGAGTTGCTTGTGGAAGGATTGAAGGGCGCGCAGCTGGACGAGGCGATCAAGGAGTTTGACAAGACGCACGTCCCCGAGATTATCACGCGATTCGAGGCGCCGATTACGGAGAGTGCATTTAGGCAGGAAAAGGGCAAGGAGGAGAGGCGGAGAAAGACGTCTTCCGTGGTATGTTTTCCGTGTTTTGTTTTCTGGCAGAATTTTCTGACGGTTGGCGTAGAAACGCGAGCGTTCGACTCCCCCTCCTCCCCCTCCTCTCGTTCTTGAGCCGGCTGCACCTATCGTGCCTTCTGAGCCTGAAGCACCGGTCGTAGATCTCGACACGGTATTCCTCAACTCGCTCTGCACCGATGTACCGTACTATCCCGAGTCTCCCAATTCGTACGACTGCTTCTCTCCCGGCTCCCAGTCCGACTTTTCTTCCTTCCTCTACCCTTCTCCCGCCGAAACCTATCCTTACGACTACACCCCCTGCACTTCTCCCATCGAGTACGGTTCCCCGGCTTCCTTCTTCCCGGAGCCCAGTCCCGTAGCAGTCGATAACACCATCGACTACTATCTCTCGACAAATCTCCCGAACGAGTATCTCACCGACCTTATGGATTTTAGTTTCCCGCAACCCGGAATTGCACAATGGGAAGGCTTCTCGCTGGCGTAGAGTTCTTTATCATTATTATTCATTCTTTCATTGTAAGGTATGCCCCAAGCGGAACCAGGGACACCAAGTGGCGTCCGGCATCGTGTTTATGGGCGTGTAGAGGCGGGGTCTCCAAAATGGCACCCTCCCGCTACTGCTGATAGCAAGCCGACTTCTACGTGGTGTTAAGGAATCTGCTTGAGGCATACCTTACATATACTTCCTTGTCCTTTCCCTCCCCCCTCATTCCCCTATCCCTGTCATTTATTCCTACTTTCTTGGTTATTTCTATCCCCTCATTGTAACACACACGGAGAGACTCTGTGTTGTACCGGATGTTCATGTATTTAGTACAAGAGACGATTCACGAACGACCGAATGAAAATAAATTGAAATTAAAAAAAGAATTCATTCATATTGCGGGAGTAGGGCGTGTATCTAAGGGTTACCCGGTGTGAATATGTATGTACGAAGAGGATTTGGAATTTGGAAATGGGGGTCACGATGTGGCGTTGGGGGACCCATATCGTTAGGTCGAGAGGGCCAACTCTATTCCACTTCCATGTCTGCATCAGAAATGAAAACGAATGATTCTCCCAGGCAGCGAGAGAATTCACGACAGACAATGGCATAGTGACTGGCGGTGGCGAATGTACTTGTCATGGCCACACAAAAAAAAAAAGAATCACCCGAGGTGATAGTGAGCAAACTGATCGATGTTGATTAATGGTGACGACATGATAATTCGACGGGGCCAAGGGCATGTCGGCATCGGGAATAGTGTGAGCGGGTTATGACATCGGTCGGCCACACAACTATGACCTCGGACTCGAAGACGGACTCAACGAGGGATTAGAGAATACGACATAGTAGCCAAGACTCAGAAAACTGGGGCAAAGGGCTATGAGAACCTATGATACTAGCTAGGAAAGGACGTCGTCACCGGGAAGTAATCAAGGGTTGATCGAGTCACTCACGGCAGACAGGGACGTCGGTGGCCACACAATAAGAAAGAAGCACCTGCCTGGCGGGACCGTCATCGGTAAGCGAGCGGGAGTGTCGGAGAAAAGGTTACACATAATAGAGATCACCTACAAGTGACCCGTCCACTGATCTTCTATGCTTGAAGTTTTTCAGACACAAGCCAAGAGGAGGGGAGAGAGCACGGACGCGAAAGCTTCCGCGGATCATCGCAAATTTGAACTTAACATTCGAGTTCGACTTCCCCAATAAAAAAATATATTGAAAACACGAGTAGTTAATATTCCCCGAAGATTCCACGTAATTAAAAGTGAGGACGGACGTGGAAATTTCTCTCCCACCGACATGAGGCGAGGCGGGAAGTCGCACCGGGAAGATAATTAATGGGCGGAAGGGGACGGTGGACGGTGATACTTCGGTATGAGTACAGCCAGAGGTCGAGGCTCAGGGTGGCGGTGGCTGTGAACACAGAGCAAAGTACAAGGGGGACCCGACCGCCGGTCGGTATTAAGTTATGTAAATCAGAAGAGAATAGACTCGACTGAGCCCTCCAGACCCATGTGCTAACAAGGATTCATGTGCGTTGAACGGAGCGGCTATCAAAAGGAGGCACACAGGTATCGCAGCCTGGTGATTGGCAGGAGACGTTTTGTGGTGGGTGGTAGGTAGTCTTCTCACCGAAATTGGGACTGCACTGCGGAGTCAGTTTCTTTTTCGCGCGAGCAGGTGGGTGGGTGAGCAGATGGGTGGGTGATAGATTACTTGGTGTTACTTTTGGAGCGGAGTTTTTTTCCGGAGGGGTCGAAGTGCCTACAAGAGTACAGGCACGAAGGCGACTCGAGAGACCGGTTGCCAGGAGAAAAAGATTGGGTGGTATCTGCACCATAGGACGAGTTGGAGTTGGAAGCGTGAGTGGATCCACGACGGGACGGAAATAAGCTCCACCGGAGCTTAAAGAACATAACGTTTAAGGAAGGTTCAAAGGCTAGAGGATATTAAAACAAGGATCTTGACTGGGGAGGCGAAGAATCTTTTCGGTGTCGACGTAGGACCGAGAGGTGTGTGCTACCCAACTCAATCGTGGACCTCGTGTAGGATTTTAGCTTGCACACGTTGTTTCCATCGATCGGGTGTGATCCTCGATCGGTATGGGAAGAATGGCTAGTTGGTAGGGGGTGTGTGGGATGGAGTAATAGACTGGCCGATAATGATGATTCGCTGGCTATAGAATGAAGAGGATCTGTGCTACGAATTGGAAGGTCGCGAGTCATAGAGATTTCTCTATCGTGAATTACAAGGGAGCAATTAATAAGTATGTCCTCCGGGAGTGTGCTGTATAGCTAGGGAGAGGCATGATGAGTACGAGCTAGCGAGATTGAAAAGAGAGAACGAAGAACGAGGTGCATCCTCAGAGTACCAGCCAAGAAGTAGTTTGACCAGACTGTTGGCAGATCCTCGGGAATGTCACTGAGAAAGAATAAGCTACGAAGGATACATTGAGCCCGGGAACGGCGCATGTGCGATAAAGCTTTGCATACACATGAGAACTTGCGTGAATTAAACAAGGAGTGACCATAAACGAACGACATCGACTCCCCATCATCATTGGAATTTTGCTTTCCAGATCTAGGCATCCGACGAACCAGGAAATGAATCAAGTAATGGGATAAGTTCGATGTCAATGTTGACTCAATAAGATTTAATCATTCATCATCGGTAGTACCGACTTGCGAGAACAGAAAGCAGAAGAGGGACGTGGGACTCCACTGATCACAGGTCAAGGTACGTGCGGTACAAGTCGCATTAAGTAGCGAGGGAAGAAATACGAGCCATAATGGAAAAGAGTAATGAGCGCTCACCATGTTTGAATTGCGCCTGGGTCTGGATGGTGGCGAGTTCCGGTCCGCTTGATCCGTCTAGCATGACGTTGTTTCCTACGCTCACGGTGACGTTGAGAAAGTCATGCGCCATTAACAGTCGCCTGGTATTCCTCTCAGCTCTATCTTTCTCGCATTCTACTTGTTGCTTAATGCGAATCTTCCTGCAGTAATTGGATAGTTACTTGATAACCGAGGTACTTCGTACTTGATATTCCATTCGCGATGTTTCTTCATGAATTCCTATGCCTTTCTCCTTAGTAGTCTCCGGTGGTGACGTACTGGTAGTACGCGGGTGCTATCCAAATTTTGGTCTTTTTGTGCATGATAGCTTGAGTCGACTTCCAGCTACATTTCTACCAGCTGGACGCAATTCTCATTTCGTGGCTGGCTAGTCAAACTACTGACTTTGACAACCCCGGCCCGGCGGTTTTCTGTAATTTTCCTCTTTCATCTAATGTTGTTTCAACATACCATTAGCATGTACGCCAATTTTGGGATTCGGGAAGCGGGAGTTGGATCAGGTTTGTCGTCGCCAACACCTACGCTACAGTGGACAGATCTGTAGTTCAGACAGTATGCCAACAATGAATTCGAAATACGATAGTGAAATGTGACGTCATGCACTCTATTTCAAAGCATCTGTTGTAAAGTGCAAAAAAGATTTCTCAAACAACTGATGTTACCAAGCAGGTTCGAACTGCTTTGACCTCTTATACCCCCTGGACTAGGTAGCGGTAGGAATACTTGTTGAGCTCATTATTATTAACGTCCCCTTGTTTTCTAAGACCAGGACCTCTCAGAATTCGAATTCAGTATAATAATCAATTCAATCCAAGACGATATCACCGTCAGCTCGGACACACTCACCGAATACGATGAGAAATAGGGGGCGAAGTGATACTAAGGAATATGACTTAGCGGTACTTTGAAATGGCAGAACGTCGATGAGAGGTAATGATCACGATCATCGTCTAGAGATCATCTAAAGCAGTGCTATCGCTGTACTTTTCTACGCGGCCGGGAAAATGAGACCGGCGAGGGATAAAAATATGGCGGTGATGTTGCGGATTTCAAGTGGAAGATGGAGGACCTACGGCGAAACACGAGGTCAATACTTAGCGAATACGAGAATGGCGGTGAATACAGCCTTGATACAACCAGGATATAATGTTAACTATAAAGGGTGGTGAGCATCCGTGCAATCGACACTATAACTGTGACTCGTGTTGATGGGGAAGTACGGGTGCAAGATAAAGTTCGAGCAAGCATGACGCATTTCGATCTTGTACATCGTGGGAGACGCACGTGGTAAAATTTAATTCATGAAAATTGAACGTGAACAAGGAGAGGTATGAAAAACAGTCTGGACTAGAAGAGCGGGGACAGTAGAAGAGCAGAGGAGAAGTTGTATTTTCCAGGAGAAGTAAACTCCACCGTCAGGCGAAGGAATTCAAATTTACGTGCCTTCACGATTTACGTTGCGCGTCTGGGCAACAAGGGGCTCTGGGAAAGCGACGCAATTGGAGTAATGTTTCCTCCGACTTCTCATGTACAGATACATCTGCATATCCAAGTAGGACCGGGGAGATGCATTCAGGGATATCATTCGAATGGCACTCACCATCAAAGCTATTGATTAAGTGACCGTTGAACATTGATTGTCAAGTAAAGTTCAATGTTGGCTTGGTAGCAGCGTTATCCTATACGGAACAATTCAGTAAGGATGAGAAGATCTGCTTAAAAAGAGAACGAGGAAAATGAAGGACCAACGGTTGGAAGACAGTTTCATATTAGACGGAGTACCGGACAGCTGGCGATAATAAATCCGAAAAGATGCTGGATTGCGCGCCCTTCATGACAGGAAAAGCCAAGAATGCATCGCTTTGGCTAGAGGTGAAATAAATCAGGTGAATAATACGATGCACCCTCTATCTACCCGCACGGCCCCAGATCGGAATATCACTAACCAGAAAAATTCGGAGATACCGGATTGATGAGTGGAGCACCCATACCTGACACAGGCTAGCCGTATGAGGTTACCGTAGCGGAAGGATTCTCACTTGATTTTGATCTGCTTAAGAAGGCCACGAAAGGGTATAATTCTCGAGTCCCTCACTAAACAATCGAAACATGCCCAAGGTCAGTGCATGTCTCCGAAAAACGTCGCATTTCGTGGAAGTTAGAGCTCGAACACCTAAAATTGTAGTCATTTTCAATTTTAGTCAGCCAGCTCATTCTCAGGTTTCCCGCGGCAGAGAGGAAATTTCTGATATATAAGAATTTGTTCCCGTCGGACAACTCGGGTTTTCTGACATTAGCTCGAGCCTGGGTCCTTTTGATATCACTGCCTGGAGATGCAACAAGAGCGCCTGAAGCAGGGATTCACATCCGCTGAATATCGAATATTAATCGACCGCTCGTCACCCATAGAGAACTCGCTCGGTAATATCATCCTCGAGGATGAAAGAAGTGTCGACGTCTCAACACGTGAGAAAGAATGACTTCCCACGTGGTAGAACTCGAAGGAAGGAGAGTCCATCTTCCCGGCCGCCGCACTCTCCCATACGTAGGGTCACATCAGACTCAATTAACAACTCTGGGTTCAGGGTTTGAAAAGACTTACTTTGCTCCATGACGAGGGAGGAAAAGTTGATTCGGGAGCCGGAAGATCAGTCCCAAATCAATCCCGTTTAGATCGATCGCCGATTACTTTTCTTTTACTCCCATGGAGGCATCGGGGACGGGATCCTCTATCGTTCGAAGGAGGAGAATGGTTTTTGCGATGAGATGGAAGCCCAAGGAGAGAGGAAAGCAAATGTATGATATCGAGGGCCAAATAGACGTCCAGCAGTTCAAGGAGAAGAATCGCTAGCCGTGAAGAGGAGCCAAGTAGTCGTAGCCATAACGTTAAAGGGGTAGGTAAGCGCGGGGTGAATCAATGACCCAAGAACGAGAGTGACTATGGGAGTTAGAGTCCGAGTTACGTGATGCAAACAACTTAAGATTCTAGCAACAGACATGTACAGCTGTCGCTGATAAGAAGAGCGCAACGTCGGAGGCGTACATAGAATAGAAAAGAAAAGCCAAGTCTGTCATCTGATCGAAAGACTGGGACGGAAAGAGTTCGACTTCAGTGTCACGGTTGACTTGACAATGTTACGAGATCCTAAAGAAGAGTCGTAGCAACACAGTTAATAGCTATCCTAACGACGAGAATAGCTGGGAATCACACCGGGAAGATGGACATTTGTGACAAACCTAAATATTGAGCACAAATGTAATGTTTTAGGAGCATCGTTTGGGAATCAGCAAACTTCGTATTTTGGAGGATCTAAAACCCATGCCGCCCGCCAGAGATAATTTCCGGGAAGACGCAAATTTTATGTAAAGTCACTGCCAAGATCGACCTCCCAAAACGTCACCTTATTGTGCACATTCTGGTTTCCCTCAAATTCTCATCTGTCCGGTGTGAATAGCTAATGAGTGGGAAGTGGCCAGGATCGTGGCGTAGAGGAGCGAAAAGGCAAGCAAATTGAAGACTGCATAATTGTATGTCGTGCGATTTCGTCTTGATAGGAAACAAAGTACTGATTTGAATTCTCTGGTAGTATATCGGTTAGTACACGCGCCTGTCATCGGGTGGTACAGTTATTTACCGGTCATTGGAACGCCGAAAAATATTTTTTGTCCCATCCACCACACATCGTCTTTTTCCTCAAATAAAGTAGCCACAAAATTTTTAATATTACTCAGTGATGTCAATACAAAGTATGAACTGAATCAAAGCATCTAGTATTGAGATATTCTTAATTTACGGTGTTTCATTGACTGGTAAATGACCACGTGGTAAACCCCTGCCAAATTTGCATCACTGTTCGATTTTTCACTGGGTCAGCAGTAGCGCTAAAATTCCCAAAAAATCACTAAAAATCCATAACATCTATGTCTCCGATTATACAACACTGTCAGGCAGCGGAACTGGGGAGAAGGAGGCTAAATCAACTGTTTCAGTGACTGATGGTGTTGCAATGACCTGTCAATAACTGTATATTGAATCCGCACGAAAGCTAGGTTCGACTCCCAGCAAGAGAGATACTCTAAACGCTATTTCTGTAAGTGTTTTAAAGTTTTGCCTAAATCATGTTTCAAGCCCCTTCTGACTCAACCGATTCGTTCTCACACTTCTCGTGTGTTGAAGAAAAGCACACCTTGGTTCAATGCCGCTCTTATCGTTGCACTGTGGGAGTAATTCAGAGACGGACGGTAGGGAAGTGCGATAAGATTAGCAAGCGGAATATATCCAGCATCGTCACCAATAACTTAACAAGCATCTAGCAGCCTCTCGAAAGCAAACAAGAGAATACTGGGATCCTAATGGCCGGACAAGGCGGTCCTTCATCAATAATGAGGATGTATTCCTGTAAAGCTTTGTTCGCACAATGATCAGCGAGAGATCAGAGAATACAGTGGATTGCGACATAGCAGTTGGGAGTGATGAAGGTCCGGTTGTGAAACATCAGTTGAATGCAAGGCCTTGCGATAGAGATTTGATTGGCCAGTGGGAGCAAATACAAAGTGTTCTATATAGGTTCGCAACATGAAATCCTTGAAGATAATTATGATAAAGTCCGACCACCGCGGCGATAATTAAAGGTCGGTGATACTCCGGTGTAGGTAGAGCCGATTGAAATCACAAAAACACAGTCAAAGTGGCGGTGAACCCACGCTTCGGCCAAAAGTACGAAAGCCCGACCGGCGGTATCAAATGAAAGCTGATCCATGCATATGTACTGGACTTTTGAACCATGGGGGTTGGGCGGGAGGATCATGAACATGAATACGAGCCTAGCCAAAGGCGCTGTTCTCAATTACTCGAGGGACAAGAACGTGACACTGATTCCCATTAAATTAAATGACTTCGAGTATTGAATTCGCGTGGTAGATCTCAACATCATTATAAATCAATATATACCTTCAACCGCCGAAGTTTGAGAAACTCCGGAGCCCTGGGAGAAAGCTCGCTGTTTTCATGACAGGACTAGACATTCCGCCCGGACCTGGATTGCCGAATACACCAGTGTGATAAATTGTGGGGTCTTTTGCGGAGGGATCGAAATGCCTAAAGAGCGAACTGTGTATAAAAGGCACGGAAATACCAAGGAAGGATAGAAGGGAACTCCAGAGACCGGTTTCCAGGAGAAGATATAACGCGGGAACTGTACAGTGGAAGAGCAGGAAGACAAGGGCCGGCGGATGTAAGAAAGCGCGCAAGTGAATCTATGAGAGAAGCCTTGGGACATTCAATTAACACTGTTAAGGAAAGTTCAAAGGACCGAGTTATTAAAACAAGGACCCCCATGAATAACGCGAAGTAGACAACAGAAACCGGTGCTAAGCACAGCCTCTCTACGTGGGTACCGATTATAGGTGCTCTCGAATCCAAGCGTCACGTTGAATCTTCTTTAAACTAGAAGAGGAACCAAGTGACAAACTTCGTCAAGTCGTTATTGCTTCCACGGATAAATCAGAGTGAGATGCTCGATCGTTTTAGTTGAGAGTGTGAAATAGGATCCGTAGATAAATTGTATGGTTGAATGAAGATCCCAGTGTTGAAAAGGGGAGGGGTGTGCAGGGGGGAAACGAGGCAATGCAAAATTTAGCTAGTCTCCACGGGTTAAGTCGTCGTTGAGTGAACTTGGATCGAAGCAGTACAAGGGTGACTCACAATCAGGAATTGAAATTTTTCCTTACCAGGACTTGGTACATTGGACGATGAACCGGCCATTGATGATGAGCTCGGAGTGGATTAAAGCTATCTGTCTTGATCGATCCCAGCGGCTTCGTCCTTATCGATCGATCATTTTGCTCATCGGTATCGGGGGGTCGATCGTTCTGGTGTTGAGAGGTGAAAACGAACCTGTCCTGACATGGAAGAAGAGGATGGTATGTTGTGCAGGAGATTAACAGAGCGGATCAGTTGTAGAGGCAGGGAGACTCACGAAGCATTGATATTTGTTCAAGACTCGACAGCTTAGTATTGTATAAAATAAAGGTAATATCTGGTAGTATATCGGTTAGTACACGCACCTATCATAAGGTTCTGATGTCTTAGTACGCGCAAAAGCTGGGTTCGACTCCCAGCCAGAGAGTAGTATAGGGATGAGAAGGTCATTTTTTGTTTCCTTGTTCGTCCAGCTCTGTAAAGTTTAAACAGATATTACTGCTTAACAGGACATGAGCACGAAAGAACAGTTAACATGGAAAGGATTCTATATCTCATAGGCCGAGGAGAAGCTTGCATGCAGGGTTGGTCGCTGATATCGAGAAAGCGAAACGATACTTATGGTCAAGAAGACGAACTAAGTGGTAGCTGTGAACAAGGGAATGCAAGTAGAGTAAAAGTCTTCCCGGTACATTCAAGGAATAGATTGTTAATGAGAGGCATACGTACATTGTTAGTCTCAATAATCAGTAATCATGGTCGAGAGGAAGGGGTCAGTCGCACTTCTCTTTTGCACGACCGGGGAAAAGGTTGCCGGTGATGGAATGGGATATGGCGGTGAGGGCTTCCGATTGCAGATGACAGAGTTGTTGGTCAACGGTTAGTAGATGTGAGAATGGAGGTAAATACAATGTTGGCTATAACAAGTGTTGGGAACCGGTTCGTGTTAGTAAAAGAACACGGACGAGATAAAGTTTGAGCAAGTGTGATTTTGTACGTCGTGGGATGGGCGCGTGTAGGAAGTGAATGAAAGACTACTAGAATAGCGGGAACTTGATATTAGAAGAAGAATAGAACAGAGGTAGTTCTGGTTTCCAGGAGAAGTTGATTCGTTCTCGTGGCGAAGGAGATGGAATTTAAATTGTCTGTTGGAGCGGAAGGAGAAGGGTTATTTCCTCGGAATTCTCATGTAGAGGTACATCTAGATATCAAAAAACTCAATCTGAATTATGGTTCGAGTGACCCACTTGAATGTTAAGTATAGCCTGTCGATGCTGACTTGGTAACAGTGTTTCTAAATGCTATACAAGACAATTCAGCGGTGTGAGAAGATCTGCTTCGAACGAGAACAAGGACCAACATTTCATGGGTCGTCGGGCGTCAAATTGAGCAGGTAGCAACGAGGGACCCGAAAATGTATCAGAACGCGCAGGAAAAGCCAAGAATACAACCCGGAGACTGCTGCAATGATCAATGAAGCCCAGTAATGACCGTTGTGATGTATCCATATCCAAAGATGAGACGGAATTTCCGTGAACCCGAGAACTCATAAAGCAATAGGAGGAGCAAGATCTTCGCCTAAAGATGATGGCAGAGAGAGAACGAGTAAATCTTTGAAATCATGTACTTAAGGGATTCGGCAAGACCATGAAGAGCGCGTTGAAGTACAAGGGAAGATTTACTGATTACCGATTCGATCCAGTATGCCGACTGATTTTCTTTGACATCGTCTCTTGGGAATGTAGGTTCCTGCGATAGCTTGAAACCAAAACTCGGGTTCTGGATCAAACTAGAACCAGTAATACTCCAACAGTCGATTCTCCTGTGGAGATAACCTGAGCGCCCGTCATACCCCTGAAATTGGCAGCATAAGATCAAGGACAGTATCTCGTCCTATCTTATCTCGAGTCTCCCATGTCCACAAAAACTTGAATGATACGAATCTCTCCGTTCTAGACCCTTGGTTTGCCATTTGGTTGTACCTACATGTCCAGGAACATTATTTCCTTCGATACAACATCCCAGGTGGTCAACAATCTTGTATCGAAAATATAATTCGCGGTTGCAAGGTACGCATGGTTCGCGACGCGAAGACGCGTCTTCTCCTTAATTAAGTCACGTGGGAACCAATCGCCCGTTGCCGCAATTGATTTACTCAGGTCCAGGGTCCAGCTTGACGACCGACCATCAAGTTAGCACTGCTCGTCCCCAGCCCACAGGCTGTCGCTCATCCCATGGCCTCCAAGTCTCTCCGTCCCGGAAGGGTAGGCCGACAACGAAAAAGCGCCCTCGCAATCAATACCCATCTAGGATCCTACGACCGCACGGACCCATTTCGCGCGTTCAGCGTCCTCGCGGGTCTCCTAGGATCTTTGGCTTCGCGTTTGGGAGGGTGCCAGTTCAAACTCACGCCGGAAGAGCATAAGCTCTGGCTTCACCTCCTCACGATCGTGGAGCTCTACATTGGTGGTGCCCTCGAGCGAGCGGACGCTCATCAAGCGTCAGCCTACGGAGATCCTGGATGCTATCGTTTTTCATGTAGATGATAAGCGTGATTTTGTGGCTCTAGCAGTGTCGTGTCGGCGGATGCATGGGGTTGTGGTCCCGAGGCATTTGGATTATCGCGTTGTGCGATGCAAGGTCAGCTCGATCAGCGTGTGGAATCACTTGATTGTGAATCGGTCTTTGGCGAGGAACATGTTTTAGTTGAGAGTATGAAATAGAAATAGGATTTGTGGATTCGTTGTATGGTTGAATAATGTTGGGATTTGGCAATCCGGCATCATGCCGAAGTCGCTTATTAAGGTAGAAGTCTTAGGAAAAGCGTGGAAAGTTCTAGTAAAAGTACATTTAGTATAAAAGTATGTACTGTAGCATAGATCCTCATGTGTTTGCAGAGCTCAGCCAAGCGCAATACTATTGGCTTGCTACCGTGCATGTGACACTGGGAACGAACCGATACCCTGTTTTCCAACAAATAAAAATCTCAGTACTGAGCGATAGGAGAAAGGGGAAGGATACATAGAAGAAATAGAGGCACGCGAAATTGAGCTAGGCATCAGACTCCCAGAGTCATCAAGTGAACTTGGTTCGATCGAAGCAGTACAAGTACAATCTGGAATTGGAATTTTGCCTTGGCACGTTGGACGATGAACTGACTATTGATGCATCGATGAGTGGATTAAACTTATCTGGTTCCATCAATCCCAGTGACTTCGTTCTTATCAATTGATCGTTCTGCTTCCATAGAGGGATGGGGGGTCGATCGGTAAGTGTTGTGAGGTCCAGGAGAGGGAAAAGGATCCTGTTGTGACATTGAGGAACCATATGGTAGGTGTACAAGAGTTCGACAGAGCGGACCAGCTGTAGACTTGGAGAAAGGCAGGGAAATGTGCGAAGCCATTGATATTCGTTCAAGACTCGGACAGTCCGATTAGTGGCATCCTTAAACTACAATATGAATCTCTGGTAGTATATCGGTTAGTACACGCGCCTGTCATGTATATTTCTAGAAGATCATGCGCGCGAAAGCTGGGTTCGACTCCCAGCCAGAGAGTACGCTCCACATCTGGACAAGCAGATTATTTTTTGTTTCTTTTGCTTTACTGCACAATCACTGTTCGCAGAGCATGAAAGCACACTCATACGACTCTCCAGGAATATGGAGAGAGATTCTTCTATATCTCATGCACGTCGCGTTTCTTATTGCATGCAGGGATTGGTCGCTAATATCGAGAAAGCGAAACCGGACTAATAGCAGCTGTTGGGAACAAAGGTCTTACCTGTACAGAGGTGTGTCAACTAAGAAGCCGTTGGTTGCACCGGTGGGTACTTTAAGTTCTTATTTTTGCACGACCGGAAGGAGAGTCAGCACAATCGAAGCCCTATTTCCTCGGATTTCTCATGTACAGTTACATCTAGATATTCATTCAGGACTGGGATGATCTTAGAAGGAGTCCTTTTGGTGATGCGAGGGTATGAATTAATGAATGCTTACCATCTGAACTCAATCTTCGAGTGACTGACTTAATAATAAATGTCAAGTATAGGTCAGTGTTGACTTGGTAACAGCGTTTCAGTGGATTGAGAAGATCTGCTTGGAACGAGAACAAGGACCGGGACATAGAATTGAGCAGGTAGCGATGAGGGACCTGAGAATATACCAGAACGCGCACAAGAAAGCAAATCCGGAGGCTGGAATGATCAAGGAAACTTAAAATCGTATTGCAACGATCGTATCCATTCCAAAGATGAGATGGACTTTTAGTGAATCCGAAAATCACAAAGCAATAGGAGAGCGACAATGCACAATAGAGTTGGAAGCTGTTCGCCCCCCAAGGAGGATAGCCGAGAGAATGAAACCATGCAAGGGGTTTGACGAGAGCCGGTTGTCAGGAAATTGGACTTCGGAGAACGCGTTTAAGTACAAGGGAAGGTTCACGATCCGGAGTCCCATGACCTCAATTTAATAATGTTTTTCTTTGACATCGCCTCTTGGGAACACAAGTTGCTACCTGTAACTATTTGGAACAAGAACCCATGCCTTCGATCAAGCTGGAATCAACACTTCATTCTTCTGTGGCAATAAGCTGAGCTTGATCTAAGCTGATTTTAGACTTTCAATTTCAAGTTTCTTCGTTACCATTGTTTCCCTAAAGATTTTGTTCTCGATCCTAGGCTGTGTTGCATTACATATCCGTCTCAACAGGGGGTTCGATGGGCGCTCAGCGCTCAGATATTTATCTTATCTTGAGCCTCCTGTATCCATACGACCTTTTTTAACTGGCGATACGAATCTTTCCATTCTAGACTCCTAGTTCAGCCCAGGAACGTTATTCCCTGGACAATTTCTTCAAGATAGAACTACAGACGGCCAACGATCTTATGTTGGAAATGTATTGACTCTTTGATTCTAGGTACGCGACGCGAAGACACGTCTTGTCCTTAATTAAGTCACGTGGGAACCAATCGCCCGTTGCCGCGGTCCAGGGTCCAGCTTGACGACCGACCATCAAGCTAGCACTGCTCGTCCCAATCCTGCCGCTCACTCCAAGTCTCTCCATCCTGGAAGAGGGGGCTGACAACGAAAAACCGCCCTCACAGTCGATACCCTGGACCCATTTCGCGCGTTCAGCATCCTCGCGTGTCAGTACAAGCTCACGCTGGAAGAGCACGAGCTCTCGCTTCATCTCCTCACAATAGGTCGGAGGCGTAACATAGAATAGAAAAGAAAAAGCCAAGTCTGTCATTTGATCGGACGGAAAGAGTTCGACTTCAACTTGACAATGTTACGAGATCTTAAAGCAGAGTCATCGTAATACAGTTAATGGCGATCTTAGCAACGAGAATAGGGAGGAGGAGTGAAAAGGCAAGTCTTGCGTAATTGTATGTAGTCTTGATGAGAAACAAAGTACAAATTTTAACTCTCTGGTGGTATATTGGTTAGTGTATGCACCTATCCATGCGAAAGCTGGGTTCGACTCCCAGTCAGAGAGATAGCTTCGGCTAATTATTAGCTTTTTGCTTTCAATATTACTGCTTAACAGGACAATCATTGATCTCGGAGCATGAGACTCAAGGAACATGGAGAAGGGATCGTTCTACATCCCATGCGCGTCGTGTCAAAATTGGTCGCCAAGAATAGGGAATGCGAGTAGAGTAATGGTCACGGAAGGAGTTGTCTTTTTTTAAATTTTCACGGCCGGGAAAATGATGCCGGCGAGGAATTATATGGCGGGTTGAAGATAAAAGGAGGGATGATAGATGAGAAGATAGAGTTCGAGCGTGGGATGGGCACGTGTAAGAAAAGACTGGACCTGGATTTTAGAAGCAGAGGAGGTTGTTAGTTGAAGTGGCTTGGAGATGGAATTTACCGAGAGGAGAGCAGCGCGAGTTCCCCTTGTTAGAGATACTTACATCTATTCAGGAATACTGATAGAATCCTTTCACGTAAGTTTGAGTGACCCGTTATAAATGTGGACTTGGCGACAATCTACAAGGACCGGGCGTCGAATTGAGCAGACAAGTATACCAACACGCTTGTGGGACAAGAATAAGTACAACACAGAGCTAATCCGGAAACTGCACTCGGAATATTGGTCAAACTAGTAATACGGCCCCTCTCATATGAACTAATAGTTGAACGAATGTCCTATGGCGATAAAAACTCTCCTTGATCTAAGTTGTCTTTGGAACTTTCAATTTCTCAGGTATCTTATCTTCAGGTTCCTGTATCCGTAAGACTTGTTTACTGTAACTGGTGATACGAATCTCACCGTTCTAGACTCCTAGTTTGGTGCCCAGGAACATTGATACCTCAATGAACAAGAAGACAGACAGTCAATGATCTTAGTAGTATGTCGGAAATGTATTTGACTCTTCGATTCGCGGTTGCATGGTTCGCGACGTGAAGACGCGTCTTCTCCTTAATTAAGTCACGTGGGAACTAAATCGCCCGTTGCCGCGATTGATTTGCTCAGGTCCAGGGTCCAGCTTGACGACCGACCATCAAGCGGTGCTCAAGCGCTCACTAGCACTAGCACTGCTCGTCCCAATCATCCCATGGCCTCCAAGTCACCCCGTCCCGGAAGGGTGGGCCGACAACGAAAAACCGCCCTCGCAGTCGATACCCATTTAGGATCCTACGACCGCACGGACCCATTCCGCGCGTTCAGCGTCCTCGCGGGCCTCCTGGGGTCATTGGCCTCGCGTCTGGGAGGGTGCCAGTACAAGCTCACGCCGGAAGAGCATAAGCTCTCGCTTCACCTCCTCACGATCGTGGAGCCCTACATCGGCTGTGGTGCTTCGAGCGAGCGGACGCTCATCACGCGTCAGCCTACAGAGATCTTGGATGCTATCGTGTTCCATATAGACGATAAGCGCGATTTGGTGGCTCTGGCTGTGTCGTGTCGGCGGATGCATGGGGTTGTGGTGCCGAGGCATTTGGACTATCGCGTGGTGCGATGCAAAGTCAGCTCGATCAGCGTGTGGAATCACTTGATCGTCAACCGATCCTTGGCGAGGAACGTGAGGAGGCTGGAGATCTTGGATGAGAGGGCTTCGGGGGAGGCTGTGAGAATCCCGGGGGGTGTTGTGGGTACGGATACGGATTTGGAGTCAACGGATGACGAGCTGGGGATGCATGAGAAGCAGGAGAGGTTTCTTGTTAGCGCGTTGGCGAGGATGAGTGCGCTGAGGTCGTTTGTGTGGTCCTGCAATCATTCTCCGATCTCTATCGATAATGTTTGGCCTACTTTGTTGAAGTGCCAGACGTTATCGGAGGTTGAGATTAACGATAATATGATCTTCGGGCCGACATCGGATTCGGGCGAAGATAGTCGGGCGGCTCGGTCTCTCGTCGTGGGTCCCTCAGTCTGTATTACTGCATTTTTATCTGATCCTCATTATCTTTAGCTTCCGTCAGTCAAAACCGCGTCGTTCCAATCCACGAAGCACATCTATGGCTCGTGCCAAAATCCAGAGCTGGGTCGTATCAAAGACATGCTCAACTATTGCCCTAATCTCGAGGTAAATACACCCCACTGCTACAGTACGACCTCTACTAACGTGATCCAGGACCTCAACATATCCTACGCCCGCCCCCGCCCCCCATTCGCAGCCTACATACCCGCAGACGAACTCTTCCTATACGGCCGCTGGCCCAGCCTCACCACACTAACACTCACCAACCTCCGCGGAGCCAGCGACGCCGCGTCCACATTCCTCTCCTCCCACCCCAGCTTGGAGGTCCTCAACCTCGACATCACGCCCATCACTCTATACCCCAACTCCCTCCCGCGCCTCCGGGAACTCACCGCGCACAAGGACGTCGTCACCGCGATCCTGGAGTGTGGTCCCCATCCGCTGGAGACGATCAAGGGCGTACGGCTCTCTGGTCCGTGCGATGCTTTCCTTTCGAGCCTCAAGCGCTTTGGGGGGTCCGTGAAGAGGGTGGAACTCGAGGGGTGGAGCGATATGGACGATATCCGGAGACTTGTCGAGAGCGCGCCGACGCTCTCGTGGCTCGATACGGGGAAGAAACTGAGTGGGGGGCAGAACTCGGGGGGTGTGGTAGAGTGGGCGAACGTGCTGGCGGGGCTGACGGAGCTGGTGGCGTTCCATGGGGTCAAGTTCTTTTACGAAGCTTCTGCTTTAGTCTCGGCGACTTCTATGGCGGACCGTAGTCGGTTCCGCAAGAACGACGAAATAGCGAGTTTGTTGGCGTGGAAGTGTGGGAAGCTGAGGAGGGTGGATCATTGGGAGGATGGGAGTGGGAAGGTTGTGGTTCTTGTGAGGGAGAGGGATGGGGTCAAGTGGGAGGTGAGGAGGGTGAGGCAGTAGGGTGGCGGTGGAAATTGGAAGGGCGGACAGGACTTTTGGTTTTGCTCTCATGCTGGGTTATCTGGTATGCGTATTTTTGATTATCTATATTATCTCGGGGGAGTCGATCAACAGAGAACGATCGTGTCGTGGTTTCCATTTCAAAGTCGTGTGTTTTGCGTATGACATACTAGTGCGAGTGAGTGGCAAGGATTAGTACTAGCAAATACTTGTGCAATACTTATATAAGCTAGCCATTGATAATCAGCTCATAGAACTATGAGTTTCGAAAATGCAAGGTTGTCTCTGTCGTATTTATTCCCAAGTCCAGGCCTGGGGCATCACGCAACATCTCTTCTAGCCAGCCTACTAGAAATCACCACGCTTGCGTCCTCTCCTTAACTCGACAAACCTGGCATCTTATAAAACGAAACTCAAATACTACGTGCTGGTATAGCTAAAGGTCTAGCCCGTTACATAGGCAATCCTGCACATTCAGAGATATTAGATTCGATACAGCGTCCAGACCTACGCATCTCTCCCCAATCCCTTACTCTCCACAACTGATCCAGATACCAGCGATTTATACTTTCCCCCTGCGCGTGCATAGGAGAAATGAGCCTCCTTCAAATAACCCTAGGCCTAGGAACATTGGACAGCTACTCGCCTTTCATCTTTGCTCCACCCACGAACAGGTATCCGAGTGGTGCTCGTCGAGGGATCGGTATAGTGAGGGAAAGTACCGTTGTAATTTTGGGAATCGACTTCCTCCTCCTCCTCCTGGTAAACGCACACTAAAACGGCTCGTCTCTTGTCATACTTTTCAACGGCAAAGGAATGCTTCCCACCGTCTCACGCATCCTAATGGCGGACTTGAGACTGAGGAATTCATGTTAGGACTCGCGGTACATTTGGGTAAAATTCACGATTCGGAGCCATCCAATTGATATCCCGTAAATGCAAATAAAATCTGCAGTAAATATATTAACATGAAAGATAAGTTATCAGCAAAGACCATCCGTAACGCCCTAATAGATGTCTGGGTGCCGATCATCATACCTACAGCAGCGAACGATGACCTGTCGGACATGGCAACCTATCGTTCCGCGCCGCCGCGCCATGGCCATGTGTTCTCCGCAGAGGTATTTTTACAAAACAATGGATTCCGATGTCGATACTCGCGTGCCCGGAGACGAAAAAATGCCATGGGACAACCTGCGACGCTTGTAAAACGATTTGTCTCAGGGATCGGCCCGAGTCCAACGCCCCCATGAAGAAAGCCGAGATATCCTGGGCTTCGCACGACGAAGATCTGTTTCGCTGTCGACCAGGGACTCAATGGACCGAAAGCCGTGTCAGTTGCCAACTGGAAGGACGGAAGGCATGAGGAACGAGGACTTGAAGGAAGCGATTTGGATGGAGAAGGGTGAAAGGTCTACGCGGTGACGTCATGTATGTGCACTCGTATTGAGACGTGCAGCATAGTGGTCGAGGCTAACATTAAACGCACGACGGTGCTTCCCAGTATTCGAAGTAGCAATAGAACAGCATAATACAGGCATGAGGATATCAGGGAATTGCCCTCCTGACGGCAAGAATTCAGTCTAAACTCGAAGAGTCGTAACCTGTAAGAGAACATACTTTATGATAGCTCCTGCTAACTGGCACTCCACACCTATTCTTGAACAATAGGCTTGATTTACGCATAGTGCACGAGAACGAGGAAAACCTTCAGGCATGCATGGGAAGAAAGGGCCGTTCCTAGCAACCATCTCTACCGGTTAGCCAACTCACGCGGCCATTCACACCACCATAGCTTCCGTCCTAAAAACTGCGCTGGGCCTCTCGTCGGAGAACAGCAGCCATCCGAAAGAAACAAGATGTCGGCCATCAGGGAACGAGACGGAATTGTGCTGCTTCCACTAACCACCGTACAGCGCGCTTGCTGTATGGGTGGATTCTGTGTTCGAATATGTTAACACACCAGACTTGCTGACGTTGCAAGAAAGCCGAGCGCAACGTCGACTGCGAGCACTACATCCTGCTACTGCAACACAGATGCCTGCCACTTCTACAATGAACATCAGAATAACTGAGAATCATGACCAGCGGAGATGCACGTACATCACGGAGCTCTTCCTATGCTCAATTTTGCTAGAGCCGATACCTGCACCCGAGAAGGTCAAGAAGACACAGACGGGTGCTACGGTTCGTGGGTACGAGATGCGCTTGCCGCCTCGTCTGGGCTATCTCCTTTGAACACGTTACGCGTAACGGTCCGCTAACAACCAGACTTCTCGCTGTAACACGTATGAATCGTAGCAAGGTTGAGGGATCTTACGTGTAGAGAGCCAGCGCGTTAGGCAGGAGGGTCAGAATTCTCTTTGCAGTGAGACAGTAGTGATGCAAAGGGTGATCAGACGGGACGAGGTCGTCGATGAAACGAACTGATCAGTTGTGCATGTGATGGCGGAGAATCATGCGAGGCGGTATAAGTCCGCCGGCGGCGGTGGCCTGTGATGATCGATGAAGGGAAAGGCCTAGGAGTAGGCACGTCCGCAATGAAGAACCTCAATCTTCCATCATCGACGCTGCAGACACCGAGAGGCAGACATTAAACGCATAAAAGTACTTCAAAGTACTTTGGGTAGCCATTCTTGGCAATCAGACTGCAGGATTTCATATGAATCAGCTTCCTGATAGGAAAGAGTCAGTTCAAAGTCGAAGAATCATAACGCGTAGGAGAACCTACCCCTCGGCTGACCGGCAGTTCTTGCCACTCCGCACCCATCAGCGACAACGCTGAAAATGGCACGTCAACAGCAGACTTGGTCTGCATGCACGAAAGTCCACGAGCGTGGGGAGCCCATCAAGAATGAATGTAGCATGGGAAGAATAACCCAGTAGATAGGAAACACTGTGGGAATCCCTGCTGGCAATAACTGGTAGCCAACTAGCGAGTCCATAAAATTGCGAAAATTTGCATATATGCGCTGTGGCCCTGGCGACCACTCATCCGGAGAACGGCAGCTATCCGAAAGAGACAAGTTGTCGGCCATCGGAAAACGAGACGGAATTGCGCTGCATCCTACTACCTTTTGGCAAGAGGCGCTGTATCGTTCGCTCGCTCGCCGTATGGTGGATTCTGCGGTCGTATACGTTAACACACCAAACTATCTGACACTGCAAGAAAGCCAGGCGCAACGTCGACTGCAGTCAAAATGCCAGCGGCACCACCTGCTACAACACCGAAGCCTGCCGCTTCTACAACGAAGCCGGCAGGCTACAGTGGACATTAGACCAATTGAAAGCCACGACAAGGGAGATGTCCACGTACATCACTGAGCTCTTCCTATGCTCAACTTTGCTAACGCCTATACTGGCATCCAAGGCCCAGACGATGCGGCACGCTGCGCTTTGTGGATACGAGATGTGTTCACCGCCTCATCTCATCTGGGATATCTCCTTTCGGCACGAGCGACATCGTGTACGCGCGTATGGTCTGCCAACAACCAGGCTTCTCCCCGCCACAAGGTCGAGGAAGTATGGGTATGCCACGTATAGAGGGCTAGTGCGGTAGGCAAGAGAGTCGGAATCTCTTTGCAGTGAGAAGGCAGTGATGCAAGGGCTCTGTGACTGATGAGTGTAGGAAGCACTGTTCTCTGCACAGACTACCCTCCTCCTTTCTGACGTTAGAAGTAGGGAAGGCGTTGTCGCAGCATGAATCTTCGATAGCTAGGTGGGGCATTGTCGCAATGTCTTGATTAGAGAGATCGGCGACTTGTGTACAGGCCGCTGACCAGTGTTCGTTGTAGAATTGTTAGAAGTCGAGAGAAGCCCAGAGGGTTTGTAGTTAGGCGGTGGGAGATTCGGGAAGTGACAAGGACGTAGGAGCTGTGTCCATAGCTACCTTCAGTTAAATATCAGATCCAGCGGAAAGGACATACGCACGATTTATGATGATCCTCTATTGGCCTAGCCCCGTACACAACTTATGCGCAGTAGAACCGTGATCACTGTTTCTCGTTATCAACTACGAGCTGCACTGTGAGAAAAGCCATACCTCGGTGACAGGAAATCTGTTCTTTGACCGTAGCTCGCCGACTCGCCATAATGTAAAGGCACTCGATTCACGAAGCCTGGTGGGTGCCAGTCGTGATGAACGTGAGGCGGTGGTGGCGCTTGCGTTCGTTGTGATTCCAGGGCAGGGCCATCTGTTCCATGATGAGCAAAAGTTCAACGGGAGCAAAGTTAGAGCTCGACGTACCTGGCGGTGGTACCTCGTTTCAGCGCTCTCGTTTCACTTCCAGATACCAAGGCCAAGGTCAGAGACAAATCTAAGAGGCAGCATGGGAGGAGAACAGGATCTAACCAGGCTGTGGAACTCGCAGAACGCGCTGGTGGTGAGAGTCAGGACGAATTCAGGATTTTTGTTGGTCCCTGTTTGTCGGACCGGGTCGATCGTTGTCATCATCTTCTCCGAGCCTCTGACATGAACCTTGGACAACTCGTGCTCGTGCCCTTGCAATCTGATAGCACCTCTTGAGCGAGCGACATTACAACTCGTCAAAATTCGACCTGTCCATGAAATACGAACGGTCTAAGTTCGGGGGACTACCTATAATATAACACGGCGACCCTTCAAATTTATTTCTCTCGTCCATGCATCAGGGCCGGCATCTATGATCTTCTTCTGGCTTCTCGGGGTCAATAATCTGGATACCGGAAGAAATGTTCTAGGCCACTTTCATAGTGCTGCACTGGAAAAGATTCCGCTAAAGGGTTGTGGTGTGGGGATGGAGTTCCCCCCGGTACACTATACCGAGCGACAATTTCATACAAGACCTTCAGTTTTGACTTTGCACGTTTCACTAACAAGTGGTATCCATGTCATCACTCGAAACCTCCATTGCAAACATGGTGATACCTGACGCGTTCCAGCGCTCTATCTCCATACGTGAACCCAAATGCGCCGTGGGCGCAGAACCACACCTACAATTATGTACATTCTCTCCTTCCAGCAACTGGATCCACATCTGGATTCTGCTCTCTCACAGTCTAACTCAGCTGCTAAGACGTCCTATGATAATCAACAGCCAGCTGCCTCCCTACTATCTATCACCCTCCTTCCGCCCAATACACTCTTTACTTCCCTTCATCATAGGCCGCCGGACCCATACCGCCTCGGATGATTCTCCACCATCACGACGAGTCATCAGTTTCATCGACGACCGAGTCTCATCTGATCACCAACCGACATATAAATCACCATCCCCTGTTTCCTGTTTCCTGTTCCTTCTCCCTCCTTCGTTGTCGATGCTTCTCTTTCTTTGTACCATATCCACTCTTTCATTTTCGTTCTTTATTTCTGCAGCCTCAGCCGCACATACTATTCGTTTCTTCAACTAGTGAGTTGTCCCCTCAGTTCATCATATGAAATGACTACAACGCCTACTTACAGCTGTGGGTCCGGAACAGTAAGCCTCACGCCGCCCCTCCTCCACTACTCTTCGTTGATTTCTTTACTCGCCAGCCCACCATCGTCACTCACAATTCCCGAACGAGCATCAACGACGGAACTGGCACATACTCCAGTGCTAACGCCAACGACGGCGTCCTCCATGCGTGAGCATTCATCTATCCATGCACCAGATTCATCCCTGATCCTCTCACCTACATCAGCTTCTTAGAGCAAGGTAAATGAAATCACTCTCCCTTGAGACTAACAGATTATATTGATCCGTGCATCAATTAAGGTTCCTGTGGGAATGATGGAGAGGAATGCTCGACTGTCGATGTCGATCTGGCTGTACCGGTGGCGTCGGTATCTCAGTACGTCTCTTTCCTCTTTGAGTCTTTTTTTCTTCGTCGAGGCTTACCAGTACTCTCGTTGTAGAACGGACAAATTTTCTGTCCCTCTATCTCTCCAGTACGTATCCGAATCCCCGGTTCTCCCTGCTAGATTCCCGAGCTCATATAAGTATCTACAGGTACTCCTGTGCCAACAACAGCATCTACTTTGCTCAATGTACGCCCCTTCCCTCCCCCCTTATCCCAGTATTCTCAATCTATCTACCTAGGCTACGACTCCAACTGCGCTCCCACGCCCATATCATGCAATTCTTTCGATGTACGCCTCCCTCCTTTCTCTTCCCCAGACCAACTTACCCAAACCCCTCCCATCTAGTCCGACCTCATCATAACATTCTGCCCGTAAGCTCCCCATCCCATCCCCTCCCTATCCCTTCCCGTCTAACCCTCACCAGATTAGGCTCCCCCTCAATAACCAAACCCTCCGACACCTCGTCGTCATCCTCCTCCTCAACCCTCCCCCGCAAACTCATAGCCCCCATAATAATCGCCATCGTTCTGATCATAGTCCTCGTCGGTGTGATCCTCTACCTCCGAAGGAGGAACCGCCGACTTGCTGCGAGGGATACAGAATCCCACCCAACACCGACACCTCGGAACCCGCCCATCCCCGAGCGCCCCGCGCGCGCCAGCATCCTCACCGTCCCTTCATACCAATCCACGTGCGTTGCGAGCGCGACGGCTAATAAGGAATCATGGCAGGACTTCAAGAGCGCGTCTACTTTCGTCAAGCTCTACCCTACTGAGTCGGAGATGTCGGCGTTTGAGGATTAATCGCTATTATTCGATAACTTTTTATTGGGACATTTGTAGTGAAACGAAACATTGAACAAGCGTTGGCTATACAGTGTGAGTCTGACACTTGGTTGGATGGCTTCCCTATCGTGGAATTACGAAACTCCGCCGTGGGAGCCTAACGTTCCTCAGTCTCAAGTCTCGGCATGCTTGAATATTCTCCTACATAAACTGCCAAAGGCACGGGAAGGAAATATACATCGCCAGTATCTGGGAGTGAATAAGTACCGCTCTACAGTGAGGACGCATAAGCCTGGGTAATGACTGCATCGAATTCAATATTGAACTAGCGAACAGACCGCGATCACCAGCGCGCATTCTGCAACCTCGCCAGACCCTGGAATGGAAGATACTAACTCCTTTTCTAGAGAGGAATAGTACATATGGCCTAGAGCATTTAATATTTCCCCCCAGTATCTAGTGTTGACCCCGCGAAGCCAGTAAAAGATCATGCATGTCAACCCCGGCGTGTGGACAACGCCTTCAATCGAACCAGAGAAATAAATTTAACTCGTCGCCGGCCCGTGGGTAGTACTAGTCCCCAGAACTTAGACCATTCATTTTTGACAGACTGCTCGAATTCTGAGATCTGACTAGTTAAATGATCATTCAAGATCAAGTGCAAGAGGCGCTAAAGGGACGAATCGTCCAGATCTCGGCGAAAGCAAGGCGAAAGGTGATGACAACGATCGAAAGGGTCCGGCAAACAAAAACCAACAAAAATCCTGAATTCGTCCTGACTCTCGTTCATCATCATCGTCGTCACAAGCGCGTTCTGCGAGTGCTCGGCCCACTCATGCTCACCTCTGGCCTCGGCCTCGGCCTCTGGAAGTGAAACAAAAGCGATGAAGCGAGATATCACCGCCAAGTACGATGGGGGGTCGAGCTCTAATTTTGCTCCTTGCTAGATGGCCTTGCCCTGCGAATCGCCGCGGCCCCATTTCCACTACGATGAACACCCGCCATGCTTCGTGAATACAGTACTTCCCGATTATCACGAGTGGCTTCGCTATGGCGAGCAACATCACTATGTGGTCGAAGAACGGATTTTGTTGTCGATTCACCATGCATCCTGTAGGTGATGACAAGAAACAGTGATGATGATGATTCTACTGCGCACAAGATGTGAAGAAGAGCGGTACAGGGCTAGGCCATGAATCATGCGTATGCCCTTCGTTCGTGATTTGATCCTCAACTGAAGGTAGCTATGGACACAGCTTTTCACTTCCCGAATCTCCCGCCGCCTAAGTACAAACCCTTTGGGCTTCTCTCACCTTGTAACGACTCGCGAGAGTTACAATGAGCACCAGTCGGCAGCTTGTACACAAGTCCCTCCATGTCTCTGGTCAAGACACTCGCAGACACGCCCCAATGTCCCACCTAGCGGTTGAACATTCGTACTGCGAAAGTGCATCAACCCACCTTTCTTCCTTTTGAAGTCGCAACGGAGCTACCAGGTAGCCTGCTCGGAGAAGACAGCTTCATGCGACACTCGGTTGCGACACATTGGTCGCAGGGCCTTGCATCACTACCTTCTCACTGTAAAAAGTTTCGACCCTCCGGCCTATTGCGTTGTCCCTCTACACGCAACACGCTCGACCTTCATGCGTGTTACAGCGGGAAATCTGGTCGTTAACAGACCGTAAGGGGTTTATGCGACACTCGGTTATCACTCATCAGTCGCAGAGCCTTTGCATCACCACTGTCTCACTGCAAAGAGAATTCCGACCCTCCAGCCTACCGCGTTGGCCCTCTACACGCAGCGGCAAGACGCCCAGACTCCCCCGACCTTTGACGATTCGTTCGTGTTACAGCGAGGAGAAGTTTGGTTGTTAGGAAACCATACGCGTGTACCGTGTCGCTCGTTCCGAAAGGAGACAGTGCAGACGAGGTGGCAGACGCATCTCGTATCCACAAACCGCAGTATCAGTGCCATATCTTCTTATCCTTCTTGGATGCCGATACCGATGCTAGAGCACAGGAAGAGCTCCACGATGTACGTGCATATCCGCTCGTCGTAGTTTTCAATTATTCTGATGTTCATTGTAGTCTGCCGGGTTCATTGTAGAAGTGGCAGGTTTCTCTGTTGCAGCAGGAGCTGGTATTGGCATTTTGGCGGCAGTCGACGTTGCGCTCGGCTTTCTTGCAGTATCAGCAAGTTTGGTACGTTGACGCTTCCGAATACGGAATTTACCATACCGCAAGCGCATGATACGACGCCTCTTATAAAGGCTAGATGCACTTCCGTGTCGCTGCCCAAGAGCCAACATCTTGTCTCATTCGGATTGCTCCATGCTCCGGATGAAGGGCCTCAGCGCATATGGCCGAATTTTTGCAACTTGGACACACTAGTCGGCTACTCGTCATTTCCATGGGGGATTCCCACAGCATTTCCTGTCTACCGGGAAGACCAGTTTTTTCTTCCCATGCTACATTCATTCCTTGTGGGTTTCCCCATGCTCCATGGACTGGAACCTTTCGTACTCGCAGATCAAGCCTGCTGACGACGTGCCGTTTTCGGAGTTGTCGCTGATGAGAATGGCGAGAACTGCCGGTTAGCCGAAGCTATCGTAGGGTGGGTCATTTTGCAGGTTACGGTTCTTCGACTTTGGACTGACTCTGTCGTATTAGGAGGCTCATTCACATGAAATCCTCGTGCCCGTATTGCAGTCTGACTGCGAACAACGGCTGCCTCAAGTGCACTGTCGGCGTCTTACATTGTCCGGTGTATGCCGCGTCGATGATGGGAAACCAAGGCTCTCCATTGCAGGCACACATAGCCAACATCACCGACCCTTCAGGTTTCCCTAACCTTCTCTATACTACTCGCTCTCCTCTAAGTCCTCGCTCCTCATATTTTTATTGCTCTTCCGTTCTTCCAGTTGGCGAGGCTCAGCAACGATGTATGATCTGGGACGGATTGCCTGCTGTTCCGTTGGCCCGAGTCTTTGGTCGATAGCAGAAACACTGACCTTCGCCGTGCGAAGCCCAGGATTTCATTTTACATCTGGGCTTTTCCATGGGACTGTTGGACCCGGACCGGTCCCTTCGTGATACCTACGACTATCACCAGCCTCATCGTTGTTCCCTCCCTTGGACCTAGGAAGACGGGTCACTTGTTATCCAATTCCATAACAACCAGCGCCAGCTATTTTTATGCGTTACCACATACGTTCGGCGAGCGAGAGATATGGCGCCTCTTGAAAGGAGCAGAAGGATGCAGCGAAATTCCATCTCGTTCCCCGATGGCCGACATCTCATCTCTCTCGGATAGCTACCGTCTTCCGGATGAGCGGCCGATGGGCCGATGGGCCCCTAGTGCATATAGCCGAATTTCCCAGCTCTGCAAGCTACGGCCACGCTAGTCGGCTATCTGTTACTTTAGGGATTCCCACAGAATTGCCTACCTATTGGAATGGGCGGTTTTCCCTTTCCGAGCTACGTTCATTCTTGATGAGCCCTCCACGCTCGTGGACTTGTGTATACGCAAATCAAGCCTGCTGTCAATGCGTTGTTTCCGGAGTGGTGGCTGACGGGTGCGGAGTGGCAAGAACTGCCGGTTGACCGAAACTATCGTATGGTGGGTCATCTGGCGGGTTACAATTCTTCGAATTTGGACTAACTCTTTCGTATTAGGAGGCTGGTCCATATGAAATCGTCACGTCCATCTTACAGTCTGACTTTGAAGACTGGCTACCTCAACTACTCCTAGGCGCCGTTATTCCTTTCATGTCGGCGCCGGCTACAGCGCTACATTATCTGGCGTGTGCGGCATCAATACCGACCTCGACACGGTTAAATCATTGTCAGGGCAATGGTTTAGGCATGTGCTCTCTCAGCATGCGACCAGTTGTTGGCAATTCAGAAGCAGTGATCGTAGGAAACTTGGGGGTGGATGGGACGGTGGCGTTAGGAGGATCGACTGGCTGGGCGAAAAGTTGATTGGAGTTGAGGTGGTTATACACCGAACGATATCTGCAGGGAAGAAAGTCGAAGGACTGGACGACTAAAGAACCATCATGAATCGTGAGTACACTCTTTCCTCGGATTCGAGCTGCAATTGAGGAAGGGATTGTCACTCCCTATCGCAGAGCCTACCTTCCAACTGCACATAGTTTCCGATTCTACGACCTACCAAGGGTACGCATTAGGCCCGACGTCTAGACTCACCGCAAAGTTGTGACGATTCGTGCTACATCATCTGTTGTGTGCAGCATCGATGATAAGACCCCGAGGCTCTTCATTACAGGCGCGCATACACAACATCACGGTACCGACTCTTCAGGTTTTCCCAGCACTCTCTATACTGCCCTTCGGCAATTGCTCTCTTTGAAGTCCTCGCATCCCATATTTCATTGTCTTTCGGTTCTTCCAGAAGTGCTCAGTTAGCAAGGCTATTGACTGAAACGGGTTGCAGTACATTCTGTTGCTCGAGCCCATGACTTTATCGCACGTCTGTCGCTGGTCTACGTTTTGGCTGGGCTTTTTCATGAGAGCGTTGGACCGGTCCGATCCTTCCGTGATCCCGAATGTGTATCCCCAGCCTCATCGTCATTCCCTCTCTTCGACCCTGTGGGACGGGCTGTTTGTCGCCCAATTCCGTAGTGAGGTCATCATTACCAAAGGCGGTGCCGTGATCCGTTTCGCAGACATCTTTTATCTCCGACCAATAAATTTACAAGGAGGCACTAGACATCACAGTTGTCCCATGGCGTCTTTTTGTCGCAGGCCAGGTTCTGGGCACACGAGTCTTGACAACACCTTCAAGACTGGATAATTGGATTCCATCATTTTGTGGATATACATATCATTTACCTATCCGCTTAGTACCCGACAGCCCTGAACGATCTTAGGGAGATCATCATTCGCTGCTGTGGAGTATCGCAACCGGCACCGTCGATACCCAGACCTCTATTAGGGCGTTACGGATGGTCATATGCAGTCTTTGCTGCTGTGCCGTGCAAGGACTGCTGTGAAGACTGTAGGGACATTGAACAGGATCGTGATGGTATGGCGCCTCATTGGAACAGCATCTAAAGCGTACTAATATCCCATCAGTAACTTCGAACACAACTGTCAATAAGATAGGCGACATCAAGAGGGGGGAAGCTGTGTTGCATAACACAAAATACGATATTTCGGGCCTACTTTAGTAAGAATACGGCCCCAATACGGAAGGAATGTTTTGTAGAAGGCGCTGCTTCCTGATTTCATTGTATTGCCTGTCATCGGGTCCAATCTACATGTCCGCCTTGCGTCAACTCGCTGTGTTGAATAAGATCATGGCGTACTCCGTCCCTGAGTGCTGTGGTTTATCTCCAGTGTGTTGTTGTGCCCCCACTGCTACCATGACTCATTCCGTCGAGCGCAACTCCGAGCTACACCTTGCTTCAATACTTCGAGTCTCTCGACCGGTTTCGACATGAACCTTTTCTGCGAAATAAGCGTTTGACGTTTCTCACGAAGAGTGTTTTGATTCTTATCATTCTTTAGCGCCCTTTCTCGGTGTCCATCATGCTGTTATTCATGCTTTTGGCTCTCGTTAGTAGAGTCAGATGTGATTCTGTGATCGAAGACCCAGGGGCCAATGATCAGAGAACGTTGCTGCAACTCATTTGGAGCTGCAGTGCCACGATCTTCGCGTGCACCTGGCTCGCTGTCCACCCGAATGTTCCTGGGAGAGCTCTCAAAAGGCGCGGAAGGCTGGCAATAGCCTTTCGACGGGCGAAGCTCATGCTTCTTACTATCATAGTCCCGGAGATTATCATAGGTTGGGCTGCTGCACAGTGGAGAGTCGCGCGATACATCAAGAATCGTGAGTTGTTCTGTATGCTCAGTGTGCTGTTACTGATATACCATCAGTATCACCTCAAAAGCTCACCATGGCACATGGCTTCTTCGTAGCCATGGGTGGATTCTGTAACAGTCACGGGGATATCCTCTGCTGTAAAGACTTATATCCAATCGGACACGAGCGTAATGGAGAATCCTGTCGGGAATCCTGGATTGACGCTTTAGCGGGAGTGCCGGAGGAGGAGATGGAGGAAAGAAGCAAAGCCGACGCGTTCTCCAAAGGCATTGCCATTATCCAGATATCCTGGTTTGCCCTCCAGTGTCTCGCTCGCGTGATACAGGACCTCCCCATCGTCCCAATCGAGATGTCTGCGCTGGCGTTCTCGGTTCTGAGCATCGTGCTGTACATGATATGGTGGTACAAACCATTTGATATCCAAGTACATATCGTGCTCCCCGTTGGTGCGAAGCTGGACTATGCTGATCATGAAGACCGAGAGCATGTCGGGCTGCTCCGCTGCATTAATGATTGGTATTATAATGTGCTGGTCGCGATATACGGATGCGCGGACGACGATACGATCCCGACTATCGAAACTGGTGTGTCGGAAATCTATGTGGCGGACTACATCGATAATCCTTCGCTCCCTTCGACGCCTGCTGTGCTGCGTTGGCTAGCAGCATGGGCGGTGGGAGCTTTGTTCGGATCCATGTATCTCGTTGATTGGTCTTATGAGTTTCCTTCCAACGTCGAGCGGACTTTGTGGCGCACGTCCGCTATCGCGATCACATCCATTCCGCTGTGGTTCCTCGTGCAGGGGTACAGCTTCTTCTTTTGCCCTTCTCATCTCTCGATGGCCTTTGCTGCTACGTGCTATATTACCGCCAGGATATGTATTATCGTTTTAGCACTTATGTCTTTACGTTGTCTTCTACCAGCGGCTCTGGTTGAGGTTTCTTGGACTATGTATATTCCACATGTCTAGATGTTAGTTGGTTTTTTTTTCTTTTCTTTTGTTGTATATCTCCCGCTTGTAGTTACCTGGTGTAATCACAGATTTAAATGTCGTTTCGTGTAGTCACATTCTGCCGTGCGCATCCTCACTTCCTTGACGTCTTTGATGAAAATGGTTCTCAACGAGAAGATCCCATCTGTTGTTGTCATCTAGAAACCTGATATATACTTCCAGGACATAGATCAGAAAAAATCTGTCAGGGAGCAGAGACGAGATAGGGAATAAAATGCGAGACCAACTTAGTGTACATCGAATGACGGGAAATTCTCCGGTCGGTGAAATGTGTTAATTATGATAACGAATTTCAGGTGCGGTAAATACTAAAGGTTCGGTATAGGACTACAAACATATTGTGCATCACGCCGCAATGCACGACGGTTTATGCATTCTTTTGGCTCGTTAGCTGGAGGAAGACACCAAACTTCGAGACACTCACCTCCAATCCGCTTTCTGGCATAATTGATTGCAATCTAAAAGGTACTCGTCAGAGAATGAAATAAGGAATTAGCGGGTCATACTCACAAGACGCCTTCTTACAGCGACCACATTTCTGTAATTTCACATCCCTCTTCCCACAGGTCGCACAAACATCTGATGCGACGACAACATTCCGTTTAAAGGTTATGCTTCCGTCTGCTTCATACCTCACTTGTCCAATGCCTAGCATCTCTTTTCTGCCGTCCTTCCCCTCGAACCCAAACATCTCAAGGAGCCGAGCATTTTCCTTGTCATTCTCAAACAGCAGTGCGAGGTTGTTCCTCGCTGCTTTGACGTCGATAGAGACGAATCGTTCGAAAGGTTCGCGGGCATTGGCTTCGTATTCATAAGGCGGGTGGGTAGCAGCTAAGTCTAAAGCCTCGCGATACCTCTTCATCGCTGTAGGACGGTCCTTGCTGTCCCAAGCCAGGAGCCCGAGCGTAAGGCCTGCCGTTATTTGCATTCCTTTAAGGTAGAGTTTTTCTTTCTCTGAGCGGAATCGAGTATGTTCGTATGTTGAGTTAGGTCGGTAGCTCTGCAAAAGCTTATACGCTTCAGGCGAGTTGTCTACTAAACAGACTCTGGTGAGCAAACTGGACCTGCAGAGAAAAGAGGCTGAACCTTTATTCTTCTTCATTGCTGGATCTTTGAAGAAACCGATGAAATTTCGCCATGCCGAGCCAAGAGTCTCTGTTGGCATGGTATTGTCTGGAATGGCCACACCAGGGGGCAGAGGCATCTGCGCGGTGATATTTTCATCCCTTACAATCTTCTTGATAGACTTCTGATAATATTCGAAAGTCCTATCGATGTCGCCCCGGGCAAAGTATTTCTCTGCTTGATAGAAGAGTTCAAATCCGCTGGCACCGGTCATGATTAATACTGGCAGTCTGTTGATCTTTCTGACGTTATTTGTAGGAAAGAAAGTCTGAAACAGAAGGCTTACTTATTTAACTGAACCCCGATGATATGTCTTTCTATCCATCGCTCATCCTGCTATCAAGCAATTCCTACCACGGTTCACTCCGTCGTCCGTGCCTTCTAACCCTTTTCATTAATGCTGCGCTTCAGAGCCATCAAATAATGCACGCTAACCCGGCAGTCTTCAAGCTTCTCGCTCTGCCTCTTCTATCTCTCTCTCCTGTTGTCTGGAATTATCAACCACGGATTTGTCTCATCGGTGTCTTGCCTGGATGTTGATAGACTGTCTGAACAGCGCTCCGTGGATCGGGAATAGCATTGTCAGATACACAACACAGATTACCGTGAATATCTCATCATGAGATTGCTCACTTCATCGTAAGATACAACACCCCCCTATCATTCTGACTCCTAGATACTCTTCCAATACTTGTCAGTGTCAGGGTCGTGAGCAACTTCCAGCCTCGTATGCAAAGTCTTTCTGAGAGCTATCGCCAATGACCCTATACCGCGCCACGCCTCTAACAGATTCTCGAGCTCCGGGTCATCGTTAGGGATGTCTACGTTTGCCTATCAGTACATGCCATAATTTCAATTCGGATGATGTAGTACATACTTTTAGCACGGGCCAGGGCATTCAGAATTGCGTCCGTCGCGGCGTTCAAAGTAACCAATAATTGCCCGCGGACGCCGTTGAGCAGCCCGGATTCTGGATTACCTTGAGCCCGTGAAATATCGTCTGAATCCCTAATAAATGGTTTAAAGATGAGATTCAAAGATTCCCTAGGGGTACACGCACATGCCATCTTCGCTTGTGTACTGCTCGCGCTGAGACGAGGAAGGTACATTCCCTCCCGCTCTGTACAATAGTCAGTGGACCGATAAATTGGGGAATAAACCGATTGTACACACATCTCATAGTCCGAAGTCGTCCCCTCGTCCTGAGACAACGGTAGATAGACGTCCACGCTGCAAAAAGTAAGTAGACGGTATGACCAACAGACTTTACGTACTCTCCCGTGGGCTGTGTGAGCGGGCACGGTGGTTGTGACAACGAGACTCTGGACCTAGTAAGAAAGTTTCGCGGAGTACACAAGATAACGCACTCATAGTCATTGGGTCCTTGAGACGAGGTTCTATACACGCAGAGTTAAGTCTGGTTGTTGTCCGCCAACAATGATACTCACAGAGTGAACTGAGACAAATGTGCACTCGAAAAATCGCTATGGTTTTTGACGGTCAAAGGTACATCCATAGGTGGATGACCCGGATTACGCACGTAGACTGGGGACTGCCAAACTTGAACTTCATATCCCTAACAGCAGGGATTAGATTTGATAACAATTTAGCAACGAAACATACGAGAATATATCATCGGTAGTATACACTTCAGAATGAGTAGCGCTGAGTAGTATCACAGTCAGAACACAGGTCGACAATCCATCAAAGATAATTAATGTACCGTTCAGGAGTTTTCTGGTCCATTGGAAAGGAAGGTGGTGATGAAGGTGGTTTTGAAAGGGATCAGGCGAAGCTCCAGCCTAATATATATGCATTGGTTCCTTTGTGTCCCTCGTAACAAGAAAGTTTCTTTGTGATACAGGAGAAAGGGCGAATCATGCATCCTGAGATTGCAACGAAGTCGCTCTGTCGTTGGATGCTGTTGGAATGTTAGCTATATATGTCTGAGTCTTTGTACTTTTGCCGACATCAGGTGCATTTTCATGGCATCAGAAATGATAGGGGAACAAAAGGATAAAGATAAGAAAGGCTGTTGAAAGGCGGAGTTAGATTGTCGAAGAGAACGAAGCGAACAGCGCTAAATATTTAAAAATCGGTCGGACCGGACCGGAACAGCACCAATCATACCAGACTTTCCTGCGACTTTCCTTGATCCTTCATCGGGAGGTTGTAATGAACGAACCGTAAGATTTTTTGTTCTATGACTACGGGAATACTCTATAGGAACGTCTGTTGTTCGAACAGCGAGCATCAATATTGTATCGTTCCGTGATAAGTATATATTTGTGTATTTTTTTAAAATGAAAAGCTTGAAGAATCCTCTATAAAAAGTTACTAACAAATATTTGAACACCTCCCCTCCCATTGTAAAAATGACCAGGTTTCCGGAATCCTATCACCAATATTTATTAATTTGACACAGCAGTAAGTACTTGATCAGCTAGGTCGCAACGCTACACTGCCATTACGTTGAAGCCTATAGTCGGAAGGCGAAGCTCCTACAAATTCAGATCCTCAGCTAGTGTGAGTCTCTGCACATCCTCACTGGCAGCCGGTTGGGAATCAGTAAACGAGATGAGAAAAAAATCCCACAACGGCATTTCCAAACCCCTGGCTAGGAGTCGAACCCGGCATGTGCTGCCTTTATCACTAAGGGTGCGTATGCTAACAGATATAGTACAATGTAGCTAGATAATTGACTCGTTGAGCTAAGTCTTATCTTGTAGCGTCTGCATTTCATATGATGAAGTAAAAGGAGACTCAGTCCCGTATCGTATCGGCAACTATTTCAATCAAGTAACAGAAACACTATCAGCAGGAAGAGATTGGATTCGGGGTACAATGGCTCTCCGGCACTTCCTCGAAGTTATTTCTCAAATACTTGTAGGAGCGCTCTTTACGCATCGATGGCAAGAACCTGTTATGACAATTGGAAACCTGTATGCACTCGCAGGAGGTATATTTGGATACCATGACACTTTCGCGCCGCTTTTCACGTAGCTAGCAAGAATGTGACTAGACGGACCTGAGATATGACCCAGGACTGATTTAGTTTAATAGCGAGGTCCGTGGGATTGCGACTTGGAGATTACTTGAAAAGCGTCTGAGGCTATGGCAAGGCTAGCGCAATCGGTTGCGTAGAGCTTTAAATAACAACACAAACGACCAAATATTGTGAGCAATACAAGTGTGACGTCTTTATATCAGGTGCTCTAGAACCCTACATGAGTTAGAAAACAAAAGGGAATGGGGCTAGTATGTGAACCCATTGCAGTCAATTAACATCTAACCCTAAGTAACTCATCGCATTGTAAGCGGCAATTTCCTTAGCTTGGCCCTTACTGCTAGAGCTGCCTCGTCCATGTTCGATACCGTCAACTGTACACGGTGTCGTGAGTGTCGGCGCTGTTGCATATCATTCAGAGACGTACTGTAGGCAATGACGGTCCAAATAATCGAATTCTGAGGGCCTTCGGCAGTAGGGTCCCCATAGGTGAGTGCCAGGCCCGCTTGAATGGCATGGTTGTTCAAGTCTTGTCGGTAGTCTGGAAAAATCAGATGAGTGAGCGACCATAAATACAAGAATCCGAACACACGTCTCTGAGGATTCATTATGAGATATACTAGATGGTGGAGTCGTATGAGTGTTCTAGACTGCTGAGGATGAATTTCTCTGTTGTTGGAGAGATGATATGCTGGCAGTTAGGCGATTTATACCATCCTGCAGAAACAGCCAAACCAAGAAAGAGCACTAGCTGTAGCCGTGTAAGGTCATAGCAGGAAAAGTGGAGTAAGTTCACCGACTGACAAGGAAAGGGAGACGCACACTCGGATCTAACACGAGACTGAATAATTACCTATGAGGCGTCAATTTTTTTTTTGAAAAGCATGAACCAGACAGCTGGTACGAGCACCAAAAGTGAACGAATTCCGCGTAAGATTGGAGAAACGAGAGCATTTCTGTCGTAAGGAGAACCGGTTTCTTGACTACAATCCGATCTGAACTTATTTCTCCAGGTGATGAAACAACTAGACAATTAACAGCGAACAGCTTGTCCGACCGGAGCGTAACGCGATATCGAAGGCGATTCAGTAAAGCGATTCAATGGGTCCTGATGGAGAAATCCAAGTTGCAGACTCTGCAGGGCGTAGAGACAAAAGAAACCATCCCTCGTATTTTCAGGGAGTCATCGAGTTTCGTGAACTAGGACACAAGGGCTACATATCAGTCGCAGCATATAGGACCGAGGGAAACGCGATGGCAGCCCTCAATCGGCGTTATTCAACTATACAAGGGCGGATTCATTGAATGTGCTGAGGTTTGACCCGGTAGATATTAAAATTTGACGCCGTCGTTCCTTTGCATAGCAGTGATACCACCTGACGAGCCCAGCGTCTAGAAGGCTCGTAACCAAAGGGTGAGATGAAGTTACATGGCTAACAGCAGGTATCCATTAAACAATCGACCTAGACCAGGCCATGCATGTGAAGCGCCCGCCTAACAGAGGAGCACAGTGGGGAATAGTTATCTCCGTGGGTTGTTGTGCTTCAGCAAGACGGAGCAATCAAGTCTGGCAAGTTTTATGGTTGCCGGTGATCACGTCCGACAAGGACAGTCTTGACTCTATCACGATGCGGTGCAAGGGGCCCAAAAAGAGGTATCCATGAGACAAAGAGAGATATTTTGAGTCCAACTTGCATCAATCAGTAGCATCCTCTTCCTTGCAGACGCGAGTTGAAGTGAAACAGAGGAAAAATCGGAAACGGACTCCGGAGGTGATGACTATAACGGGAAGTGGCACGTGACCGTTGATTACCCAATTCGCAGAAAAATTAAATCATCTGGCTAGCGGAACCTTCGCGAACTTTTCCTTCCTTCGCCTCTTCTCTGTCCTTTATTATTATTATTTTGCTTCCATGGTACTGTGACTGTTCTCCATGCATAGTACGAGTATTCACACCGGTTCTGGTCTTGTAGGCCGCCCAGGCAACGTTCAAATCTATCAAGGCTATCATCCCCCTCCTTGACCGAGTACTCGTGCAGAGGTTTAAACCGGAGACGGTCCGCGATTTTTGCTTTGGATTTATTGTTTATTTCTCTCATGATGAATTGTAGAAAACTGCGTCTGGGATCTTTCTACCCACATCTTCAATGACAGCTCCATTACCAGAGGCGACGGTAATTGCTGTTGGTCCCGGGGCACCAAACAAGGATGGAGCTGTTGTTCCAACCACAGTGAAAGCAGGCGATAGGGTACTACTACCTGGCTGGGGTGGCAATTCGATCAAGGTGGGCGATGAGGTGTGTCTGTTTCGCATTAAGTTGGCACACAGCTTCTGATGTTTCCCGTAGGAGTATTTCCTGTTCAAGGACTCAGAGATTCTTGCCAAAATCCAGGAGTAAATCCATGTGACTCTGGCTGGGTGGCGATCGGCCATTGGCTCGAGCAAATCTTCTCATCTTTATCCATTATACTAATGTCATTATTTGCATCGAACAATCCAACACATCACCCCACTCTCTGCGGATCTTCTGAATTGATGCTGCGCCAGTATAATTACCATGTTCTCTGACGATCACGCAATACCCACGGGGCCAACAGCTTCTATTCCCAGGGATCATACTATTCATGAAACCTTTTCGAACCCCACGCAACAACATCATCACTCCTCAGAGTAGCTCCTTATGATACTTCCCAGACGGACGCGGGGATTCCCATATCGCTTTCCCACTACTGACTGCAAAGTGACATGGTACAGACATGCGAATTGATACAAGGGTCAAGCGTCGCCTATATCAAGTGATATCAACATTCAAGGTCACTGCTCTCTGCAGAAGATCTATTTGATGTTTCACGACTTCTGTAAAGCTTTTAAAGTTGTAACAGGCGTCTCGTTCTTTCGCCAAGCATGTTCACCTCCTCACCCCACCAAAAGAAAGGCGCTGTCAACTTTACCGCTTCAGAGTCAAGGGAATCTTTGGCTAGCGGCAGGACGGCGGTCAGATCCGTATCGATAGTACTAGCCTGTATGATGGCGCACATCGTTAATGTGTGTACTTCTTCCTTCTAGGCGTCAAAGTATTTATGCGGGTTTCAGAGCTCCAATACAAGCGCCGTTTCGGTCTCCTTGCCCACTATCGGGAAGGAGTTGAGCATTCCGGAGACGCGCTTGAACTGGATAGTCTCCTCAGGTCCATTAACCACGGTCTGTCCTTTTCTCCTGTCAATTATGATTGCATCACGTTAATGGACGACACAGAGCTGTTTCCTGATGACGTTTGGGCGAATATGCGATCTTTATGGTCGCAAGAAACCATTTCTCCTCGGTTCGCTGTGGATGGCGGTGTTCACTCTAAGCCTCTCCTTCGCCAAAAGTACGCTCTCCATATTCTTCCTTCTTTGTATCTCATCAGCTAATGCACGTTCCAGACGATATTACCTTTGATATCCTGAGAGGCCTGCAGGGCATAGGACGTGCTGCTATGATGCCTGCTGCGGTAATGATCGTTATCGGTGTTATAATCCTTTCCGCTGATTGTTAGCAGGTCGGAATCCTTTCAGACGCGTTTCCATCTCCCCAGGCGCGAAGGAAAGCTTTTGCTGCTTTCACTGCCGGCCAGCCCCTCGGCGATGCGCTTGGTACGGTCGTTGGTGGCGTTTTAACCCAGCTCACTGCGTAAGAGCATAGCTCTCTTCGCTCGAATGAACTCTCACCTCTGATAGGACATCCTGGCGGTCGCCATTTTACCTTATCTCAGTAAGTTTAACTCCGTCTTATGGTCCCTGTCTTATTTCTTATCTTCAGGCTCTGACTACTGTGACTTTTGCCCTTGGTCTATATGCCATTGACAATGATCGTCCCTCCATTGAACCGGATCGGCGGATTGACTGGCTTGGTACGGTCCTTGTCAGTGCCGGCCTCTTGCTTGTCGTATTTGTCTTGTCCCAAGGCGAAGTGGCACCGTACCAATGGAAAACGTCGTGTTCGTTGTTTCGCCCTTACATGTTCCTGGACTTACCCCGATAACAGACATAATCACGCTCCTCTTCCTCGGCATAACATTCATCATCGCATTCTTTCTCTGGCAACGCTACCTTGGACAGAAGTACGATATGAAGTCTTCAAAACGGTATCCACCGCCGTTGATGCAATTATCACTATGGACACGGGCGAATGGGCGTGTTGCGGCGGCGTTCGTCATCGCATTCCTAACGTGGTGTGCTTTATACTCTTGGCTGTACTGGGCTCAGGTATATCCTTTTCATCCTATCACCACGCGACGGCCTCTGATTTCTCCTAACAGCTGTACTATCAGAACTACCAGGGACTAGCACCTCTAGCCACTGTCACTCGTCTTCTCCCAGCCTACTTCACCGGCACATTGTATAATGTCACGGCGACAATATTCCTTGGTCGCATACCCCTGGTGTACCTTATGGTTTCTGGGAATACGCTGACTGCCATTGCTAGTCTGCTCTTCGCCCTAGTCAATCCTAACTCGGTATACTTCGCCTTTGGATTTCCGGCCGCTATTTTGGCACCCGCGGGTGCTGGATTCGTATACGCCTGCACAATGATCTATGTCACGAAAGTGGCTAAACCACATGAGCAAAGCATGGTGGGAGCTGTGGTACAAACCATGACACAAGTAGGTATATTCGTTCATGCTTTCATGTTCAATCTGACAAGAATATGCAGCTAGGCTCGTCCCTGGGCGTCACGCTATCCACTGTTATTTTCGATCAAGTATCTGGAGGTCAGGCGAAATCACAGAGAAGTCCATTGTATAGCTACAAGGCGGCAGAATGGACGAATTTTACGTTTGCGGCGTTGGGTATGTTCTCCTTATCTTTCTGGATGACTGCAGGCGATCGATCTGATGATATACTAGCGGCATTGCTAGCTCTGATCGTCTTCCGTGGCGTCGGAGTAATTGAAAAAGGAAGCAGACATTGTAACAAGGACGAAAGTGAATCTGCGAGCAGCAGCACCGCCGTTGATTCTGGTTCGTGGAGACATACGCATTGTTAAGTAGATGGCTCGCACTTCCCTCTCCCCTTTGTAAAAAAAAAATTCCCAGATATGGCAGATAGTTCCCATGGCAGCCTTGATTACTGGGCGCGATCTCCGCCCGTTTGCATCCATTCATCATTTTATCCAGTAAATCATCTGCTAAAGCAATAGCATCCATTTAGAAGCCCCTTTGGGACTTCGTCAGAAATACCATCCTCCGGAGCAGTTCTTTTGCGAGAAATCAAAAGTCATGATACTGCATAGACGCCGTCGAACCCGCTCTAATGTTCCTGGTTCTGTAGTTCGAAACATTTGGCGGGACACGTCATAATGTCAATATCATAAAATAACACCGTTTAGGAACTAATTCTTCATTTAAAAAGACTCGAGAACATAGGGTCAGAATAACAGATATTGCATTTTATCATGGAAGCGCAAGTGGTGAGTCTTTCACCCTCTTCTTCTCGTGCAGCTGTTTATTCAGTCTATAGCCTTTATCAACGAACATTCTTGTCATTGGTGGAGGTCCCGCCGGGTCTTACGCCGCCACCGTTCTCGCGCGAGGTCAGTGGTCCGCGTTCGTAGAATGCATCTGGATGTGATATTCACGAAAACAACAGAGGGGTTCGAGGTTGTCCTCCTTGAGAAGGACGTCTTTCCCCGCTATCACATAGGGGAGAGCATGCTCCCATCCTGCCGTCCATTCCTTAGATTCATTGACTGTGAAGAGAAGTTGAAAAACCATGGTTTCACTCTAAAGGTGCCTTTCCCCCTCTTCCCGCTCGCTAGTATCTAACAGATGGTTAGCCTGGTGCTGCAGTCAAACTCAATCAGCACAAACGCGAAGGATGTATGTATCGGATCTCTATGAGATGCGTTGGGTCACTAATCTCTCCGCCAGACACGGACTTCATATCTGCCAATCCAGATAACGGGGCATGGAACGTGGTAGGCTCTGTTTTGTGCTTCTGACAATCTACCTAAATTATCTCAAATTTTTCAGGTACGATCGGAATTTGACGATCTCCTCCTCCGTCACGCAGCGGAAATGGGCGTCCACGTTTACGAGGGCGTCCGGGTTGAGGAGATCCACTTTGCTTTTAACGAGCCGACTCGCCCTGTTTCACTGACCTGGACCAAAGATGACAGGACGCAGGGAGAAGTGTCCTTTAATTGGCTTGTTGACGCTTCTGGAAGGAATGGATTAATGTCCACAAGATACCTGAAGAATAGATCATTCAACAAGACCCTGAGAAATGTCGCGGTATGGGGATATTGGACCGGTACCGGATGTTACGCGCCAGGGACAACTAGGGAGAACGCGCCATGGTTTGAGGCTTTGACGGGCAAGTAGTAGATCCCGCTCTCCCCCCTTGTGACTCTCATTTTTTTTTCATTCTAGATGAAACGGGTTGGGCTTGGTTCATTCCCCTTCATAACGGAACTACCAGCGTTGGGGTTGTTCTCGTCGAGGAAGAGAGCAAACGTAAGAAAGCACAATACCGATCAGAATCGAACGGAAAATCTTCTTCGGAACTACAGCACGATTGTTACATGGCAGATCTTCAGCGAGCGCCAGGATTAATTCAGCTGCTGGGAGATGCGAAATTTGAAGGAAAGCTTATGTCCGCTGGTGACTACAGTTATCATGCATCAGAACATGCCGGTCCCAACTTCCGTATCGCCGGGGATGCGGGAGGTAATCTAATTTTTCACACATTCTTATTAAGCGCTTCAAGCTGACGCATGACTCGTTAGCTTTCATTGACCCATTTTTCTCATCCGGTATCCACTTAGCACTTACTGGCGGATTGTCTGCGGCCAGCACCATCGCCGCCTCTATTCGAGGGAACTGTACTGAAGCAGAGGCATGTGAGTTTCACAGCTCGAAAATAGGAACGGCTTATACACGGTAAGAATTTCACAAAAGCGCGGCTGTTCACTTCTACATTGCGAAATGTTTTAGTTTCCTCTTTGTCGTACTCGGCGTCTACAAGCAGATACGATCTCAGGAGATGGCCGTTCTGTACGACGTCGATGAAGATAACTTCGATAGAGCGTTTCATTTCCTTAGACCCGGTAATTCTCGGCCATCTCTAGCATCCGGATCTTGAACTAACGTTCTCGACAGTTATTCAAGGAAGCGCGGATGTCGACGAAAGTCTCACAGAGGCAGAACTTCAGAGCACACTCGATTTCTGTAGAAACGTGTTCGCACCGACTCAGCCTGAAACGTATCAGGCTGCTGTTCAGCGGCTTGGTAGTCTGGCGGATCCAGATGGGCCACTGCTTGACACAGATATGATTGACAAGCTCACCGGAACTGACTTGGATGCGAAGCATGCACTCTGGAAAATCAATGCACGGAAGCCGCTACAATCGATGTATGACTGCAAGAGAAATTTCGGAACTGAAATCATTAACGGGTTCTGTGTGAAGATGGAACAAGGGGCGTTGGGCCTCGTGCGTGCATAATGTCAACCCGGTTTCTATTCCAAGCTATAGTGTACTATAATGAAGAACTATGTATCTCATATATATATGCAGGGTCGCTTTCTTGTCGACTTGGTGCAAACCCTTATATCCGTTGATAACAGTGCTGTGCCTAATTCCACATCTACACGCGCCCATATATCGGCGGTTGCTCCAGGGGGGATCTTACTGGCGATGATATCATCGTGCAGGGTACGCCAGTAAGCACACGGAATGAAGACAGCTATTATGGAGTGATAGCCCTGAAGGGGAGGTGGCGTGAGCGTTAATTACTAGTTCGAAGGCAGGTCTTGGAAGGAGGGAAAATTGCACTCCTGCTTCTTCCTTCTCTACTCCATAGGTATCTAAATCACATTTCGTATTCTTTCCCTCCTCACCGTGTCAGCGTACTCACATTCTTGCGAACTGCCACTTATAAAGAATCCGGGAGGAAAACCTCCCTTATTTTGGACTAATTCCTTTAGATTGCTGGCATTGCCGGTACCGAGCCGAAATCCATCTATCAGGCCTTGACAATGGACTGGACTAAAGGGAGTTCAATCCGGCCGATCTAAATATAACACCGTATCCGTCCAACAAGCGGAACCTAGATGGTCTGGATCTTAGAACGCTGAAGGACGCTAGCGCCGCTGATACTCGGAGCATGACCCTATGCCTGGTACGAAGGTACAGAGATTTCAGCATCGGAGATTGTGAATCCAAGGCGTAAGGTTCATTCGATGGAACAGCTTTACTAAATAAAGCTGCGCAAGTACTTGAAGTTTCTCGTACTCTCGAGGATGAACATGACCCCGGATCTTTTACAAGAGGGACCAGGTGCCGCGAAGCTAATGGAAGTTTTAGTACTCCAGTCCGTGCGAATTTCGGAGCAAGGATGCGTCACAGGTCCTTAATCAGGCGATGAAGAAGGCATACCTATTTTCTTAGCCGAGAAGACATCAGTCCACTTTGCAGGACAAGCGTCGCTCTCAAGAGCCATGGTGGTGCACCGATGTCCGGGGAAGGTAGATAAGATGTCACGATTTAATTGGTTGAAAGTTCGGCCGGCGGCAAGGAAGTCAATCTCAGTCATTATCTGATCGATACTGACGTTCCGTCGGCGTCTGTCGGCATTGAGCCTCCGTCTTCACGTACCATTTCCAATACTCTTTCACAAATTTTTGCGACGCGTCGCACTCGAAAAATGCGTTTAGCCGGAACTAGCTTGAGTCTCCCCATCCCCCACCATCATGTCCACTGAGAAGGTGGAGAAGGACGATGTAGAACAGCATTTCAAGGGACCTTCGACTATGGCTGCTCCAGCTCAGAGAAGTAGCCTTCGGTCTGTGTTAATTGTGGCTACATGTACAATGGCAATGATTGTCAACGTAGGTTATTGGACTCTGTTTTCTCATCTTTAATAACCTTCGCGTATTGACGTTTGATTATAGTCATCGAATAGTACCTCTGTATCGATCTCCCTTCCGACAATAGGTGATGACCTCGGTATACCAGAAGCAAAACTCAACTGGATCGTCTCTGCGTACCCGTTAAGCTCTGTAAGCATTTTCCTTTCCCCCAGACTACGCATTGAACGTCTGGCATTCGGGAATAGGGGTGTCTACTGGTAATGTTTGGTAGGTTAGCGGATTTGTACGGCCGAAAAAGGATATTCTGTGCTGGGTCATTGTGGCTAGCAGCTTTCACACTGGGATGTTCATTTGCTAATGGTATGTATCATTTTTGAGTATCGCGATGGCTATCTGATTATCTGATAGACGAGATAACGCTCGATATATTGAGAGGACTGCAGGGAATCGGGGCTGCCGCTACAATACCCGCCTCCGTATGCTTTCTCGTAATCCCTTATTAAGTAGAATACTTGCTAATCCTGTTATACAGATTGGCATCCTTGCCCATGCCTTTCCGCCATCGCGAACTCGCTCCATTGCGTTCGCCACTTTCGCCGCAGGAGCACCACTAGGAGGTGCCTTCGGAACAGCAATCGGCGGCGTACTAACGCAGCTCACCAAGTACGTGCACTGATCTTGCTTTTCTTCCTATACACTGATGATATCGCAAATCTATCTAGACGGTCGTGGCGTTCGTCCTTTTACCTTACTGCTGTAGGAGGCCTCAGTCTACTCTGGTGATGCGACCACTCACCTGCTTTTGACAGGGCGTGTGTGCAGCATCGTTCATCATCGGACTCTTGGTCATTGACGCCGACCTACCTTCGACGGAAACAGATCAACGGATTGACTGGATTGGCGTGTCCCTCGTCACTACTGGCCTCGTGCTCATCATATTCGTCCTTTCCGAGGGAGAAGTTGCCCCTCAACAGTGGAAGACACCATGTGCGTTTACTCTATTTATCCTCGGTCTGAGTTTTGGCTGAGGTTTGTACTAGATATCATTGCGCTTCTTATAGTCGGCGTGATATTCATTGCAGCATTCCTGTATTGGCAGCACAATTTGGAAAAGCAATTGGACGACCCCCTGATCCCCAAGTCAAAATGGAACCCCCCGCCTCTTATGCGCCTGTCGCTGTGGACGAGAGCCAAGGGGCGCGTGGCGGTTATGATGGTTGTTGCGTTTCTGCAGTGGTGCTGCTTTTTGGCATGGTGTTATTGGTCTCAGGTACGTGCATTCTACTCAATCACATTCCTTGCTCTCACAGTTATGAACCGTAGCTGTACTATCAAAATTACAAAGGATACACGCCCCTTCTTACTGTGATTCGATTGCTTCCTATGACGGTATCTGGAATCATTTGCAATATGATTGTAGCAGCTCTTGTAGGACATCTACCGCTCGTCTGTTTCATAGGTATGCTCGCCAAGCCGACTCGCTTACGCTATGCTCATTAACTTCTCAGCGACTGGAACCGCCTTATCAGGTGTCGCAGCCCTCCTCTTCGCCGTGATGGACCCCGATGTAACATACTGGGCGTTCGGGTTCCCTGCAGCCATACTCGCAGTTGTTGGCGCCGACTTCGTATTCGCGGGCGGAACTCTGTTCATCGCCAAGGTATCATTACCGCATGAACAAAGTCTTGCTGGGGCAGTATTCCAAACAATGACTCAGGTAGTCTCTTCGTTTTTGAACGAGAAACGTAGCTAATTGACTGATAGCTCGGCACATCTGTTGGTGTGACGGTGTCGACTGTTGTTTTCGACCGCGTGTTGCGCCAGCGTTCGGCGGATATGGGTGTAATTCTGGATGCGAGCGCATCTGGTGCGCCCAAAGCTGCGCAGCTGGATAGCTATAGAGCGGCGGAGTGGACCAATTTTGCTTTCGGGATGTTGGGTATGTTAATTTGACTGGCACTTCCTTCACAACGCTGAGCCTGCCTTCCGTAGCTACCCTGCTAGCACTCATTTTCTTCCGTGGTGTAGGTATTGTAGGGCAGAAGGGCAAGGAAACTGATGATCAGGAACGGACAGTCACCAATCCAGAGGAGAAGATCGATTCGCGAGCGTAGAAAACAAGTACACCTATGGCATATATTATGTGAATTTTGGGACTCGATGCTTGCATGCCTAGGACTATCTTCTTGGATGTATAAACCTCGTAGAGCACCTGTAGACTAATATCGATAGAGATTTCCACACCGGGTAATGCTTACCCGATCTGTCGGCTCGGGCCGGTTTGACCCACATTCCTTTCCAACCACCACCTCCACTTGCAAGGTTCAAAAGCGAGCTCTCTTCATGGTATTCATTGCTTCTATTCGACGAAATAGCACTGAGCCATTACACTTTTAGGTAGTAAGCCGCCTGTGAATGGCATATCTATTGCCCCAGTCGCCTCGTTGGTTCAACGTTGAGGTTGAGTCTAGGTTCTTCAAGCACTTGGCGGTTGCATGCAGGCGGCAAAAATGCAGGCAGTGAACGTAACTTTTGAGATCTGAATCTATTAATACTGAGTGCCGAGCAATACGCCTCGCGGTACCTGCGACTAAACATGCGTCTCGGTAAATTCTCTTGGCACATCAATGCCGTTGTCATTAGGAGTTTCGGTCGACTTCTTGACTCCAAACTTCGACAAGGGCCTAGCAATGCAGGTCCTCCCACTCTCGTTAGTCTTTCTTATGGCGACCTTCGGCTTCTCGCAATGCGAACCTTTGAATGTCACGTTTCCGGAGCAAGCGCCGAATGGCACTACGAATGCCGTTGCCGACAATTTTCTAGGCATTTCGTTCGAATTGAGTTCGTTTGATACGCTGTGTGAGTACGCGGTTCTCCGCCTTTTAGGCGCTTTTGGTTGACTTCGGCAATGCAGGGGGCTCCACTGTGGACACGATACCAGACGCAATGGTCAACTACCTGCACAACATCAACGTTCGCACAAGCGCGCCTCTTCGCATCCGTGTTGGTGGGAACGGGATGGATGGGTACGTGTATCAATCTTCCCTTTCTGACCTTCTGATGATAGATATCTTCACAGGTCAACTTACGTCGGATCAAGCATGACAAAGATGCTCGAACTTACAGATCCAGATGCTTACTTCAATGACATCCCAGTCAATTTCAGTCGCGTACTGTTTGACATCATGAATGCAATGTACGACGAAGTCGAGCCGATGCAATTTATAATTGGCCTGAGTATGCGAGATCCGGCCAACGACCAAAACGTATTGGAACTAGCTAAAGATGCAAGAGAGCTTCTGGGGAACAAGTTAGATGCGATGCTGCTAGGCAATGTAAGGAATGTAAAATTTCTCCCGCCGTTTGACTGACTTTTGAAACAAGGAACCGGATTTATATGCGGGACACGGAACGAGGACAGACTACAACCTAACGACCTATGTTAGTCTCTTTTTACATTTATTGATATCTCAATGAATGTATGATATCTCTTCTAGATCGCGGAATTAGGCCATGTCATTGGGGATATGGAACAGCAGGGCATTATTAATGACACCGTGCTCGGCGGTCCTACGATATGCTGTGCGCAATGGTATGCCTTTAACTTTCGTATGCTCCGGAAATGCTCAATCCGCTTGCAGGTCGTTATCCGACGTTATACAAGGAGGTCTCGACCAATATCCTTACAAGTACTACACGTGCGTTAACCCACTTTATGACCAGCTACCGCTCCGTGTCTGATGAAACGCTGCAGCGTACAACATTACCCGAATCATGCTTGCCAAGGTCCGAATGAGGGCAATACTAACATCACGTACTATCTCTCACACATGGAAGGTGTGCTACTTGCCTCTTTGTCGAGTAGGCGCTTATTCGCGTTTCAGTTGGCCCATACTTAGACTGGAACTCGGACGGCATCACACTCGCCAAGGAAGACGGTATTCCCGTTCTCCTTACGGAATACAATACAGTTTCATGCGGTGGCACTAACATCTCTTCCACCTTTGCTGCAGCCCTTTGGCTAATTGACGCTGGTCTCAAAAGCGCCGAGCGTGGGTTCTCCGGAGCTTATATCCACACTCGAGAAGCCGGAATTCAGTACAACCTTTTTGATCCACCTACCTCAACTTCGTCCGGGTGGATTACTGGAGCGCCATACTACGCAGCACTCTTTCTAGCAGAAACTTTTAGCGCCAGCGGAAATATCATTGTCGACTTGAACCTCAATGACTCTCTACACAATCCAAGTGCGACGTCGGCCGCATACGGAGTTTACGATGCCGAATCCACACGGGGGAAGATCGTGTTGCTCAACTTGAGTGAACAAGGTGATGAGCAGACGTATGATATCCCAGCTAATATGACGGCCTCGTTGCGCTACCGCTTGCTCCTCGCGCCGTCCGTCGTTGAAACGAGTAACATCTCATGGGCTGGCCAGACAGTGGGAGGTTTAGGTCAGTTGGACGGGGAACAGGATACGTTTCATCTTGATTGTACCGATGGGTGCACTGTGAACATCCCAGGCCCCGGGGCCGCTCTGGTCATACTAGGAGAACCTAGTGATGGTGATAGCTTTTATTACGGGAATTCCACAGTCAAGGGGTTGCAGAGTATCAACGGGTCAGTGAGGTTTGGGTCGGGTATACTAACCGTGCTGTTAATCATGCTGATACCTGTGCTTGTAATGCAAAAGTAGTAGTGGCCAGGTAATAGATAGCCCAATCGGGTCATTACGATTGATTCCCATCTCTGACAGACCGGCTAGGCGGAGCGGCGCTTGAAAGGCGGAATACTCTACTGCTCAGCCACTCGCCCTATAGCCACACGTTCCGAGTCCGTGGTACACTGTCAACCCGTGGTGAGTACAAGAATAAAGTTCGTGAAGAATCTACTAACACCACTCTTCTAAGGGAATGGCCCTTGCGTCATCATCGTCATCGGACCCTGGCTCGGTAAAAGCTCGTCTGACGTGTATCGAAGCTGAAATCACTTTGTTGGCCCAGAAGCTTGCCACGCTGACTACTGAACGTGACGAACTTCGACGTTTCGAAGTCAATGAAGTCATTGAACTTCCTGCAGACCAAGCTGACACTTACTCCACTACTATCTGTAGTCTTCCAACCGAGCTTCTTCAGGATATCTTTTCTCATTGTTTGCGGAAACACCCCGTCATGGATGCTGCAGAGGCACCTCTACTGCTCGGTAGAGTCTGCAGAGCCTGGCGGACTATATCATTACAAACTCCCAAATTGTGGTCATCCTTACATCTCGTGATTCCCCGGTCAATCCCTTATCCCGACTCGCAACCTGAGCTGTACGAACAGATGCGCGCGGGATTTGAATACTGGCTGGAGCATCTGGGTAGTCTCCCCTTAAATCTCTCCCTCCACTCTGAAGAACGACGAGAGGACGAGTCCGAGATGTTGTACTCTCAGCTTGAATGGGTATTCGAGAAATCGAGAGCTCGATGGAAACATCTTACGGTTTATATTCCTTCATTTTCGCTGGGCGTATTCTTCGATCTCCCTGCTGATCAACAGTATGACCTCCTCGAGTCGATAGAGTTGGGCACATCAAACTACCACACACCGTTTCAGTTCGAATACATCGAATTTCCTTTTCTTTCCGCTGCAACCACCCCAAACCTTCGCAAAATTTCCTTCCACTTGTTCTCACCGGACCTTCGAAGGGGGTCCTTCCCCCAAGTCCTCCCCAATATCACGAATCTTACTCTTCAACGCTGCGAACACTGGGATATGAACACCCCCGAGATGCTCATGATCCTCGGCACATGCACCAATCTCGTTCATTGCTACATCACCACCACTGAGAGATTTCACCCGACCGCTCAGGAACCTGCTATCTTCGTGCCCGCCCACCTTGCTCATCTCAAATCGCTAAGAGTTGAGGCATGCGGGTTCCGCGGTCCACCCGGGGCAGCGCCGAGTTTCCTTAACCTTCCCGACATCTTCACTTACGTCGTGGCCCCCGCCCTCGAAGCCCTAGATGTCGATGGGCTCCACCACGAAGTTACTGCTAATGACGCTGCCCTCATCGCACTGCGTGGGTTCGTCACGAATTGTTCTCACACCTTGAGGAAACTCAAGCTCCGCTCATACCTGTCCATCAACTCGACGGACGTCCTGATTTCTTGTCTGGACCTCCTTCCCTCGCTAATGGAGCTCAAGATAAAGGATTTCGACTATCCATGGACTGAGGCCCATCGTCCTCGATCTCCCGCAGTCACGGATAGCCTCCTCGAAGCGCTCACCAGTGGTGGGTTGTGTCCGAGCCTGGAGCTGTTCAAGCTCGACGACAACTTTGGTTTTGAGGAAAAGACATTAGAGCAGTTCCTATTGACGCGGCTTAAGGAACCAAGGGAGGGGTGTGTCCCGCTGAAATTTTGTAAGATTTCGACGTATCGAAATTTCGGTCCGGAGATTAGAGGTCTTGAAGGTGTGAAAGTTAATAAGAGGTTGATGTTCGCGAATCAAAAGCGGTCGGGGAGGCCATGGTTTGATTGAATAGAAGGGCGTGAAATGACCAACACCGTGTCGTTTTACGAAATTCTTTACCTGTTTTGTAGTGGGGTGCGGTATCATGATGCTGCGGGGGTCTACTGTACGGATAACTAACTCTTGTTGGGTACTCACTGAGTATACCAGGTTGGCATGGAGAATGTTTTTTTCTGCTACGGTCATGCACATTAGAGCACCTTTCGGGGTTAAGACTAACAGTAGGGCAAAATCCAGCAAGTTAACTAGGGCTGCGCACCGTCGTCGTATTGTACGGTTTTCGGTAACCATTATACGGAAGACGGGACGAAGCCGAAAGCACCATATTGACCATTTTGTAAGGCACGGTATATGGTTGTTCCGTCACCGTCAAGAGCTCTTACAGATGGCCGTACAACGTCGTAATACGGCTTATTTTGTTATCTGACTTTTGACTTAACCAAGAGTCTTTTTAGGGCGAATCTATGACACAAAATCAACACAAAATATCCATCATTCAATTCCGTGGCATTACCAACTTCACTTTTTAGCCGTTTTATCAAAATTTTGTATGCATTCAAGACAATATGCATGACTTTCCTTTAAGTCTTGGATACCTCTAGCCTTACTCAATGTGGCATAGCTCATTATAAGACTAGGTGCATTTTACAGATTTTTGGCAGTCTCAAAGGCGTCTGACTTACTTCTTTATGAGCCAATCAATTTCATATTTAGGCACACGGTCGTCAACGACCGTAGACGGCCGTAACGTACCCGTACCGACGCCGACAAGGCATTGAAACTGACCATACGGCACGGTATACGGATAATTCCGTGACCGTCTAGGACAATGACTTTATGGCCGTATACCGTATACGGTACGGTACGCAGCCCTAAAGTTAACTGGAAAAAATTCCAACTTTAGTGTTGGCTCACAACTCGGCAAGGTGTATTAATTGAATACTGAGACTTCGTTGTTATTCTCATGGAACCAGAAGTTGCCCGAGAGTTACTCAGAACGATGAATGTAGCACGGTTGTGCAAGGAGGATGTCCAAAAATAAGGTATAGCATTAAGATGACGGTGGCGGGATGGAAGTAAACGAAGAGTTTTGGGTTTTTGTCTATTTTACTGGGTGTCGCATGCTCTAAAAAGGGAGAGATAAGAACCAAAAAAAGCAAAGGTCTTGGGATTCGGGAACTTCCAAAAACCGAGGCATGGCTCGGCTGATCGGCATGACAGCGCGTGACCCCGGGTACAATGCTTTGTCAGCATCTCGACATAAAGCTGCTGTGGACTTCCACGATATTCCACAGCCGGCGGCATATTAACTCGAGGTCAACCCTGGCAAAGTCGCTTCTTTTGTGTTATATCTAGTGGAGTCGATCGCACTGGTATGACGTCTGTGGATAAACAACTCGAAGCTAGGTCATCCGGACACTTAGCAGCTTCTCAATATAGGTGCGGGCTGATAAGTGATCGTGGGAAACCGGCGGTAAGAGAGACCAGAATAGTATCGGTGACTTACCGGCAACTAAACGGGCGAACCTCGCCATGCTCAATGCTCCAGTGCTCTTGGGGTATAACTGCCGTGCTTCTTTACCATCACGACCCCGAGGACCGACAGAGCGAGACTTGTTGTTCGCTCCAGCAAAGCTGAGCAATTTCTTACGCCAGCAGAGTTTCTTGATTCTTGAACCTCCTTGGCTAGAAAATTCTCTGCGGGCTGGAAATACACTGATCCTCAACTGTACTGCTTCCACCAGACCCACCCAATGCTCCACTTGGCTCTCACACACCTTCCGATGGGCTTCCGCCACTTTCCCACCTGTACAAGCTATTACAGAGTTGAACGAAAAATTGCCTGGACGTCGGGGATATTTTCCTGGCAGGCATGCTCTGAGCTCTCTTCCTCGGATGCTCGATCTTTGCAGTTTGCTTTCTCTAAACGGAAACAATTGCGCGGCGGGAAATTATTCCGGTGCTTTACCGACAGTAACCGTTTTGCCGTGTCCATAATTAGTAGTGTGCACACTTTATACTTGCCAAGAAAGCTCCTGTGAGTATGTGTATTTATCCTCGACGTGGGTGTTCATTTTGTTTCTTTCGTGTGCTTTAGGGGACAGAACGTTCAAGCTCAAGCTCGCGTCTTTGGATTATCGGTTCCGATGGCGGTTGTTATGTACTTTTGCGGTTAGGCTGTCGTTTGTCGCCTCCCTGCATCGCAGCCCTGGCCCGTTCATTTCGCCGGTCTCTTACTATTAGTTCCTTCTTTGGCATCTCCCGAGTCTTTGGATTTTTAGCGGCCAGCTAGTCGCCATCCTGGGAACATTGTAGTCTGCACAGCGGTCTTGTTGACAATCGTGCGACGGCCTTTGGTCTTCAAACCGACTCGTGTACACAAGCTCAAGGGACAAGGTGATTTCCTTTTGACCCTGTCAGATTTTCTCGTGATAAACTGATTGATATCAAGCAAACCGAACGCACTCCTCAGCCAGAGGCCTCGTATATCTCGGTACCGCACCGGTTTTGCGTTTCGTTGATGTCATTTGCTCCCGTAAACTGAACACGGGTCTAAAAGTCTTCTATTCTTTCTCCAATACGATGTCCTCTTTCATCTTTCTTTACTCGCACTATCCGCATGTTTTGATGAGATTACGAGGACCCGATAGGAGGATCTGATTCATAGCACGAGCTTATTTTCACCGGGCCGGCAAGTAGCCTACTATACTTCCGTGTTTTGATCCCTCTCGCTCCTATGATACTATTTAGGCCGGGTAGTCTCTTGACGCTGTATTCCTGCCGCTGCGTGCCTGCCATTCTCTCCTTCAGCTTCAACATTCACACAGGACGAACGCCGCGCGTCATCATTCAATGTTACCCTTCCCCATAAATTAAAATTTTATTACCTCATGTCAATATGACGTCAGTACCGAGCTTCTTTTGTTAGTGACATCAAGGACTCGTTTAAACTTGCTTTTGAACAGTCCGTCCGTCGGTTTTGAGGTGTCTATTAGTTCCAGAAAGAGTTTCTGGCATATTCCTTTTCTCAGCTAAATTCCGAAAGTGTGCGGACTTTGAGCAGAAAAGGAGAAAAGGACATTGAGGCGATCCACTGACGTCATGTAATCTCGTGGTAAGCATGACGTAGCCCCTCACGACCGGGCAAAAAATTGGCCAATTTGATTTTTCCTTTCTTATCCATCATCCCCCATCACCCGTCACTCCACATCGCCTACCTCATACTCGATTCCACGTACTTAAGTTGCATTCACACTTGAACCGAGCTCGAAATTCCAGCCAACAAAGTCCAGAAACTCTGCAACAATGGGCGGAGACCACAAATGCCCCGTTTGTCAAGCGACCTTCACCAGGCCGCAGCACGTCGCGCGCCATATGCGTTCGCGTAAGTACTTTCAGCTCCACTTTGTTTGATTTTGTGGTATCCATTATTCTACCTTTCACTTTCTCCACCCTGCTCGATTGTCTCTCCACCGACTCTCCACGTCTCCGGTACGGACCATATGGAATTCTAATTTACGTCTGTTTAGATACTGGCGACCGACCGTACAAGTGTACACACTGTGGCGACCAGTTTGCCCGGAGGTACGTGTTTATTTCCTTTAGTTTTCCGTGATTACTGACTGAGGGGTTTCCTAGCGACCTCCTCTCACGACACATCAACAAATGTCACGCTTCCGCGTCCACGACGACCAGCGAAAAGGGCAACGGGCGACGGAAAGCCTCGGCTACGCGTGCAACGACCAGCAAACAAGCATGCGACCAATGCGTGCAAAGTAGTCTGCCCTGTGATGGCTGTAACCCATGTTGTGAGTTTTCCTTTCATTAATTCTGTCGTGGCTAGCTTCGACGCCCTTGGCGGTCTTTGAATTTCATTGGAGCCGGCTCGCTATGAGCTACTCGTAATGAAATTGTCAAGCCTACGCCATTAGCCGTCAGCTAGCCTAGGCGTTACTTCAATGCAAACTTGTGCTGATTAATAACGCCGTAGCCAAATGCGTACAACGAAAATGTCGTTGTACATTCGTCAAATTTCACCGACAGACAGCGCCTGTCGGCCCAGGTCATAATCCTCTTCCCTCGACTCATTTACCGCCCACGGCGCAGCGTTCTTATCTTCCTCCACCCGTATCTGTATCTTTCCCAACTCAGCAGCAGTTTTCTTTCCCACCACCGCAAATGTACCCATCCAACCTCGACGACTACCAGTCCAAGTACCGCGAGCTTATGCATACCCAGACGCAGCAGCCTAGTCCAGAAATGTATCACCCGACTCCGACATGGGTGAACTACGAGCCTTCGCACGATGTCCTTAATGCCGGAGGTTCAGGTCTCACGAGAGCTCATTCGCTGGAGCATCATCATCACCATGGCTCCCACTCCAACCATCACTCCAACCAAATCTACGACGAAGGCGGAGGCTGGACGAGAAGAGATTCTTTTTCAGAGAGTGGAGGCAGCAGCGCCGCAAGTAGCAGCGTTCACTTACCGCTTTACGAGAACGTTGATCCTTCAACAGCGGCGGCAGCGGCAGATGCACGCCTAGAAGCTTTCGGGATGATGAGCCTTGAGGAGCCGAACGCCCTCTACAATGGTTCCGCCCCGTTCTTCGATGGTATTTTCCCATCGTCATCGACTCAACCGACGGCTACTGTCAACCATGTACCGGTGTCCAGTATGATGCAAATTCCAACTCCCCGTGAAGCGGAGACCAGGGCACTTCGTGAGTTTTGGAAGGAGTACATGCGCAGCACGCCCTTATATCCCCCAGCTAACCACGCCCATTCGGCATCTCCGCCGCATCCAGTGATGAGTCCACCGAACGGCCGGAAGCGCGTTTCGAGCTTGCCGAGCGTGAAGACGCCCACGGAAAATATAGTCGGTGGTGGTGAAGGCAAGGGCGGCTTCGAGGATGCCGTGATGGCTCGGAAAACGCTAGGAAATCTCAGCATGGGAGGCATCCAAGGCATCAAGGGCCGACGAATGACGCACTTAAATCCTCCGTCGACTTCGTCGAATCCTCAGCCGCGCCAGCCGCCTATAAACAACGGTCCCTCCTATGGTTTCTCTCTCGCCGGTGCTATGGGCGAGGGAGAAAGACCCAACTTCAAGCGCCTCCCCAGCCAGGTTCTGGAACCATTCGGGGGGTCGAAGCGGGTGAGAGGCGACGGAGGAGGTGACGACCCAGACGACCTGATGGGTATGGTCAAGGTGGAGGGTAGCGAATGACTATATGACTATATGGACGCCGCGCCGCGGATTTTCGTTGATCGATTTGCGTGTTAGACGAGCCGAGGATTATATATATATCTGGCTTCCCCCCTCTCTTTTCTTCGTTTCTTTTCTTTGCTCTGATTGCACTTATGTTAGATACCAGTTGTTTTGTCAAAATATCCAGATAATTATTCGAGATTGAGCCTTTTTATTTATGTAATTGTAGCGGAGGGATCTCAGGAGGAGGAGTGAGGTCGTGAGGTTGCGGTTCAGAGGGATGAAAAGAATGGCGAAGTTACGTCGATATGGAGTTTGGACTGGGTTGTAGGAGAAATATATGCACTGTCATGTAAAGGAAAGGCTCTTTGTGAGGATGTGATACAGGAGCACAATAAAAATGGTATTTTCTTACGAGGAGACTATGCATTACTGGCAAGACATGGTGACGGTTGTCACTGGTCCGTTGAATTTATCACTTTATTTATTGCTATTTTCAAAAATGATGAGATTCTCGAAAAAGAAAAAAAGTTTTGACACGCCAGATGCCAGCCCGATCTCAGCCTGCGCCATCTGAGACAACCCACGACTATCGACGAAACAACCTATGACGTTGATCGTCATGGCCCCCTGAGTGCGGACTCGGAGGTCTTTTTGCGGGGCCCAAAACTTTTTAATTTTTTTTTGGATTCTCATCATTTTTCGAAATAGCAATAATTTTGTACAATTCACTATGAACGAACTTTTCAAAAATGACTCCGGCGTAGAAATAAATCCCGTACTCTCTGGCTGGGAGTCGAACCCAGCTTTCGCGCGTACTTCATCTTTTTGACCAATATGACAGGCGCGTGTACTAACCGATATACTACCAGAGAAGTTGTCTATGTGTCTAATAAAGTAACTTCATTGCCGAATGATTATGGTACACACACGAGGCCCTCGGACCGGTCCCCCCGTAGCTAGGCCTTCGACTTAGTTTCTATCTTCCAACCAACTAACCGACAAAACGTGCTGGGATAGCTGGTTAGGCGATTAACTTTCTCGCTGCTCTACACACGCCTTTGCTTCTGACCCAGAAGGTATAACGCTGGACGGAACCTTTGTGAAGAACGTTCTACGACTCATGCTATATACTTAATCTCATCCAGGGACAGCCCTCAAGATGAACTTTCAGGTCATCGTTTAAGTATTTGAGTCTAATATCTTCCGATCACTGATCTTTTGTGAGCTGTTCGTAACCCTGGAACGATCTTAAAAAGAGCGAAACAAGCCGCCCTTACCGCAGCCAGATGGCCCTCCCGAATTGCCTGGACTCGATCACTGGTTATCTCATGGATTCGGTGCTCCGTTGTGTTGCCCTGAGAGCTATGATAATGGGTCGAGCAGAACGAACGGATGCGGCTAATTATACTGGGACCTTTAATGTCTGCTTTTAAGAAATCAAGAGTGTAACTGAGGATCATCAGCGGTTGAAGTACAAGAGCGACGACGTGCGAAGACCTAAACGGAGCTGCACCTGTGTCAAGGTTCGTTTCATTATCTCGTATCTCAAGCTTTCATGACATAATATTACAGTCTTCTGGTGGGCGTCCTACTCTCACAACCTCGAAGCGCTGCTCTCAATGTCTTAATTGCATTTACTGCTTCATCGAATGTGCGTCAAAGGCACAGGACAAAGACCATAGGGAGGAGCGTAAAGCAATATGGAAATGCCGTAGTGGTATGCATATTCCTATTAATGATTCATGTCGCTGATCATAGGTAGATATACAGCGCCAATCTGTCTCCACGACTCTGGACTTCAATGAACCTCATCGAAGATTTTAACAACCAAAATTCGAAGGAGCACCACAGTAAAATACGCAAGTTGCGCCGGAAGTATATCATGCAGATCTCCCTAGTACTCCAAAACAATCTTTCTTTGCCATAGCTATGGATTATGCGCAGAATAAGGGGCCGTGAGTCGTTTGGATGACTATCTCCCACGGTTCTGCAAAGTTTGTTACTTACGGCGTATTCGCCGTCAGCATTAGAAGCCAAGTGGAGCTAGGAACTTCCAACGTTGATATTACAAATGGGTGCTCGTATTTATAACGGTAAATCACCGGTATACACGTTCTTCAGCGTCCTATATCACTGTAAGTACTGTATCAGTAAGCATGGCAAGATATAGTGTCCTTAGGAGGCTAAAGCACCTCGAAGATCTGTCATGGCAGTCATGTCCATCAAATAATAGAAGAGGATAAAGAGGAAAGTGTCCGATGAATAGGTCCATCATCACACCTATAGAACAAGAGACAAGGAAAGAAAGAGGAGGGAGAGAAACGTCCATTGAATAAGTCCATCACAATCCATCACATTCAACACAAAAGAGGAGAGAAAACGTTCCGATCAAAATGTTCATTTCGCCACAAAAGTGGTCACATGGAGGGAACCAAGTCTGTCAATACGTGTACAGGGTACCTAAATGAGTGCAGACCACGATCAGTAACCACGAGCCAGATGGTCAATCTGGCGCACTCACGATGCCACCTGAACTCGAACGACAAGCCGCTTGCTTTCCAATTCCGTAGATCGGCGTTAGTGACAGGCCCATGGTCCGTTAAAACAGAGCTGAGGCTTCCATACTCCTCTATCAGGTTGACGGGCCACCCGTCTCTATAAATCACCCCAATTTGGACCTGCTTGACGGTCGAATCTACAGTTCTGCGATTCTGAATCATCAGTAGAGCCGCATTCGCTAGTTGGCTTTTCCTGCTCGCTATAAGATTGCTCTCGACACACGGGTAACAGTGGATTTCCAGTTTGAATGTTTCCAAATGAGGACAAGGAACAGCACCGTCGTAGCTCGGAGTGAATGATCGCAGAACGGCAACGGCTCCATCTGTCTCCACATCCGACAAAGGTTCTGGCATAGCGTGCAAGCCGACTACAATTATCTCGGGCTCTTCTTTTATTTCGATGGTGCGAAGGTTGTGACAGGAATGCATGGCTGCAATGAAGGCGTTGGTGTCCAGTCGGAACAAGTGTATAGTAGACATGCTGATGGACGTGAGAGTGGTGCGGGAGCGGCCAATTGCTGGGATGATACAAGGCATGCTGAAGGCGATGTGAAAGTCAAATTTAAGTTCCTCGAGATGAGGAAGGTCGGAGGCCATTAGGATGATAGTGTCATCGGTGTCCAAGTGGCGCAGGGTAGTATGCGTGACAACGGGATGAACAAATGTGTCCAGGAAGAGATTCGTACGCGAGAAATGCGTTCCTCCGGATCGTCAGCTTCTCCAGCCACTGGGATGTTGTGAGTACATATTGCAAAAATCCGAATACCTGCAGCCCACATGTGATATCGTATTGTAATGAGTACTCCGTGAGGTGTTCAAATACTGGAAAGAAGACTGGTCCGCCCCACTGAGTGAAATGCTGCAGTCGCAGTGCGCTACAGAGCATAACGGATAGATTCGTGCCGTCGATTTCATAGTACAAGGGGTCGGATTGAATGTCGCGTGCGTAGTTATCGGAAAGGATGATGCGCATCTCCTCAAGGGTATCGAGATGGTATGACAGTGGGATGAAGAAATTCAAAAAGCTGGAATGAAATTCATATGTGACGGAACGCCAACGGGGAGAGGTGTGTAGGAATGTTTGGAACACGGTAAGGAACCGCGAAGAAGGATCGGACACATCTTGGATTTCGCCCTGGGATTTCCAGTATACATTGAGTGGGTGCCCGCTGGTGCGGCTGATCGCCAACTCGAGAAGTCGAGGGTCGAAGGAATTATCGGGGGAAACATCAACGATGAAGTTAGACCAAAGACTAGAGCAGGATTGGGCAACGGCTCTCCATTTCTTGTTCACAAACGTCAAGACCCAGGGTGGCGAGTCAAGTTTGTTAACGACGTATGGGGAGGATGACGCCTCTTTAAAGATATTTAAGAGGAGCTCGGGGGCAAGGGATTCAATTGGAGAGGACGTAGGGGAATGATTACTATCGGTTGCGAGGATGACAGTTTGCGAAGCACCAGCTGGACTTTCTGTTATAGCCGTCCTGGAGAGTACTGAATTATTTGGGTATTTGAATGATACCACAACAACGTACATGATTTTAGCGTAGCACAGCTAGATGCCGGGATACACAAGACAGAAATACACGGGTAACAGTGGGCCTGGGTACAACCATGCAAGTGAGTTTGTGTTATATCCAATCGATATTGACACAAACCTTTTGTGTGAATTTCGTAGTATACAGCACCGACTAGGTGGATTTATACAGTGAAGGAGGGAGGGGAAGAATGAGAGACTCTGCTTGCGAGCTGAGGGTATTTAAGCATTTGAGAAGGATCGCGGATATTACCAAGACTGACCTTTGTTAACGTCGAATCAAGTCAGGTGAGACGGGGATCAAGTAAGCGTAATGAAGAACTTCGATATTGTTTACTCGCCGTCGAATTGCTAGGCGACGAAAAAAGGTTTAAAACTTTTTGAGGGTATAAAATGTGCCAGAAAAACACGCTGACACACTTTTTTTGAGACGCCGATACGGCAAATCTATTGTGAGGTTAGCTCCATGGCCGCATTGATAGACTAAGTAGCAGGCTGTTAGCTTACATATCCGTAAGAATTCTACAAACCCGTTTTCAGCGATTTAAAGACCGCCTGGAGACGCCGCGTTTTCTGTTGTTAGTAACAGATGTTACTAGCTTCTTGAGAGATACAATGGACACTCCCGACAGGACTCACTCGATCCATATGAACGCCCCCCCCTGGTCTTCCAGAACCACAAGAAATTTACCAGGACGCGAGCCCATTGCTAGTATATTATTCCCTGCTAACACACGATGAGAAGAACTATTTAGAAACAAAAATTTGCACAAGCGAATACCATCTCGTAGATACGATATGCCCTCGATGCACAGTTACTCGTAAGTCGTTATGAGACGAGACTTTGGTGGATCAGACCCAAAAAGGATATCTGAAATCATTAAATTGTTTGTAAAAACCAATTAAGGCTCACAGTAATAATATATCGTAGGAGAGATCCAGTAAACGTTCGCCGTCCTAGTCTTTTAGGTTGTTCCTAAATGGCACGGGCAACAGCAGTCGTGCCTGAGTGCCGCGTCCCCTTAACGTGTTCTATGGTGAATGACGGGTCCTTCAAGTGCGAAATAATTGATAAATTTCCCCAAGGGTAATCTGAACAGAAAAAAACGCGTCCAACGCGTCGTTTAAAGCCATAGTAGATGATGGAAAGAAAGAAGCCTTCGGCTATCGGAGTTCGAAACTCCAGTAAATCTGCACTGCCACCAAAAAAACTGGTGCGTATCCAAGCCAGTTGCATCTTCTAGAGTGCTTCGAACAGTCACTATGCATTCAAATATTGTCTTGTCATATGTTATGTATCCGGTAGAATTTGAGATTTACAGTAAATCTTATATTGTGGTTGACTTTCTGCATACTGATCTGAGATCTCAAGTAGACCTGTCCGCCCCTTGTTTCGCATCTCGGATCTGGCCCTTCAGGTTCGAATCATTCATGGACTGGTCGACAAGACCAGTTTTTCTGTCGCTTTTCTTCGCGTCGGTCTTGCCGGTGTCAACGCCGCTTCTTTGGGCTTTATTTCCCCACACGTCTTCCGGAGGACCTCCCCATCCTCCTGAAGATGTCGCTATATGAAGGCTAATGAGAAATGGGCCCATGATAAAATGAGCGGGAACATGCATACTGTCTCCTTCAGGAGGGTAGTTCGTAGTCGCGAAGTCAAAGGTGGCAGCTAGTTGTAGATCTAATCAGCTCCTTCATTCCGAAGACAAGGTAAGTGGCTCACAATCATCAACGAGAGAATCTTTGAAATGTGCTCGTCCGAATTCGTCGCTCATGATCGTCGTAGTTGAAAGTAAAATGAAAGGGGGGGAACTCGAGGAACTAGATGACGTTCAACATGCGAAATGACGTTTCGATGATGTCATTTCCTTAATGCGAGGGCACGAGGGTAAAATACTATCCTAGAAATTATCGAGTGTCCGTACCGGTATATTTCGGCTATCATCGTCGTTGCAAAAGGGCAAGATAATGGAGGTATTCCCTTTGAAAACAAAATGGCATTGAGTGGATAGTTTTAGGCTTACATGTGTAGAAGCTTCCCTACGCGCCCACAGAGTGTCTCGTCTTTGGGAACTTTGAGGGGGAATGGTTTAAGACGTATCATGGACATCGGTACCACTAAGGGCAGTCAAAATGTAGTGAATACCGGATTCATCACGAATGCTGGCAAGGAAACACGAAATTTCGCCGCTCCCAAGTAATCTGTGAACACTGATATTATATAAATTGAGAAATTTCAAGATGCAAGAATAAGTACAAGCCGGTACATTTGAACGCAATGTAACAAAAAAAGCGTCGTTACAAGCTGGTAACAAGGATATTTTCGTATCTGAAAAGACGGGTCCCAGCTTAAGCAGGAACGCAAACCGGTTTATGCTTCCTGGTAGCTGGTCAGAAAGGGTGACGAGACTAGAGAACAACGGAACTCACTTCCAATGGGCCCTCTGGCATTCGGGTCCACAATCTAAAAAAAAAAACAGTGAATATTAGACGAGCGAGAAATATGATGAGATATGCCTTACAAGCCACGTTCTTGCAGCGGCCGCACTTCTGCAGCTTCATATCCCGCTTCTCACACGCTGCACAGGCATCCGACGCGATCACCACGTTCCTCTCAAATGTAACCCTCCCATCCGCCTCATACCGAACGTATCCTATATCCAATACCTCCTTCCTCGTATCCCCGCCCTCGATACCGAACATCTTCAGTAGCTGCGCATTCTCGTGATCGTTCTTAAACAAGATAGCGAGGTTGTCTCGCGCAGCCTCCACATCATTGCAGATGAACCGATCCCAAGGCTCACGTGCATGAGCGATGTTAGAGTACGGTGGATGGGTGGCAGCAAGATCTAGAGCTTCGCGGTAACGTTTCATGGCGGTGGGTCTGTCCTTCGCATCCCAGGCGAGCAGCCCGAGCGTCAGCCCAGCAGTGATCTGCGTGCCCTTCAGGTAGAGCTTGGCTTTATCAGTACGAAAACGGGGGTGCTCGCTATTGGAATTCGGACGGTAGCTATAAAGAAGTTTGTACGCGTCCGGCGAATTTTCTGACCGGCACTATTAACAAAGAACTCGTAGAAAAACATATTCAACGACGTACCTTTGGTCTTTCCAACTGCTGGATCCTTGAAGAATCCAATGAAGTTCCTCCATGCTCCACCTAACGTCTCCGTTGGAAAGGTGTTATCAGGCATCGAGCCGCTAGGTATTGGCATCTGCGCCGTGACGTTTTCATCCTTAACGATCTTTTTGATAGCTTTCTGGTAATATTCAAAAGTCTTATCGACATCGCCTTGGGCGTAAAACCTCTCAGCCTGAACGAAGAAATTCCATCCGCCGGACATAGTGTTATAGGCAACGTCGTGATGGTTGGTTGTTAAGATGTGAAAATAGTAAGGAACTTCGGTCCGTAAATGCCGAGTACTTGGTGGCTGTGCCCTCGCGGCCGTTTTATCCACAGTTGCCTCCAATTCGCCCTCTGTTACCGTGACGTGACCCCCCAAAAAGGTAGTCACCTAATGAACTGGTTCGCGAGTGCTAAGTCGCGTGAAGTCCTGGCAGCGGGGTGGCATCCAAGAGAAGTCTCTTCAGAGCTTACAGTATTTTTTTTTTTCAGTTGGTAACAATAGTTTTATATTTATGCAAAAACCATAGCTAAGAAGATGTTACACTGACACTACAAGCTTACAACTACCAGAACTAAGAATAAAGCAAATAAATATACATACTTATATTCTCTCATGAGCTAAACGTCGGTCCCAGAGCAGCACCACGGTCCGCCAACTATGATATGTCAATCATGACGGTCGGCTCCGTCTAGGCGATAGCTGTGCCCCCGCTGATAGCCCTGATTCTGGGCTTCTTGAGTTGCGATGTGCGAGGGTGATTGACTTGTGGGGCAGAGTGGCGGCGGGAGTGGGAAGTAGCTGATGGGAGATGACGGCGGCGGTGCGCATCGTCATCGTCGTCGTCGGTGATGGCGAAGGGGATCGTGGTGGGAGAGTGGGAGAGAGATGGTGGCAGCAGGTGGCACACTGAGCGAGTTGAGCTGACCCGTGGTTGTGTGCCAGCTCGCCAGACGACTACCTCTTTAGGACTCACGTGGCGGCTGTGCTGGAGGGCGAATTTTCAGAAACTTTTATCCACTCCCACGCTCGTTGTCCACATGGAACTGTAGCATCCATACATCGAAATCAATCATAAAGTGCTCATGAAATCCTTCATTAAGATTAATGAAACGGATGATAAAGATTTTCGGTGATGGGTGAGGTACTGATAATCAAACATCAAGCGAGTTTGATTTCAAATTTAATCCCGATTCCCAGAATCCCCACCAAAGTGACCAAACAACCTTTGTCTGAAGCACGGACCCCGTCAGTACTCAGGGAATCTAGCGTCTAGCGTAGAATACTTCTGTGCATGAACAAAACGTAAGTATAGAGATCCAAAGCCAGACTTGCCATGGAGTAGAATAATGCCGCCACCAAGTCGTCAAGTTTTCGACCTGATCCGCCAGCGTGAGGGACTGACCACTGCAACCTCTGCCAACATGGAAGCGAGTTCAAAGGATAGCCGGTCATTTTCGACTCAGAACTGCGACTGTAATCAGGTTGGACCACTAAAAAGCAGAGAACATCCTCGGAGGTAATGAAATTCACCCGAAGAACGTTAACGTTATCGCCACATTTCGCGCAGAGATATCATACGGTATTTTGGCGCCTGAATTTTTGAAGACGCATGAAGAGGGGCACCTTCAGATGAAAAGAATTCTCGGTGGAGACCCAGTTCGAGAGGCCGAAGGGATTACGCCGTGAATGAAGCGGACAATCATGCGCCAACATCCTCAGCGAAGAGACAACAGGAAGCCGGGGTCGGGTCGGATTCACCAGTGATTATCGATTAGAACTGAGTTTGCTCCGAGTTCAGGTGATAAATGAATAATTAACTCGCCGTAGTGACGGTCCAGAGTTGCACGACATGTTTTAAATGCAAGTGATCGGCGTTTTTAAGCGAGGTCAATGGAAAACGCCACAACATCTAAAGGCTCTCACCAGCGCGTGCTACTGTATGCAGAGACGATAAAACATTCCCATGGCTGCTATTCTGAGAGCTTCCTTGCACAACGAGTTCGCCACGTTTGCGGCGCGTACATTCTCGTCGTATGAACCTAACATATTTAGGATTCGTTGTACACTGCCAGAAGACACCGACGTCCGAGAAAACTGAGTTTCTTTTCCGTAGGAAAGCAAGAATCAGAGACTTCAGTAGCGAAGAGAAGATTTTGAAAGCAACAAAGAAAAACTGATTGGTAGTCATGGAGCAAACGACGACTCGTGGCAGGTCTTTGGAGTCAAGCTTTTTGATAGGAAATCTTCTTCAGTTCATATAGAAGCTACACGTGGCGAGAGGAATCCAAGAGAGTCGAGGAATCACCGCTACAGGACTGGTCCTCGTGGTTCAAAATTAACTCAATGTCGGAGCACCGCCACTCGAACGGGCCGGCCTGCTTATCCGCTTCACTGCATTTGCCGGAATACCACTTTTGATGATAATTGGCTCGTAAGACTCATACAAAGGAAATGTGAGTAATAGAAGCCGAAAACAGAACGTTCATTGAGATATACAGTCACAATATACATAAAGTCGTACATAAAAACAATATCATTAGCTACCACGCCCGCATCAGTATGGGCATTGAGCATCCGAATAGATGGTAGCATCCCCAGGACCTTTCTGGAGTGGGTTGCATCCAGGAAGCTTGGCAAGCGTGCCCTCAGTATCCTCATTGACTACGGCATTGATCTTGCATTGGTTAGCCGTGTCAGCGCTGATGATATTGAACACCGAGCAAGCATTGAAGACGCCTAATAGAGCGAGTGAGTATGGATCGCATAGGAGGGTAGTCCTAAATCTCTTACCGTTAATAGTATCGTTATCAGGGTCGTTACACTGGTCGATCGCACGTTGGAGAGCGCTTAATGAGGTGTGATGAGATATGGAAAGGAAAGAAGGGAAAGAAGACCATACTCGACATCCCATCCGTTCTGGAAATCACCGTGCCATCCGTATCCTGTCGGGTCACTATTGGATTACAGTAAGTAAGCGGAGCGTTAACTGGGTGCCGGGGCTGAACATACCCATGAGCCTAGGGAAGAAAGCGTCAGGAAAAGGAAAACGTGAGAGTAGTAGAAAAGCCTACATAAACAAATGGCCATCCATCACTCTCGCTCCACCTTCCAGCGAAGTCATGAATATCCCAGGTGATCTCGTAGAAGAGCTTCATGAGACCAACGGGGTGCGTGGAGGGACAGTCGCCATTGTCCAACTGGGATAAGAACGCAACGTGGGATTTATGGTCAGAGCTGTCCACATTCTGTCGTGAGCCGAGTCAGTGCTCGGAAGAGAAAAGAGTAACAGCGAGGTAGGTATACTGACAACGCCATCCCAGCATGCAGGGAAATGCAACCTAGATTGGAATCCGGCCTCGCAATCGGTGTAGGGGAATCCGCCGGTTCCTGTCAATCACGGCATCAGGAACAACGTCACCCAGGAAAGGATGAATAGGGAAACAGACCTCCATAGTCGGGGTTACTCGTCGTGTAGCGCAAGCAGACCCAAGCGATAGCACGTTCGGCGAGTTCGGCTTGAGTGCCCAAGCCAGTGGGGTATCTAAAGGAAATGATAAGCTGAGACACTATGGAAGCGAAAGTTGAACTTACTGGAAACTACGCTTCCTCGGGTCTCCGGTGATCATCCTAAATCCTTCCGGGAAGGCTTTGAGCCCAGGACCGCCGTTAGCAACGTCCATGCTACCACGGTTCTGGTAGTAGATTAAAAGGCCTATATTCTTGTAAGCGCGATTCCGAAATTGAGTTTAAAACATACCGCCGTTAGGAACAGATTCAAACAGTCCCGTTTGAGGGTCCCTGAAATAGAGCTTGGGGAACCCTAGGTAATGGAGTCAGTATTAATTGGTAATCGCTCATTATATACCGTACAGTAATTGGAGAGATCCTGTCCCACTTGACATGAAGTGCATTGAGACTGGCGCATAGTTTGGTAGGTACTGGCAGGCCCGAAGTCTAGACGGGAGGGCGTAAGTAAGCCATTTCAACACCGAGGACAGGTTCAGGACTCACTAGATCCTCCGTGTACAGTCTGAAACGCGTCGGTGTGAGGCACAAACAGGCGAGGACATCAGAAAGTACGTACATGGACATGTTGGGAGGGGTTCGAACCGGGTTGGAGGATAGGGTCCAGACGTTCTGCTAGTCGTTGAGTAAACGCGACAGAAAGCACCGGAGCGAAAAGAACCTTGAACGAGCGGCAGCGTGCATGGGAGCCTAAACCATGCATTGACGCTGACGGCGACCAAGAGAAGAGAGAGAAGAGAGCGCATCGTTAGACTGAAGTAACAGTAGCTTGAGGTGCTGAGGATGAGTTGTATCCGCGAGCCTTTTTAAAGCAGACTGTCTACCAGAAGGGGGAAGCAAAACAGGCCTTGCTATGAGCACCTGGGATTGCAGCCATATGCGCAGACAGTAGAAGATCCGGGACTAGAGGCGATTGTGGAAATATTTTCGGTAAATGGATTAACATGGAAGCCAGGAATTGGCAGCAAACGGAATCAGAGAGTGCGGATGGACTGGCGCCGAATTCGACGGGTGCCACGCTATTAACGAGCGCGACAGCGCCAGTATTAGTGAAGCCTTCTTCAAGCATCCCACCAAGAGGCGCAATATTGTTCGGTTTGCAACGTCAGAGATCAGAATGACGTCGACCCGTTTAGTGCTCGCACAGTTCCAAACTGGGAAGAAATGAAGAAATTGAATGCGAACGATCCGAGCTTGCCAGAGTTCTATCTAGAGATTCATGTGTATACGCTCCCATGGATAGCTAGAATCATATGTTCGTAGCACTAGCCGTGACGGTGTGGCAGAGATGGTCGAGCCTGGTGACAGCGCTTGAATACTACTAACCGTTAAACGAACAGGTGCCAATAAGCTACTTCAGCAGCATGATATGTTTCCAGTCAGTCAGGTGTGTGAATACTACGAAGGCGAGGAGTCGTAAAATCACCACAGATCTTCCTAGCGCCGTGTCATAGTGGTGGTGAAAAAGGAAAGTTTAAGGTTTATGTCAGCAGGATGATGAGATACAAATCAGTTCCCACGCCTAGTTAAGGCTTATCTGGCCGTATCACCTCCACCTGACGCTTAAAATCTTTGAATACCGACGAAATCACAGGGTCATAAAGGGAACTCTAGCAATTTAGTACCGTCAAACCGGAGCTTTGTTGCAATTTTTGCGTACATTTGGATCCTCGGGGAACAGGAATCTGAACAAAGCTAAACTTAAACGCTCAGAACCAATGCCTGGTAGGCCCGGACCCCTCGACGCGTTCTTGGCGACTCCATCATCTCCTATGTCTATTGACCATGTGCATCTCTTAAAGGATTAAAATTCATAGAATACACCCAAGCTCGCCACCGGAGCTACAAGCGGTCAACGTGCACCATCAGAGCCTTCCAGAGTGTCATAACTTGCCAGCGACGTATAGGCTTGCTACTTCGCAACTCTGTTTGTATGGGAATTTTACCTTCAACGACCGGAAATTAACATCGGCGGAGTTTCTGACGCTGAAGCTGTTTATGACAGGTCGACGACCGCTGCCGACTAAGTCCTTCTTCCTCGTTTAAATTACAGAGAGACGCGCTTGCTCCAAAATACGCTTACTTCCGATAAGCCGGAGGAACAATATACGAGTATGTCCCCTTGTTATGTCAATTCGCGTCTTTTTCTCGCTGTTCTTCTTTCGCATTTTTGTGGCAGAACATGATAACTCGCCTCGTGCAGCTATATCCGGCACTTGCATTCCAAGCTCTCGCAAGAACGAGTATATCGGGGTAGGATCACACCCGCGTGCTTTTAGGGTGCATGTGAGGTTTCGGTATAGACGAAAACGCCGTGCTGAAATGGCAATACTGTCGCGTCGACGATCAGTTATCCGATATTGCAAGGAATGTTACGAACAGGAGCCCCATAGGAAGAGACACGTTTTTTCTTGTCAAAAAACTGACGGAAGTGGAAAAATCAGGTGCTATGGGGAGTACATCCTTTCGGATAGGTCTTTCGCGCTAATTTCGCACTACGGTCTCCAGCAAGTAACTGCCCCGTGAAGACGTGTCATACGCGTTTTGTCTCTGTAAAATATTTGTTAGATCTTATAAATATCATTTCGCGTGTATCCGACGCGTCATTTGACAGAGTCTGGGAAGGGAAACTACTGCCACCTCCTTGGAACGGCTCCTCGGTTAACAAATGAACGCCTCGTGCTGCTACATTTCAATTCTATATTTTATTTGTGTTCTTTCCATGCTATACCATATTCGCCGTGATCATCTCTTCAGTTGGGAAATTCATGCAGGGAACTAACATTTCTATTAGCAGGCCAGGCAGCTGGGTGGTCACTGATCAGCATTTGATCAGCTCTAATAGCTACTCAGGCGAATGAAGGTGCGAATCCTTGAAGACCTATAGATAAAAGAATAAGATTCTTTTTTTTCTTCCCAGAGGACGTCCTAGGTGATAATCTACTTAAGTATTTGAGTTGACCCTGATGTGAAGCATCGGGACGGAAGGACCGGATGTTTCACACGCTCTTCCTCTTTCGTACCATCATCGTCCGCGTGTGCGGGGATTGATGCGACTGCTCCACGTACTGAATTGTACAATGAAATCCAGGGTCAGATATGCTTTCTTGGATAACGACTGCCAGCTCTCATCAAGCTCACTTTTCATATAGCAACAAGAATCCTCTAGCACGAGTATAGTCACCTCCCCTGTTACCCTCTGATCATGGACCCATGTGCTGGAGACCGCTTTCGCTCGGGAAAACTGCGTCTTCCATCTCTTTCTCACCGATTTTCCGTACTCCTTCATGACATATCTGATCATCTGAGACTCTCATCGAGTCACCGGATTCCGTCGGAACTCTCCAGAAAATTAAACGTCTTGGAAGTGATATGAATGAGGAGTATGTGCATGTTGTCTCCGCTTTTCATGTGGAAAGCTGATCTTAAAGCATTTGCTACAGGAGTCTGATTCTCAGCTGTACCGTTCCTATCCGGGAACACCAGTGCCGCGTGAAATTTGGATCACGGAATGCAGATGCGAGATCTGTATATCTCAGGAACGCTGGCTTGGCGGTTCCTTTCGTTTTTAGCTTGATGGTTCACGTATTTTCAATTACGGATTTTACCTGTCGCCTTGATCTTCCTTTATTAGCGTCAGGACGAGGCAAATAAGCACAACGACTCAGAAAAGGCAGCCGTCCTTTTGTTTATTATCAGGTTAATGCCTCCTTCCTGCTTTGTTTTTACAACGTATATGACCACATCTAACTTACTGTGCAGAGTGTGTTGAATCACAGTTAGCGTTCGCTGTTAATGCCGGCATTCGCTTCATCTGCCACAGTTGTTAATAAGGTAGGGCTAAAAAAATCAGTATTAATTAACCTCGGTTTATTAACATTGTTATTAACACGTTAATAACATGTTAATAACAAGGGACCTTAATACATCTTGTGAATAAAGGTGAATAAATCAGGCTCCTATGGCCGCTGTGCTGACTCATTCCCTCTCATTCCGCCGCCAGATGCTTAATACTTTGTCAGGCACGAAAAGTGTAAGGGATGTGAATTTCTATAGGCTCATGATTGCGTCATTCCTTTAGCTTTATTTACCTATTCCTTCGGACGACTACGTATGCGCCGTTTTTTGGCCCTTTTCATAACTTTATCTAGGATTTCTACCACCATGTCGTGTCTTTGACTCTATCTACCTTGGAAATATACACCTGAATCGTACTCAGTCTTGGGTTGAAGACCCGTCCCGTGGCAGATCCTTTACAAAAAGCCATACCTTTCTTGCTGTCGCCGCTACAAGATCGGACCAGAAACATGAATCTTGACCCTTCTTCCTGCACCAGCCTCAGAAGCAGGTGCTGCATCAATGTTTTCGCAATTGCCGGAGTTACCAATGTCATGGAGTCTTGTCAACACCATCTGGAAACACGTTAAGAGGGACAAGACAAGGCCAATTGAGTTAATCTACAAGCGGTTCTGGATTTGTTAACCAATTTTTTGCTGTTCCCTTGTTAGAAATCGCTTTTTTCACATGTTATTCGCATTATTTCACAAGAAAATTATTAACTGTTAATAGCCTGGTGAATAAATACCCTCTCGCGACCTGATGTTAAATAACATATTATTAACAGGACCGGGAATTATTAGCCCTACCTTAGAACTTGTTAACGTAGTGGCAGAATGAGCAAGCACGAGGCCTCTTCAATCATAAAAGCAGATAATTGCGCGGACGGCGATATCAACGCTTCTTCAGTGGGGTTTACTCATGATGCTGCTGATGGCTGATTTAGAACCTCCGGTCCATTCAGCCTATACTCACGGTACCAATCAAAGGTCTCAGGTGGGGCTGATATTTCGGGGGTCCCACCCCACAAAAATGACATGCTTTTACAAGTCTAGTAGCAGTACAGCGTAGCCCTAGGAGCTCTCCATGGTTTTCTGAATGTACGATATTATTGGGATGACCGATACACGCACTTTTCATAGGAGCCCTTGTGGCACAAATTGTGTGTTCATTCATATTATCTGTTTAGACTCAGGAAGCACAAGAAAAATTGTTGATTGTCGGAAGCACCCAACTTTCGAAATTGGCAGCATGTATTAAATTTTCACAGACACGGTGGATCTTTGGTAATGTACCGGTTTATACATGACGAGGTTGGGCTGTGACAAGTATTGTGCGCGAAAACTGGGTTCGACTCCCAGCCAAAATGATTATGTTGCGAAATCAAGGATTCTCTCTCTCTCTCTCTCTATCGGAGACGTTAGATGGGGCGTCCCCGACTGTCCGTCTGTCCCATTCCTTGGACGGTCGGCGTTATGAGATTATTGTATATATTACGAGGGAGGAGGACTTCACTATAGAACCGGGGGGTATATCGACCCGCAAGGAAGCACCGACCATGCCCCGATTACCAGGACAATTTCGAGTACGCTGAATAACGTATAGCAACGTTGGCTGGGGTTAATCAGGCCAATGTGTATATGCGCTCAAATTCCGGAAAGTCAGCTGCTCATTCACTTTTCGTTACGCTAAGGCTCTCCTATTTCTTCGCTTCAGCTGGTATTCAATCTATTCTAAAAGGTGTCTTGCGTATGAAACTGATTTCTTTCCGCAAGTCACTAATGAGGTTCCACCTCCACCATTGATACAAATCTCGCATCTAAACTTTGCTGTTAACATAAGTCGTGGCAAAATGGACGCGCACTGTACCGCTTGGAACGGTACTTGGTCAGATTACTAATTCCAGTGCTGGTATCAACGTTTCTTCAATGTGGTTCACTCTAGCTACTGCTAACGCATTATCGTACTGAATGGGGTCGCATGTGTGAAATAGGCACGGTCTGGTTCATTGAATCCATGCTCACGACGGTAAGCCCATTCAGTAACAGACCACGAATGAGTTAACTTGTGCTTGTGCTTGACATTTTGGGCGACTCGCCTCACCGAAGAGCTATAACTCCACAAATCTGGCAGACATTTGGAGTGGTTCTGGAAATACCTCATTGATACCCGGATGGCAGATGGTAATGATAGTGTGCTGGGTACATCGTGAGTATCAATTATTGCGGAAAGACATGATCTTATGCTGTGGTCCGGTCCGGGATGTTAACAATACTGTTAGTGGATCTCCAAACCCAAGGTCCAAAGTGATACGTACGGTGGGCACGGATACGCTTGAAAGGAATCGTGTGTAGACACATTAATGGTCCGGGCTTATAGAATCTATCATTCGTGTTCGATAAAGAGTACTATTTCTTTGGTAGCTGACTGGTTCACAGACCGGAGCAAAGGTACGAATCCTTCGAGGTGCATAAGTATATGTTTCAATCAAAAGCAATTGATTTTTTTTTTCAAGTGCAGGACAGCCGAAATAATGGGGGGGACACCATGCCAGGGGGGTTAAGCAGTGAAAAGTTCAGGAGTAAACGAAGTGACAACAGAGTCGGCGTTTGCCGAGACTAGCTTTCTTTTCACCCATGTCGTTCGGACTAGTGTTTCGATGACTCAGCTTGGCCCGGCCCGACGCGGCTTTGTTCGGCTTCAGCTTCAATGACTTGGCCAAGTCATTAATTTATTGCGGCTTGACTTAAAGCCGAGCTGTAGTCACGCGAGTCGGCAAGTCGGCGACTTGAATCCAAATATAGATATTGATTTAAGGATTAACTACAACAGCCTCCACCGCTGTCAGACTCTGCTTGAATGCAGTTAAATCAGTGGGAACGACTACGCTATCATGGGTTAAAGCTTCAAGGTTCCTAAACTCAGCTTCCCTGCTCAGATTTTGTGTGAAATTAAGACCACCATGGGATCGAATCACGAATTTGAGAATTTGGAGCGCTTCCATCATTTCTGGTGTAAGACGGTTTCGACGTGCTGTATCCGTCTCCTTGCTGGAAGAGAAGACACGTTCACAAGGAACAGATGTGCCCTGTATAGGCAAAATGTCCATTGCGAGCTTGTAGATGGTCGGATATTGAGTGCGGTGCTCCTATGATCAGTAAGCAAGATATAAAAGTAGAAGGACAGCCTCGAAACCATACCTGCCAGTAAATAAGGCTTGTTGATGCAGCAGACATATCCATAAGATACATATCAACCTCGTGTTCAACGGATTGTAGCTGGGACCGATGCGCCGTACTCTGAGGATTCAACCTAAGGGCATTAAAAACCCATTGAGCGGGATCTGCATCATTCACTCCGCTGTCGTTACCACCAGATACATCATCAGAGCTACGATAAGTGCGGACCTAGTAATTACAATGAGAGTCAATGAAACGGATATCAGTGAGCTGGATTTACCGCATCGACAAATGATTGCTTCACTGAAACATATTCTTCTGGCCGAAATTGGCTATACCAGTTCAGTTTGATGTACGGATTGACAGCTACACGGAGTCAGCTAGTCAAATTCATTCAGTAATAAAAGCCAGAAGGGACATACCCATTGCAAGCATATAAGCTGGAACATCACGAGCAAGTTCCATGTATTCTGAGAGCTTCTCAAGACCCACATTAATAGCACGCGAAAGTGAAGGAAATTCTTCCTTCTGAGCTTGCCACAGGGCTGAAACAGCTTCGAATGCTGGAAGCATGTCACAAAGTGTCGGAGTCTTCTCGGCAGATAACTGCTCCTGGAACTGGTGCGGTACCTGTGGAAACTTTAGCTAACAAGCAATTATGATCCTGGAGAAAGGCTAGCACATACATTTAAAACTGTACTCATGTCATCAAGAAGATCCCAGTCATGCGTATTGATGTTGTTGTTTCTTGCGAGGTCTTGGAAATCATCAGATGAGAGGAAAGCATTTATAGCCTTATAGGAAAGTCAATTATGACTACGCTTTTTCATGAAATGCTAAGACAGACATACCAGGCGAAGGAACAATGCTCGTTCAATCATTAAATGAGTTGATGACCAGCGAGTATCAGCATCGAGGATTATTTGAAGTTCCTTATTAATCAAAGTCTTGACGGCATTTGCAAAATGTTCACGGCGGAGCGATGATGAACGGATCTGCAGTATATCAGCCTGATCAGATTTAGGCCATGATGCAAATAGATGGAATATGTACCGCACGGATCAGGCGTCGTAAACGAGAGACCAAACCGTCAGCCATTTTCTCCAATTCAGCAATAGTAGCCTTGCAGGCCAGATTGATAACATGTGCAAAGCATCTAAATGATGTGATTTACGAGGGTTTTGTGTTATATTAAGACATCTCTCATACCTGATTCTCATGTTGATGCCATTGATCGCTAGCTCGGGATATTGGCGTTTGAGTTCTCGGACTAACGCGGCAACCAGGGTGTCATTGTTGGATGCATTATCTGTTGTCAGCCAACCTGTCTGGAATTGGTGAGTCGAAGCAGTCATTGGAGAAAAGAAGCGGTTTACCTTGCTAGCAATACCGAGTCTATCTAAAGCATAGAGGAAAGCTTGAGCAAGATGTTCACCAGTGTGTCGTCCAGGCAACCGGTGAAATCCAATGAGATCAGCGCGATAGACAAGATGCTTCTGCAGGCCATGCGGTGTATTGACCAGCTGAGGTTGTATCCAGTGTGCCGTTATAGCCATGAATGACCGCTGGTTTTGGTCAGTCCATAGATCTGTCGTAAATGAGATTCTTCCTTCAGAAGACTGAAATTTAAAGTGTATAAAAACCATATGCACGTTATACAGGACAGTCTACATACCTTCATTTCTTCACTAAGTGTTTCCAGATGCTTGTCCAACGACTCAAGAATATGAGCACGGAGGTGGTCAATGTGAGGGATGTCTTCATCTGAGAAATCGCGCCTTAACAACAAACAAGTAACAAGTATTCATACCAAAAAAACATCAGATTGAATTATTAGGATACCTTAAGAGCAAAATAAGATCACGAAAATGACGATTCTCTATAACGTTCAGTGACTAATAGAAATATATTGTTAGCAGAACAACTCGGAGACATACAAACGACGAGAATCTCACCTGGTCGTCTCCAACTACGAAAGTCATTATTGCATCAATGAATGACTCCCGAGAAAACTCTCGATTACGACTAGGATCTGTCGTTGACGTATCCTCTGGGACGCCTGTGCCAGGATTCTTCTCGCGATACGCCCACACTGCTTCTCTGGCATTCTTCGCTGAAATCTTGATTTTGAGTTCATCACACGCCGCGATCCATGCATCACGGTGATGACTGATGAGATGGCTGCGAAGAGAATCTGTACCTTTTCCAGCATACTCGTGGAATGGGACAGACTTCCCTGCTTCCTTCTGACGTCTAATAGAGAGTTAGATATTGAATAACTTGCAAGAAGAATACTTACAAGCAAAACCGACAACAATGATGATCATCCTTAGTTTCAAAGAATGTCCAAATATCCTCTGCTCGACGCCCCCCTTTTGAACCCGTTCGCCTGCTAGGACGTCGCCCAAAAAATGTTTGGCGGGGTGTTGATGCTGGGCACTCAATACCTGACCGTCGGCGAGGTGTGGCGGATCTTGGTGTACCAGGAGTAGCGCGTGGTGCAGTGTTCCTTGAATGAGAGCGAGGTGCCGGTGTTGGTGTCGAGGGGGGTGTCGAGGGGGGACTTTCAGGTGGTATCCCAGAGACGTCGAAATATTCACCTTCATCATCAGAATTATCTTCGAAGTGTACACGGACACGCACTGCCTGAATGGGATTATTCGGGGATGCTCGACGCAAGACAGGTGCTGCTAATATATAGTCAGCAATTTGAGTATCAAATACTAATGTATGTACCATTGTTATTTCCCGTAGGCGGAGCACCATGATTGTCTGTACGGGGAGTCGACCCTGGTGGTAGCGGTGGATGGTGCACTGGTAAAGGCTGTTCTGGTCCTGGTGCGGCTGTAGGAGAAAATCGAAGCGTAAGAAGAGCAATGCTTAAGAATACATACGTGTCGTCGGAGCCTGCTCTAAAGATGGCAGTGGTTGTGGAGGTGGTTGCCTGCGGCTGCGTCCTCTGCGTGGGGCTGGCGGCTCTGGGTTCGAAGGGGCATCGTGTTCATAATTCGGAACACCTTTACTCTAGATTAGCATAGAACGCTAGCACAAATGACAAGGCGCACGAAATGTGACGTTAAGACTTCCGCTAGGCTGCTGATTTGCTGTATAGGCAGCTGTGGTACGTCGGGGGGCCATGAAATAAGAGAAGACAGCTATGAAGAGTAGATGTGATGGTCAATAAGCTGACAATGTCCCAGTATTTAAATCGTCGCACCATTTGCTTGTGTTCTTCCAACAAACCAAATTAGGCCAAAGATTTGGGGCCATGACGGACACATGTCGACAACGCAGTGCTTGATGTGCTTGAATCGGTCCACAGGTGTTGTAAAAAGGTGTTCTTCAAGGCCAGCAGGCAACTTTGAATCGAGTTTGAGGGTGTAGCAACAGCTTTGCATCACAATAAAGCACTCAAGGCCGAGTAAAAAGAAGGGCAGTACCCCAAATATTGCATTAGAAGAGGTAGTAGAACAGCCGTTATGTACGAGAACTGAGAGCAAGACGAGCGAACATGTAGAGTGGCGACGAAACACGATGGGAAGAGGGACGAGTCTAATTCCCCAAAAAGTTGATCGAAGTTGTGACTTGGGTGACTCGAAGTCACGTCAAGTCACGCTGAGCGGATAGTCCCGGGTGACTTGGTTCAAGTCGGATGCCATCCGCGGCTTGACTTAAAATGGCGTGGCTCGCGTGGCGCGCGGCTTAAAGCCGAGTCATCGAAACACTAGTTCGGACGTCTTGGTCAGACCCGAGCGCGTTACGCGCAGCTGCCTGAAAAGCATTGATACACTTATGATTCTGTAGTTTGGTCAAGTTTTTCTACTGCCGCTTTCCGTGTTTGTGAACTGACTCTCCGGTCGGCGGCGCTGTAGCTCGTAGGAACTGATTGATTACCAGTGGTTCTCGTCCCTATTTCAGCTATTAAAAAGCGCATACGCAGCGACCTAATACGCAAGAAGCCAAGGCAATCCACCCATATGTGTTGCTTGTCGAGGTATGCTGACAGGTACGTATGCTTGGTCACTCTTTTCGTGTTTTATGGCTCAGAAGAGCGGTCACATCTTTTAAGCTGTGATTACGATACTTCGTCTTAGGAAATGAATCTATTAGCACTAGTAATAAACCATTCCTTGGATGGCTAGCTTCAATGCTTCCGTTTCCGCATCCTGTGGCGAACGCCGATTTACAACATGAAACGACTACGGTCGCATATTTGCCTCGTTTCATCATGGGATTACGGCTTTCAAATGGTCTGAGCTAATCCAATTTTCATGACCGCCCATAACTTCTTGGAGTGCTCGGTCCCGTGCCCACCGCATAAATGGCGCGTCAGACACAGCATCGGCACCGGCTCAGCTGCCGGCCTCCCCGAGCGTATACGATTTTCAAACACTGGCGTCAGAATCTTTCTTGGCTATTTGTAAAGGGCGCCTCCATACTGTTTGAGAGATGCATTTGGGTAGAAGCCGAAGCACCGCTGCGCCCCGAGTGCAAGTTCTTCCTATTGGCTTAGTCGTATTTCCACCACTCAATTGAAATATACCAATACGATTCGCTATATGGTCTGCTGAGCACTGCACCACCTCAGCCTCCGTGTAATTTGACTCTCTTCGTCTGGTCATTTCGGGAATGCTCATGGTATAAAACATCAGTGTTCAAGGTAATTGCTGGGTATCCCTCTTCGTTTCTTCTTTGCCTTCTCGTCAGGGCATTTCTTTATCTTTCTTCGTTCATCATGATATCTTCTTGGTTTGCTTTAGCTCTTCTACCCGCCGTTATGGCGTCGTACAGCTCGACGTACAATGTGACCGTAGGCGCCAATGGCAAGCTCGCCTATGATCCTGAATACGTCTACGCCGAGCCAGGCGATGTTATTACTTTCATCTTGTACGCCTCCTTTTTTCAGGCTCCATTCCATTACGCTAACTATCGCGCAGTAATCCTAAGAATCACACAGTCACCCAATCGTCCTTTGAGGCTCCCTGTGTTCCGCTCTATGGAGGTCTCGACTCTGGATTGTTAGTTTCATAAATGCCTCCACCTTATTCTATTTAATGGCATTTCGTAGTGTTCCAGTTTCTCCAGACGAGAAATACCTACCGACATTCAACGTCAAAGTTGTCGACAAGGACCCTGTTTGGTTCCATTGCGAACAAACCGGGCACTGTGGGTCTGGTATGCACATGAACTTCATTGTATAAGTCCGTATATTTCTGACATTCAATTCCAATAGGTATGGTGTTCGCCATCAATCCTCCTCCCGGTACATTCGACAAGTTCAAGGCACTAGCTAAGGCTACGGGCGTTCCCCTCCCCTCTACCCCTCCAACTATGAGTAAGACTACGGATTATGCTAAGCCGACCTATAGCGCACCTGTTGACCACAAGATCATCGTCGGAGTGGACGGAAAGCTCGCCTATGGACCTCCGAACATCACTGCCGCTATTGGCGATACAGTTACGTTTGAGTTCCACCCCAAGAACCATACAGTCACCCAGAGCAACTTTGCGAACCCATGTGTGCCCTTGAAGACTTCAACTGGGAAGGTCGGGTTCTTCTCTGGATTGTAAGATCCTTTCCTCCTTCCCAGTATAATGGCGTAGTTCCTCACATCGCTGCTACAGTATGCCTGTTGCTGCCAATGAGACGTACTTCCCGACGTTCAAGATTACCGTCAATGACGTAAGTGCGCTGTCTGTCTCGTAACATGCCGTGTTGATGTTCTGCTAGACCAACCCAATCTGGGGCTATTGCAGCCAGACTGTGCCTGTTAGTCACTGCGGATCAGGCATGGTGTTCGCTATTAATGCTGACGAGAATGGACCAAACACCTTCGAGGCGTTCCAGGCACTTGCGATTGCAACGAACAAGACATCCTATTGAAGGGGTTGAGCCTGTTGTGAAATTTTAAACAGACTTATTTTTGCTTTCATATCATTCTTTGGACCTTAAATTATAGATTGTAGCTAGTGTACCTCCTGGAGTAGTCAGATGCTCTGTTCGTATCTCTTTTAGTATCTTGACTGCGGACAAAGTGGAGTCCTACAGCTATGAAATGACCTATATATCTTCTTCGTGCCTCTTTCGATCCGCATAAATAAGCAGCTAAGCGAAACAATTCCCGTTTGCGTCTGAAATACTACAAGGCCCACCCGTTCCCATCCTCAATTGAGGTCAATTGCACATTGTTTATGTACTATCTCAAGGTTCAGTCGAATCATATTCAGATGTATATCATTCACAATTGCCCACGCATGCCTCAAATTTAAACGCGGCGTTCTATGACTCGAAGCCGTTACCTGAGATGGCTTCAAGCCTCAAATATACACCGCAGCAATGATGCTAGCATCCTCTTCTTTCGATCACTACCATAATCAAAGGGGACCGGTCAAACCACACCCCTGAGAATCCCATAAGCGCGGGTAACCGATGCGATTGAATTGAGTCCAGCTAGTGTAGCTGTGCATAAAGGAATTCAGCAAGGGGTTGATGTAAAGAATCAGCCTTACCTGTAAAACAGTTCATGAATCCTCGTTCTCAAGGGCGGTATGTATGTGAGAGACGATCCGAAAAGTGCAGTGTGTTGGCTACTGGTTTGAGGTGAAGTCCGAATTAAGTCGTTCTATTTGAGGATGATGTAGCACGAATGCACCAATCGCAGTCTGTCAACCGGATCCTGATATATCCCTTGAGAATGCAATGTAGCTGCGGGATTATATTTGACGATCATATACGGCATCTTAGGGAGAGTGGTAGGAGATCAAGGCGTATTTTCGTCATAAGAGGATATATCTCACCTATCGATGTCGTATTGGCTTTCCTTTGGCCACAGGTTCTTGCGAAAGTAATGGGTATCGGAAGCCATTTTATATTCTCCTTGTCCTTGCAAGCCTGACTGGGAAAACCCACCACATCGACGGACGCAAAAATGGCGCTCAGATCACCGTGCGGGATCCACACTGCCTCGAAGACGTCATAGCCTGTGCGCCAGATGCTATTGCCGTTTCTTCGCCAGTAGACATCCATTTAGGAAATTTCTCGTCCTACAGTCGTGCCATTTGGTTTCACTTTTTGGAACCACGTCAAGGCAGTCCACACCCTTGATCTGCCTACAGTAACGGATGATGCATAACGGACCCTTAAACCTTTCCGGATCGATTTCGACAACTCAACTAGGAATGCTCGTCACTTGGGCAATGCCTGAGTCTTGAGAACGTTTCGTATCGTAAGGAAGCACATCATGCCGAAAACCGTCCTATTACCGCACACCAAATTCAATAATTTAGCTTCATCATCTCTCTCGAGCGATATCGAGATACATGAGACAATTGCTTAGTTGAGAGATTTCATTTCTAGGGATGGCCAGGCGTAGCTTGGGGATTAATCGATGGACAGGAAAGAAGGATATAGATTAATACGCAGAATTGAAAGCCCGGAATGACAGTAGCAATGTGATCTGGTAGGACGGCGAGAGGTGGTAACCAAACCAGACCAGAGCCCACGACCAACATTGATAGTAACGGCCCTTACTATGCTCAATAACCCTCTTGTAGCAGCTCTATGACCACTTTGTCACTCAGAAACTCGTAGTGGCCTCCCTCGGCGAAAACAACTCGGGCATCCGGGAGACATCGCCTCGTGCCCATATCCGTCCACTCCATTCCGTAAGCAGCACCCTGAGCCGCTACGACCACCGTCACAGGCGCTTTCACCGTCCTCAGCCACTTCACCATCAACTCCATAGACGACGCCCCTTCCTCGTCTGTCGCCAGATCATACACAAACTCGGCAGCCGCAGTGAGATAGGCCCGGATGTTACGGACCGAGCGCCGGACCATATCCAGGTCATTTGCACCGACAGTATCCCACATCCGCTCTTTGCGGTGAGCGTCCCGATCCATCATGGACCTAATGGCAATCATGTTTGCTTCAAGCATTGTTTCGATACTCTCTGGCAGTCTGGGATTAGGGTTCCCGTGCTTGTTGGCTGTGTATACAAACATGGCTGGGAAGTGGTCAAGCATGACAGCCTGAACAATCTCGTCACCGTTGTCTTCGAAAAGCTTCAGAAGAAGGACGAGGAGGACGCTGGTTGACGAGTACGACGCTAAACGATAGGGACCGGTAGGTCTCTCGTCTTTGATCCTGAAGAAATAGAAGGTCGCCATGTCGCGGAGAGAGGTTAAGGGTGTATCCGGTGTGATAGCGAGAGTCCAAACTGCTGTCCGGAACGTGTCTACGTAGGTCGCGTATTCGAAGAAAGATACGTCAGCACCTAGGAAGGGGTCAACTAACGTACAGTGTGTACGATAAGCTTGTGCTTACCAGGGATGATGATCAAAGGCGGTTCGCCGTTCCCGTCTCGTAGCCTCACCACACTCTGACTTTGATCGGAAAATGACTGTTCATGCCGGAGCTCGATGCTTGAGGAAACACTTTGCCGTTCAATGCTCGCATCTTGAGTAGCCGCCGACGTAGCTTGAGCACCCAGCACGAAACCGTAGATGAATGTGCTCAGCGTGGCAACGGAGGGTGAATCGAACACAAAACTGTATGGGAGAGCCCTGATGGCTGTCACAGGGACTGCACCGGACTCGCGAAGTGCACGAAGGATAGAGTTTCGAATGGCCATTGCTGTTAAACTACGTGACAATCTCAGGTACGATGCTAAACAAATGCTGAAAGGGCATACCTGTCGCCTCCTGCTACGAAGATATTATCGGAGTCGCCGATGTCTCGTTCGAAAATGACCCGCACGATATCTCTAATCAAGGCCGTGATGTTTTTCAATGACCACTCTTGAGGAATCACAACGTCGGTGGGGAGCATCTGATCAACAAAATTTCGATCTGTTCCTCATAAGCTTCCAGTATGGCAGTACGCCGCGGGGTTCCCTTCGCCGTGAATTCGAAGGGCTTTGTCGGTTTCGCCACAAGGATCATCTTACATATGATTGATCAAATAGATCTCTGCAACGAATGTGACATACACACCTCCTTGTGTATCCGGGAATGTTGGGGTGCTTGCTCGTTTGCTCTGCTAATGGAGCCCCTGTCAATAAATTGGTTAACAACATCACGAGAGAGAGAGAGCGCACAAAGCCGTACCATATACTTGACCGATATTCCGCCAAACGGATGACATCATCCGGGTCAAAGGCTTCGTCTGGCGTAGGCTGAATGAGGACGCCTGGTTGGAACTTCGAACGGCCGAACATGACGGCTGCGGCAATGCGCTTGTCAGTAATCAGGACTGCTTCTACATTGCATATCGTCAGAAATACTCCATGGGTCTGTCACTTTGCTCACCAATTGGTACAGGATTCGTCTGCAAAATGATTGTAAGTATGACGGAATGAAGATGATGCACATAGGTAAGTATACCTTTTCCTAAAGTGTAGATATCAGGGTTAGTCTCAGACTACGGCGACTAAGAGATAAGAGCATACCCCTGTGCTATGCATTATCTGGTCATCTGGAAGCTAATTGAGATGAGGTCAAACATGCAAAACTGTCGCCTCACCAGCTCGTCCATAGACCTTGAAAAGCGTTCGATTCAAAGGATGTAGCTGCACTAGATCTTTCGTGTCGAAGGCTTTGACTCCATCAATTTCGGTGTCAAGAACCGAAGGGCAATTTAGTTCATTTTCCTAGAAAAAGGCTTGCGCTATTAGTGGAGGAACAATAGATAATACGACTTCAGAGACTCGCCTTGACGTACAAACGATAGATGTCCTCTTCACCTGTCGGGACAAAGCCGACGTCGATATTACTCGGCACCTGCCAGATGGTCCACAACAGCTACGGAGCACTTTGCAGGGTACTCACTCTCATCCACTCCCATCCTTCAGCGGGGATACTCTCTGTTTGACAATCAGGTCAATACCTTATAGGTAACACAGAAGAGCAAACGGCGCCGTACTGGGCAATACCATGGATACTGCAGATTCGGTTCTTTCAGGAATATAAGAGACACGAGTCATCGACAGAGCGCCAACACTCACAGACCAAAGACGGATACTATGAAAATGCCATTCGCGACAAGAGTATCGCCGGCAGTCTTCTCTAGAGGACCCCCGGCGAAGGTCTGCAGCCAATTCAGCATCCATTATCCGGCTACAAGGGAAAACTTACAATCGCAGTTGTCGATTTAAGAGCTTCGATAGTTCGAGAATCTCGAGCCCAGTTCTACACAACTGATTTATCAGTGTGAAGTCGTTCGGTTTTGAAGATAGGTTTTTCGCACTTCCAGAAAAGCAGGAACACTAAAAAGTATGGTGCTTCGGGTATTTATCACGCTTGAAAGAAGCCGTTCGGGTGTCGGTATTATGGGCGGCTCTACGGGCGGGAAGCAAGCAATGATGGCGCCAGTTCCGACCTACGAACGAGCTGTCAGTGCTACCGAATAAAAATTGAAAGAGATGAGCTCACAGAAAGCAAGATAGATGTGAACCCCATTGTGTCTATGGCTAAATTTAGAACCTGTCTCGTCAAGGGTGCCGATGGAAGAGATACTTACGATACATTGGAACCGCCTGGGCTCCTACCACTTCTCCGCATAGATCGACTTCCCCGTAATCTGAATATCACTTAGTTGGAGCTGAGACGGCGATGAGAAACGCGTACGTGGTCGGGTGACATTTTGCAGGAGAATTTTGTGAGTGGTGCAAATAGGACTAGGAAACCGTGTCGTACCCGACGAATGAAGGATGACGGCTGTCTGTGACCATTCAGGACGGATCGGTGCAAGAGGTTGGTATGAGGGCAGCTCGGATGGAAATAAATCGGCGAAGCGTGGCATCGATATCGTGATAATCTTTTCGTCACTTTCCGTGAAATGACAACAGACAATATCGGCAAGCGTCTGCAGGGTAGCATCTCCGCTAACGACGAGATACCTGGAGTTTGTTGACTTCATCAGATGAATGATGGCGGCAACAGAATTACGGGAGGAAATGGGAAAGGGGATTTTGCCGAGGCGCATTAGGGCGACAAGCACCGTAAAGTACGTCATCAAATCTGCTAGACGCTGAGAACTTTAACACCAAAGGGAATACGCAAGCGTACCAGTATTAGCTAGGATACCGACGACAACTGGAAATTCATTGTTAATATGCTCCTTGAAATAATGCCCGGCTACATGAAACGCTGCAACACCCTCCTCCCAGGTAATACCGCGAGATCCGTCATTGTCCAGGCTGTCGTATCGAAATAAGGTGTGCTTAGGACTGTGGAAACCGTTGTAGTCGAATAATTCGGGGACCGTAAGCGATCCATCAAGTGGAGGGGGTTTGAAAGTCGAGGAGGAAACACCTTGGGGAGCTGGCAGCGACATCGTATCCAGACCTTACTGATGGTCGCTCGCTTTTGGTCGAGATCGGAGTTAGAAAAATATTCCCGTGCCATCGCGTTAGCCGACATGATTTCTTACTATCATGCGTCAGTAAAAAGGAAACGGGCAATAAGGATCAGAAGATTCTTACAGATGGGCTTCTAAATCAGAAACACACAGAACTCAGGATATTGGCTGGAAGGAAATTTCCGCATGACTGTATGCGGGTGGTAGAGTGCCAGTCTACGGCGAAGATAAACGGCCATGTGAATTGAACACTGAACGTTAACGTTCGACCAGGTTAAAAATTATCTTTCTGCATGATTATTGATTGTTGGTCCCGTTTATATATAAATATAGCTACGAAATATACCGAAAGTAAGGGTGAGAACGACACGAATACAAGTGGGGCACTCACCTAGGCTCCGTGAAAAGTATACTCCTTCATTGCCCATCGTTCCCGCGCCCACCTTCTACCATAACAGTCCCACATACACAGAAAATCGCTCCCTTATGCCATTTGCGAGGATATTCGAAGGATTGCTGGAAGGGAAGTCGCCCATCGGTGTCGTCGAACATGGTGGTGGTGGTGGTGGTACGCACAAATGGTGGTCGGTAATAAGAGGGAATGCTTATGTAAGGAGCGCGCCTCCCAAAAAGCACTGAGCCCCTAAGTAATGACGCGTCTGCCGGGAAGAAACGGGAGTTCACTTCCCTTCCTTCCATGTGCTCGGTGCTAGCTCTTTCCGTCTTCCCTCGTAAACTGATTGGCTCACCCGGCGCAGGAGACTATTCATTAATATTCATCTCATTTGACAGGGAACTCATCAGTTGCAATACCCGCTCATCTCAGTCATTCCTTCTTATCGCCTACGCTCATTTAAAACCTTTATCCATGTCCTTCATGAAAAGATCTCATCATCGGTAAGTATAGTGTGAGATCCCGAAATGTGTTTGCATCGCTACCGTATACATGGATGCAGTCTAGTGCTTGCAAAGTTGCGGTATCCCGGCTAGATACCTCAAGTGACAAGATGGTGTTGTTAACTTGTTCCATGTAGACGATCAATCGACGATAAAGCGAACTTATAAATATATAATACAGGTACCTTGATTTACCTAACTCTTCATTTACAGGCTAAACTTTGTATAGAAAAAATTGGATGGATGCTATGCACGCACGAGACCCAGCATCCCTTGTTCCATCTTAACATAGAACCCGTTGATGATCTCCGTTCCGAAATTTCTCTTACAGTCGTCCATCAGTTCTAGTGGATTCTTCCCATCGACTTCAGGCTCTGTGCCCTTTGCTCCCATGTTTGCTCCGGCGAGCTTGTCGACAGCACCTGTGTCCGTCCCTTCTGGATCTGCCAGATTACCCTGTCGTTGAGCACCACCTTCTTTTTCCTTCTGTTGGTTAGGCGCAAGGACGCTTTTACAGAAATCCAGCGTGTTCTGAAGCTCCGCTTCCGTGAGATTTTCATCGGCATCCGCGCAACCCTGAATGACTATCAAAAAAAAATAAGCCTCAAAATGCAGGTGATAAAGATGTAAGATTACCAGGTCTAAGAGAATCGATTGCCCTGTCAAAATTGTCTTCTTCGTCCTCGTACAGAACAGCCGTTTGCTGGGCCCGTATCTGCTTATAGATGCCGAGCACAACAAAGAGGAACCTAAAGCCGTTTGAAATGAACAGGTGAACAGACGCGACTTCGTAGAATTCTTACCGTGTATAAGCGGTTTCTACTTTCGAGCTGTGGAACCCGTAGGCCTCAGCTTCTGTACAATTCCCTCTGATGGATGCGGCAATGGTACTCGCTGCAGACAATCCGCCGGTAAGTGCCAGGTGGATACCAGATGAGAAGAATGGGTCAATAAAAGCTAAAGAGTCACGCGTCAGCTTGAAGCGCTTATGTTTGGGAAATTAGATTACCTCCCGCATCCCCAGCGATACGAAAGTGAGAACCAGCATATTCCGACGCATGATAGCTATAGTCACCCGCAGACATAAGCTTCCCTTCAAATTCCGCGTCTCCCAGTAGCTGAATCAGTCCTGGAGCTCGTTGGAGATCTGCCATGTAGCAATCATGCTGTACTTCCGAAAGCGATTTCCCATTCGATTCTGAACGGTACTGGGCTTTCTTGCGCTTGCTCTCGTCTTCCGCCAGAACAACACCAACGCTGGTAGCTCCGTTGTGAAGAGGAATAAACCAAGCCCAACCCGTTTCATCTAGAATGGAAAATAAAAATCACAATTGAGCCGAGCAGATCTTCTACTCGCCAGTCAAAGCCTCAAACCACGGTGCGTTCTCCCTTTTTGTCCCAGGCGCGTAACGTCCAGCACCGGTCCAATATCCCCACACAGCAACGTTCTTAAGAGACTTGTTGAACGACCTATTCTTCAGGTATCTCGTGGACATCAATCCGTTCCTCCCAGAAGCGTCAACAAGCCAATTAAAGGACACATCTCCCTGCGTCCCATCGACTTTGCTCCAAGCCAATGAAACGGGACGAGCAGGCTCGTCAGGAGAAAAATGGATTTTCTCAACTCGGACACCCTCATGCACATGGACGCCCAATTCCGCTGCATGGCGAAGAAGGAGATCGTCAAATTCCGATCGCACCTGTATTTAAACTATTAGGTTGTTTGTTGTTGAGAAAGAAAATAAAGCTTACCACGTTCCAAGCCGCGTTATCTGGGCCGTTAGCGGTGAAATCGGTATCTAGACAGTAAGAAGTCAGCGATTCTGCATATCTTCACTCCATGAGCTAATGTGACTCGCTGATAGTAAATACGCACATCCTTCGCGTTTATCCTGATTGAGTTTGAGCGCAGCACCGGGCTTATCGATATTTAGATAGCGATAACTTAGAAGAGAAGGGAGAAACGCACCTTTGGAAAGAAACCGTAGTTTTTCATCTTCTCCTCAAAGTCGATAAATCTGAGGAACGGACGGCAGGATGGGAGCATGCTCTCTCCTATGTGATAGCGAGGGAAGACATCTTTCTCGAGGAGCGTGACTTCGAAGCCCTCTGGAGGGTTTCTATGAATCTCATAACACGCTGCAAGGGACGGAAAAACAGCTCACCTCTTGCGAGAACGGCGGCAGCATAAGACCCCGCAGGTCCTCCCCCGATCACAGTAATGTTCGTTGACAAAGGCTATAAGCAATATACAACTGCACGAGAGGAATGTAGCGAACTGACTCACCACTTGCGCTTCCATGATGAAATGCAATGATACCACCTGTTGTTCTTCGACGCTTTTTAAGTGAAAGCATACTTCCCAAACGGCTTTGTTTCTTTTTTTGCGTACAAGGTAGTTCCTCACCAGTCTCAGGCAGTAGGGCCTGCATGAGCTCTATCGACTAGTTAGGCTAGGGACTGATACCTCGGTTTCACAAACGGTGTTATTTTATGATTTTGTGGCGTGATCCGTCAATGCGATTGTTTCGAAAAAAAAAGTCATGAGAGCAGGTCCAACGACGTGGGATGATTGAAAACGGAGTTTTTTGGTCGCAACAAGACCATATTAAAGGCGTATAGGGGTGGCTGAGCTTCAACTCTTCCGACAGCGGCTGTGTACTAACGGCTATCGCGGTTATACCGAGCAGATATCAGTACCTGCAATCATAGAAATAGACGCGCAAACGAACATGTATGTGTTGGAGCCCGCAATCACCAAGAAGCCCTGGAAGCAGAGTCAGGTATCGCAAACAGTACGGGAACCTTGTAGTAGCAGGCTTTTGGGAATAGAAAGTGCTTTGGGAGTCGAGCTGGTGGCATGTCTTACACTCTCTGTGCTGAACTGCATTACTTCAACTCCGCGAAAGACAGTCAAACTCCGCCAGCAATGCATCAGATCACCTGTACAGGACTCACGGAAATAAGGAGTACATACACGACGTCTTGAACGTAAGTAACATGATATTTGGCGTTATTAAGTTCATACCCCAGATGAACATATGCGGGCTGTACCAGTGATCATGCCCTGACTGCCTGACTTCTTTTGGCTCCTTCAAAATCTCGATGAAGTCGCCATTGAAGACAACTAAACCAAGCATGAGTCTTTGGAGTAGTGATGTCCGGGCCGGGTCGGGCTGGGCTTTTCGGGCTTGGGCTGGGCTTTTGAGGGTCAGGCAATGGGAATGTGAGCCCGAGCCCTGAGCCCGCCAAAGCCCGCCTCAGGGTCAGGCAAGGGTCGGGCTGGGCTCGGGTATTTTGCTAGGCTTTTGGCATCCACAGGCATGAAATGAGGTGTAGATGTCACCCTCATGGTAAGTTTTGCTGTAAACTGTCATATTGATGCTTGAATCTCACAGATAAACCATACTCACCTTGTACAAAACCAATATCAGGATGCCACAGTCACTCACCAGCCTGACACCAGGGCTTGGGATTTCCATATCTTGAGCCCGAGCCTTGAGCCCGCCAAAGCCCTCCATCAGGGCCAGGCTTTTCAGGGCTGGGCTGGGCTGGGTCAGGTTGGGTCATGGGCTTTAAGCCTGACCCGGACATCACTACTTTGGAGGGAATGGCATGAATGCAGTACTGACAGTATCAACGATCTGGGCAAGCCCGCTTTGGTATTTTTGCCAATGTTATATGAAGTTTGTGATGAACAGTTAATCTAAGAACTCGAGTGCTTGAATGGATAAGATGGAGGAAGACAAGTCCGGTGCATGCACTGCATTTTCTATGAGATGTTTAAGCCCCTGACATGCATCTAACATGTCAGGTATAATGTGGTTTGTTACACATAGCTTGTACCCCCTCATGCAACCTCAAATAGGTGATGTATCCAGGAATATATTGTACAGTGACACATCGCCTGTCAGATGATAGACTCCACACCTTCCCATGGATTAGGGGCCTGACATCAAATGTATTTCTCTCAGAATATATCATTTCCAATGAGATAAATTGATTTTTATACTCGTAATACATGACAGATCCGCACATGAACAGATGTCCCAGATAGTGGTCCCTGTGCTGCTGTCAGAACTCCCACCTCCTGCCTTATCCTGTTTGGGCCATTCCTCCCACCATGCAATCCAATATGATGATCCTCACATACAACATGCCAATAGCTTGCAATGATGAGACGTTCTTTCGACCTTTGGTGGGTCTAGTCGCCCCAAATGACTGGACAAGATACTGCTGTTATAACCCAGCAACCATGGATAGACAGTGGCTATACTGAAACATCAATATAATGATGTCAGCTAAAATTTGGAACTTGAAAGACTCGCCTTTAGTATTCCCTGAAATTTTCATTACATCGAGGAACATGGATATTAATGCTAAACGTCGCCTAAATGTTCAGGACAATCAATATTGCACTTAGACGTTTAAAATGAAGCACGTACCCACCATGAGAAATTAACATCCCACGAAACACTGCAACCTTATCATTATCTCATGGATTCTAACACTGCGGGCTTTCTGGATATCAGCAGAACCTCAGGGGACCAGTCATCTCAGAATGCACAAACCGCAAATGGGACCTTGATGCAGGAGTTACTTGGTGGCATTAATGGCTCTCCTGCAGCTGGAGTCGGAGATGGTATCCATGGCTTTCCTGTCAATACAAACAATGTTAATACCGGAGCATATCAGGTTATGTTATGTCTTACCTGAGAAATGTCCAAGTTTGCTGACAGTCTTGTTTCGATCTTAGCCGTTCATGTCAAGTCTCAATCATGGCAATGCGACTGCCCAGATGCCGTTTTCACCTAGCACCTACTATTCTGTATATGGTATGGGAAATGCCATGCCTAGCGTCATGTTGCCACATGCATCACCTAATACGATGGGAATTCCAACGGTCAGTCCAACTTCGCCAGATAATTGTAGAAAACCACATACTCAACATGTAATAGGTCAATCCCATGGTCGCAACAAGTTTCCCACCCAACATGCCAACATCCATCAAACCAACCAGCCCAGCTACTACATCTGCAACTGATTCGCATGACTGGGCACTTATCTTTAAGGATCCAGCTGTCTCCACTTTGCTTTGGGAAATGATTAAAGAGGGCATCCAGGATGAGCTGGGAAAGATCAAAACCAGTGGTGGAATGGCAACATCCGCACGGAAGCAGCGAGACAGGGACATGGAGGTACACCTGACTATAAAATCTGCAAGGCCTACTGAGCTTATATATATGTGACAGGAGGAGGTACAGACCACTATGCTTGGCCTTCTGGGAATTACGAAAAATGGCCGACAGGCATTTACACTTCCGGATCCTCTTCCCATGGATGCACCATGCCAAGTTGACAAGCATGGCAAGGTATCACACAATCCAGACTGGACAGCGAAGGTCCAGGCACCTGTTAACATTGAGTTTCGGGCCATCGCCACACAACTGATCATGCAAAACAAGAAAGTAAGTCGCAATATTATTATTACGTGGATGTATTAATATGAATGCCTCACCAGTTACCTGACGAGGCCAAGCCGGATATTGAAAACCATATGTGTGGCTATTTTGAACGTCTTAAGGAAGTGTATGCAGTCAGTACCCTTGCATTTATCGTACTGAAGCAGGAATGGCACTGACATCGATCCCATGGTAGCAACAAACCAATGATGATGCACGAAGCAAGGGAAGCAATAGAACAACCAACACCAGGTGCTGCAAGTGGAAGAAAGGAGTGAGTTCTGACAAGTCATAGTCGTTGATATTGTAAATGGAGACTTACAAGATTGATTTTTCTTTAGAAGGCAACCACACTGCGAGAGGCCATACCAAAGCTGAAGGAGAAGTACGGTTCAGCAGTGGATGGAATTGAGCATGCTGTTCTCACAGACTATTTGTCTGAGGAATTGACTGACACGGAAAGCTGTCAGTCTGGATGATCCCAGCATAAGCAGTTAAAAGTCAAAAGACCAGCTTGGTGGAATAAGCATATGAGTAAGAAGCCAATAAGCATGTGAAAAGGAGCATACTGATAATTCCTGTAGCTGGAACGTCTCTACTCAGCATTGCGAAGACTCTCCACTGAAGATGGAGGTTCGCACGTGCATACACGTATTTTCAATGATCAGGATGAGGACATTGATATCCAGCCACCAAACTTCACATATAAGGCATGGGTTAGTAAGTCGTGGTTTCAGTGTGATAGACGTGAGATCATCCTCAAGGACAACACTGAGGATATGCCAATCCTGTCCTTCCATGTTCCCGATGATGATTTAGATGGGGAAGACATTGAATGTTTCGCAGATGATGAAGCAGATGATATAGATTAGATAGACTGTAAAAAAGTGATTCAGCATACAACGACAGTTCAAAGGCAATGATATGCACTTCATGTGCACCTCTAGAAGATTATTAGTAACAGAGATTACATATTAAGAGCAAACACATACTAAAGTCACTGATGTTGCAAGGGTTACCCAATACCTTTGCCCATGAACCACCACGGAAGAACGTACTACATGACATAAGATATCCACTAGACAGATGTATTCCCCAGGATGTTCATTGTCATCTCCAAGATAAACATCTTCTTCCCAGAACTGTATTCTGAGAGAGTCACTGGACAAAGACATTGGCTTAGTGAAAGATGTCAATCACACAGATAAAAGCAGTATTACCTTGTTGACCAGAAAGTATGATCAAGAGAAATGTTGGCTGGCTTGAGCCATCGGACATGGCCTAATGACTGAACCCCAAGCTCCTTCTGCTGCAGCGTTATAATATCAAGAAGTTCTCCAATCCTGATGTCATTATGTTGGGATCCCGTGCAGATAGCCACAAGAGAATTGGCATTGCTGTTAGCATGGGAAAGACTCCAGTAATGCCGCTGTGCTACAATAGCGTAGTCAAAGATAATAGCACGAGGGTCCAAAGGCAAGGACGTAGCATCTCCGAGAGCAAAATAGGATCGCAAATGCAAAGCTGGAAAGCGAGCTTGAAGATGACGCAGTAGACTGTCATAGACATCAATTGGAAGCTTGATTGACCTGGAGTGAGGACTCATCTGTAGAGCGATGTCACCTAGTTCAATCTCAAATCAACAGAAGAAAGATCATCGCAGTCAATAAAGCTGACCATCTTTATAAACCTCATCTGACTCTTGCACCAAGGCTTGCACAGTACCACAGTTGTCAGCAGTTGCTTTGTACATGGATGCAATGCTCTCATGAATGGGCATCTTGACCCCAGCATTGTAACTGTCTTGCATCATCTATGAAGTAATGTCAGGCCTGTTTCACATAGCAAGGAATAACTGACTCACTACACATGACTGCTGTACAGTGCGATGAAACTCCTGGAAGAATGACACCTCCAGCTCACCACCAGAATGATTGCCAGAGTTATATGATTTTGGGACTTTGTTAATCCGCTCAAAGAGAAACGTCCAAAAGCAGTGAAGCGGCCCATAGTCACACATACAAGATGCAGTGTGAGTGGCATAGTGATGGTTTGGCTTGATTACACTGGTGCTGTATAGCTGTTAAAGACATGTTCAGATCAGTGACATTATCCCATCACAACCACGACCACTTACTTGTATCAACTCTAGACCATAATCTCGTAGGAGCCTGTCTGCTTCCTCAATGTCTTTGTCTCGCGTTTTCTGGACTAGAATGAGCCGTAATGCAGTAGAAAGCTTGAAGAAGTTAGCGGGATCTCGAGGGTGAATGTTTGGTAAAATTGAATCCGAGAGGAGATCTTGGCCTTTCTCTCCCAGTCGTATGCACTTCTGTGCCTGGTCACCCTCATATTCATCATCTGATGCATCTTCTATCGCACCAGCATCAGGAATGTCATCAGCATCCTCGGGTTCAGGTGCTGAAATATACTAGAGAGGATGGGATGTAGCAGTCTAAGAAGCGGTAGCAGTGTGGCAACATACCTTCGCCTTTTCTGTTCTTTGGCATTTTCAGGTGGAGGGAGGTCATGTTGCAGCTTGGATGAGTGTAGCCTGCTTTGCCACAAGATCTTTTGCTTTCCGAGCCTCAGCAGCAGCTTTGCGAGCAGCAGCCTTTTGGTCCTCAATTTCCTGAGCCAGATTGTCAATCTGACATGCAAGAACAATATCTGCCTCCACTGGATCTGGACAATACTTGCTCCATATCTGTGGAATCTGGCGACGAGGCAATCACAATGGCTGTATCACAGAGGAGAAGAAGACCATACAATGATGGGACACACTATTGTTGCCGCAATCAGCCATTGATCAGCAGTCAGAGAACCCCCAGCAGGTTCACCCATCATAGCAGGTAGGCGTCCCAGGTAGGCTGGAATGTTGAGCTACATTTCCAACCAGATTAGAGCCAGGAACTTGATAGCGGTTCTCCCTAACCTGGACTAAAATATCATGAAAGTGTCGTAACTCCTTATTCTTGTGAAGAACATTGAGCTGGATCCATATGTTGTAAAAATGTGTCTTAACAAGTCCTGAGGCAATTGACCATCAATGAGCACCTCAGTCAGATGAACCAATGACGTACCAAGTAGCAGATTATGCATTGGGTCAATGACAATCATGCGGCAAACATCAAAGTAAGGCAGCCGTGCGAGCTCACACCACCGTGTTGCGTATGTACTAACAAAAGTCTTCCACTGAGTCTCATTCAGAAGTGCTAGATACTCTTTCATTAGGGTGAACTGCTCTTCATGTGAGCGTGGTTTACAGGCTACAAAAAAGCAATTAAATCCTCAGTCAAAATCTCAATTATCGCAAAGCTTACCATCACTCTGAAATGCAGCTGCAGTTTGCTTCTCAGATAAGGATATCCAGCAATGGTGACAAAAATTGGTATGACTATGCGATCCAAAGCCACCGAGCTTATGTGCTGCTGGTTTGTCACAGATGACACCAACTAGAACAACCCGAACACGCCGTTGACACACGTGCAACGCGTTCACACATGTAATTTTGCGAATTCTAGGAATGCAAACATGTGTGTGCCCTGTGAATAATATTAGAGTGTATGTAAGGCATAGAGCGCTACACACTGAGGCAGAAAGCACTATAATAAAAATAATATGAGTAGAGCGCATGGCTTAGACTTAGAACGGCACACTTGTGTCATTTAAGTGTGCAGTCTCAGTGCTTATACACACACACTGTGCCCTCCTCTGCAGTGTATCACTCAATTAAATTCACTGAAGATAATATATTGAAGGTGCTTCATGCTACATTGATCTATGATGCGCAAACCCTGCCGATCCAGCAATCACCGAGAAACATCATCCTGAATGAAGAATCAACAAGTCTGGATACTCTAAGGAGTTCTCAGCTGGAGAGAAATAAAACCCGCTGCCCATATGAAATATTAAACTAGAAATGGTTGTGTGGCAACCAATAAAATAAAACTCGCTCACTAGATAAGTTGCGTGGCACTGTAATTAAATCCGCAGAGCCAATAAGACACATGCCACATGGCATGATGAGGCTAGGCCTTGCCAAGTGGAGAAAACAGCGGTAGCACGCATGCCAACACGGAGTGCTGAGTAAAATAATGATTACTATCACTATGGCTGATGCGGCATGCAAGAGAAGGGAGTCCGAGGTGGAGCGTTGTCTATTTTCAGTATTTACAGGTAGTTAGCAAGTTTTCAGACCCCCGCAGTTGTACTATGAAGCAGCACACTTAGTGTATGATGAAAGGATTTTATTTGAAGCATTGAGCGAGAGAGTATTATTGAACTTAGAATTATTTTGAACACTTTGAGAGCTCGTGAGGCATGCCTTGCTCAAGTGCGCTTGATTTGTTCAAGTAAAGTACAGTAATTGATTGCGCTCTACTTAGAGAATATTGTATTGTGATAACTTGAATGTGCATTTGTGTTTTTTCTGGAACTTGTTTGTGAATTCTGAGTTATTGCAAGTGGCAGAGGTTCGAACCCTTTGGATTGTCAGTAATCTCTGAGGTTTTTTTGGTTTATTCCCAAGTGGCATAGGTTCAAACCCTGTGGCTTGTGGACATGTTTTCTGTGTTTGTGTATCTCTGGATCGCATAGGTTAGAACCCTGTGGATCTATGAATGGGTTTTGAAGTGTTTTCTGCTTGGAGTGCAAGGCTTTAAGTTGTGTTAAGTGTATTGTGAAATGTTGTGGACACTTGTGTGTTGTGCGTGACGTATTTTGAGGGTTATATGTTCTTGTAGAACATTTGGGGGCTTGCGAAATAATACTTTTGCCTTGAGGCCAAGCGATTCTGTCGCTCACCTCCTGTTCCAAAAGCATTTGGACTTAGAAGATTATTATATTGCTAAGCGTGCTATATTATATTGTAATGTGCGAGGATTCTTTCAATACTACTGCTATTGTGTGCTTGTATTGCACATCACCCCCGAACTACTGAGGGTTTGTGTGTGTGTGAGTGTGAGTGTGGGTGTGTTAGTGTTATATATGCTAGTGCATTTCTAGCTTGGTGCGCACAGAGCCTCTTCACCGTCCTTCAGGATATTTCTCGGTTGGAACCACAAAACCATCCTCGTACAGATGAATGAGCTCATTCACGAAGACCCACATGAAACATTGGATTTGGTCACTGGTCTGCTCCTTGGGACCTGGGGTAATGCCGGAGAGCAGAAGATTTGAAGTGCGATATCTATACCATGGCATGAGAAGAATAACAATGTGAGCAACTGGTACATACCATAACCAATCTGGCAGGTTGATGATGTTAAATGACATAGGCCCTGAGGAGTGGGAGGGCACAATCAAACTCCGAAGATATGAAAACCTGTGAGCACATAAATGCTCAGTATGCTTCTCAAAGGACCACAGAACGTAATATTACCAATCCATGCTGAGAGTGAGACCAATCTGCAATTCTGTATCATCTGTGAGTCGAGGATTCTCAAAGAAAAGCCATCCATCTTGACCCTTCAGCTCCTGGCAAATAGCCCCATCAAAATTATCAATATATTCACCAGGCTGTCGTGGTTTGCCCCTCCATGCCTCAAGAATGTCCTCCATTCCCTGCACTGCAATTATGTCATGTAGCTGTGCCTCGATTGATTTCATAGGGAACTGAAGCCATGCTCTGCTCTTCTCGCTGCCAGCCGCAGCTGAGCAGGAATCACGACTCTGGGTGAACTTGAAGATGGATGAGTGACAACGTATGCAAGCTTGATCGTGTGTCGTCGATGCCAGGTAGACCTCCATGCATTCAGGGCAGACGGGAAGCACTTGAAACACAGGTTCAATGCCAAGATGGTTCGTGATTGAAGGTAATGTATGGTAGGCTTCTGAGGTATCTATTGTAGAGGATGCCAGCGTGATAATGTGAAAGCAGGTTACCAATGCAGCAGTGCATGCCAGAAACGGCAGGTGAAAATGAGTGTGTAGCCAAGAAATCAGAATGTAAAGAAGTCATATGGCTGGATGTTGGTGAATAGGATTGGATGAATGCGAGCGAACATCCCATGCTAAATCTGCTGGTGATTGATAGAAGGGATCTGGGGTGTTTTCGATGTGCAGAGGGTCGGTATGAAAGGGTTCAGCATCATGGTGTTCAATAGCTGTGGCAACCGTAGGGATTTCAGGAACCGATGCAGTGGCAGGCAGCTCAAGTGGCACCAACTCTTCAATATCATCATCCAATTCAGGCTCCGGGTCATCCCAATCATCACTGGTGATAGGATCATCGAGATTTAGCCTTGTCATGGCCTTCTCCATGATAACTCGTCCTCGTTCTTCAGCCTCAAGCTGTGTCTCTGAGGGACGATGAAACTCTGAGGAAGTTGAAGCGGGGGTGCACAGATCGTTCATGGCAGCAGCTGTACCCTCGGGACTAGAGGTAGGTATGCTGGCCAGGGTACCCGCTCCAGGCCCAGTAGCAGGAGGAGCTGGAAGATGCGGAAGAAATTCAAAGGTGAAATCAAAATCTGGGGCTGAGCACCGCCAAATCAGTAACACAATCACAAAGGTGCATAGTACCCACCTCTATGAGAGTCTGCCATCATTGAAGTCTCCATCCCTGCTCTGTCTAGACCATGGGGTTCAGCTGGATCAGGAGTGTCTCACAGATGGTTTGCTGTATATATGCGAAATCCCACACTGCCAGTCCTTGGGTCTTGAACCGGAATGTTGGAGATGGGAAAAAGAGGTAACCGTGATGGGGCATTGGGCATAGAATGCTGCTTAGTGGGCGCTGGTAATGGCAAACGAGGAGTGGTTGGTCTCCGAGACGCTGCATGAAGGATGGTGGCAGCATGGTTCTTCTTCATCTGGGGTGGTACTCCCTTTCCTTTGCAAGCAGAGCAAGGGCATGACACAAGCTTTGGTGGCATCGTAGAAGTAAAGAAAGGAGGTTAGTTGAATAAATTCCATGGTCAAATCAGGCAAATGAGCTCAAGGAGCAATGAATAAATATGTGACATGTCAGAGGCAGGACATACCTGAATCACACTCCTGTCCAAAAAATGGATTACAGTTCGTTCACAACTCTCCCACCCTCCAAGAAATGATAAGAGTACTGAATATTGTCATCCAAACTAGCACTGGTAGCTACTATTGTCCTTAATAATGATGTCAAAAGGCCACCTATATCAACATCTGCCCATAGAGCTCAACTTCTAATTGCCTCGAATGGGCAAACTATTTTCTACAGCACCATGCGAATGTAAAAAATGTCCAGCATGCATAATTTGATGAGCATGACTACGAGAATTGGTTGGAACGGTATGTTGATGAGAAGAAGTCCCGAATGCAATGGTCTGTGCATAAGAGACACGCTAATAGTAGATTAGTATATGTCACAGAAGAATATGAGGTAGGCAACATACCAATAGTGCCATGCACTATTGCATCAGGTGATGAGCAATACGAGCATTATCAGTGGTAAGCGAGAGACTGGCAACCACTTCCACAATGTGTGCATGTGGCTGCCAGAAGTGGTGTGCACTGGAACCAAGCTGCAAAACCCATTTGGGGGCTTCTATCTCGGAGTCTTCGCCAGTGTAGGTATCCAAGATGACGGCCGGGCTGGTGACGTATGGGAGAAGCCTCATGCTAGTTGGCGTCAGCAGATGGACAGTAAGAATGAGGGAATAGACAGATGGATCTTGAAAAGGACCGTGAATGGCACCCTGTGGTATAGGGGATTAGTACAGCAAGGTCGTGTAGCATTGGAAGCAGTACTCACCGGCTGCAGAATTGAACGAATACAGCACTCAACATAATCGATGTTCAACACATCCCCAAAGACAGATGCATCCATAGTCAATACTGGAGGGGCAATGGCATTGCCTCCCAGTTGTGCAAAAACCCACAGATCAATGGCACTGGGCAAACCCAGGACATCCCGTCAAAAAGCTTCTCGACGCCAAGCCTCATCCTGTCCACGACGCCTAGGGGCTCCTCATGGGAACCGGTGGGAGCATGTTGGTGTGAATCTCAGTCGTAGATGCCAGGGAGCTGGTGATGAAGAATCATCAGAATCTGAGCAAGATATTAGATGGTTCAACAGATACTGGTTGAAAAAGCGCACCTTAGGACCAAGCTATGCCCAAGCCCTGTGCTCCATAAGCCACAGACATGTTCACCAGGAGAACACTTGAGGTAAAGAAGTATGCAAGGTGTTCAGGAGAAAAAGCAATGATGTGTTCAATGGGAAAGAAGCAGAGAGCTGTTTCGGTTCAGAACACGTAATGATTTCATTGCCTGATCGGTCATCTCTCAAGGGACTCTGACATGTGTGTAATACCTCGGTGTCCAGCCGAGTACATCTCTTACACATAGGTATTTTGACATGTCATGTAGCCATAGAAGTGGCAGAAAACGCAGTGATGGCGGTAAAGCAAGGGAGAAGTCCAATTATCCCACATCAATGTGTGCACTGGGATACATGTATGTGACAAGGGCACTAGCTTGGTGGTCGTACTGGTGAGTCATAGTGAGACATGAAGAATGCACCTAGGAAAATTGTGCGATGCAGTATACTCTACAGGTCATCCCCAAGGAGATTCGAAAAGCATCAAATTTCGGCCATACGTAGATGGGGTGCCACTTCAAATCTTTTGGAAGAAAAAGGAGACAAGGGCTCAACTGCAGCTCATAGTTTCTTTTCCATATGATATTGATGGCCCTCAATGCTATCATCATGGTTTTGGATTCAGGGGAACAACATTGAGTGAGATAGGATTGAATTCATGTCGAATATGATGCTATGCCATTGACAGAGAGAGACGCCAATAAGGACCTTGAACATCAGAAGGCACCGCTTTCGATTGGGATCCCAAATTGTATGCTATTCCGAGTCCTATGAATATAGGTAATCAGTCATTATGCAGTTGGGAAAGGCCCATGGGAAAATCCATTTGTGAAATCAATTGGTCTCGGTGATTGCCGGCTATCTGGCTCAGTGGGTCTGTGTTCCCCATGGGATTTTTCTATTCATGCACGGCATTTGCTGATCATCCATCTCCTGGGTCTGGGTTCATCCTGTAGGATTTTTTCTATTCGTGCACAGTCTTTGCTGGGCTATACCTGTTTTTCTTGACTGCCCCGTCTCCTCCACACTTGCCATCATTGTGTTTCTGTTTTTCTGGCCTCTTTCTATTTTTTCTTTGTTATTACTTTTCCTGCTTTTTTCAATTATTGCTCTTGCTTCAGTTCGTGGTTGGGTGATCATGGCATAGGGTGCTCCATCGATCTCGGTGCGCACATTTGATTTGTTAGCTCGATGAGAGGACTAATGAAAGACCACTAGCCAAAGGGTGAGTTCCTTCCAAGTCCCTGGTTCAATGCCATTGAATAGTATGTGCACAGTGGGTTGGAAATGGTTGTGTTGAGAAACAAACTGGGATGCAGACATACCTGGGTCAGTATGCTTCATCTCTGGGGAGGGCTCTTTCGATGACATGAACATGTGTAAGGATCTAACTGGGAAGTTGGCTAATGCCTTCATGTACCGATGTTTTCCAGAATCAGTGTGATAAAAATAGGACTCGGTTTTGCCACCGGATGAGCTGGCCCTCACCCAACTAGTATGAAGGAGATGTCAAAAAGATGGACACCTGATTAATGAAGCATCAGGTCAAGAATCTGATGGTCTCCCACCAAGAGGCTTTCAGAACACTGGTGTGAAATGAAGACTAAAGAAGGGTCATTGTTGGAATTATTGCAGTGGGAGGCTTGCAGTAGGAATAATACCTAATTGTTAGCTACTAGAGCTCCTAATGAGCTCCTTATATACTATAAAAAGTATCTAGAATATTCTACCAAAAGTACTAAATATATCTAAGTATCGTGACAAATGAGTAAGCCGAAGCTTCAGGAATCTTCTAGTACAAGCTTGAAGTTGCAAATCCCAACAGTCATTTTCATAGAGACAGCACTGTGACAACAGTACTAGCATACATAATAGAAAATATGGTGATTAATTCATGTGGAAGTTTCCGGTTAGTGATGGCAGTGTTCTGTCCTTGGCAAAGATCAAGCTCATTGGGAGCTTCGCTGAAAAGGGTTGACTGCACGCTTGAGAGCTTTGTGAAGTTCTAAAGCATGCCAGCTAATCACCACAGTGAGAAAAACAAGAGAAAACAATGGCAAACCCACGCATATAGTGATGGGTCTGGAACAATTTCTTCCAATTGGCTTTCATCTTGAATGCTTCAACACTGGAATAAGGGAGCTGGGCCAGCGAAAAACTATTATTATCAGGAAAGCTCTAAACGGTAGTCGCACGCACCACGTGATTTGGCATAACACTGATGCGTCATCAGTTTTCCCATCTTCCTCTCACCATTGTGCATCATGCTTCAAGGCCATCTTCATCTGTGATCTCAAAAATCCCTTGTCGAACAAAGATGCCACGACAGCACTCATAAATACAATCAAAATGAAAAATCCCGCATCCATTGCATTTCTGATCGGGTCTCGAACCCACTTGAACCCAGATCTTATGGTCAGGTTGATACCATGAGACTACCAGAAGGCACAACAGTTGACACCACGAATATACTAATACTAATAGTAAGGTGACTCATCAGCCGAAAAGGATTGCAGACCATGATGGATTCTCAGACCTGGGATTGATCTCTCTGTGTCACCCACCAGGACCAATCTAAGGACAGTGTGACATGGCTGGACTCTGAACACAGTCAGTAAGGAAGAAATACACATTTATACGACACCTGACCGGGAGGATTCATCCATGGGCAATGCTCCAGTTGCATACAAGGGTTGGATATGAGGATTCTGCAAACAAACTTTAGGTCCGGATGCATCACTGTCACCTGGATGGATGGCGTACTTGCACTTGAAGAAGTTGTCTGGCTGGTGACATCTCATGCTCATGCTCTGACTGAGACTAAGAGTGCGTTATACACTACGAGAGAGCATCATATGCATTAATCACGGTACACAGGTCATTTCGTCACATACAGCAATATATCGTTAATGTCCAAATTGTCGTCACAGCGTTTTTGCCTGATATATCCCTGAATAGGGGCTTCTGGAGAGCAGGCATCATTTGGTAGGAAAGGTTGGAATGTGGGTTCTTCGCCTTTCAGGGTGACGAGCACCCACGATGATGTATAGGCATCCAAGGATTCGCTAGGGAAGGGATAGGGTGCAGCAGAGTTGCATACATCAAGTTCTCCAAATATCTGTTCTTCTTTCTCCCTGCTCTTCCACTTCCTCCCCCCTAGCCATCAGGCGGTTTCAAAATTGGAGGGGCTGATCAAAGCCGATTTTATAGGGAAATGCAACAAGAGCAGGCCAAAGAGAACACAGCAAGCTCCCATCCACTCCACATGCCATTGATGTAAAACGACGTCACACCTTCTGGTCTAGTGAGAAAAGTGGCTTAAAATCAATGCTCCGTATGCGGGAGTCCACTGGTACCATGGTATACACAGGAAGGAAGGAAGTTGGTCCTCGCATAGTTCTGCATTCTTCAATGGCTCAGTAAGGAGCTCGCTGGTCGTGAGCAGAGGGGAAGAGCGAGCTGAAAAGAGTGCACTGTGCTACATAGCTTTGTGGGGATCTGAGGCAACGCCAGTGAGAAAAAAGGTGAGAAAGCAATGGCAAAGCCATGCACCACAAAGCTCAGAGGGTAACGATGATGCCGAGCTTGTGTAGGTGTCCGAATACTGTTCCTTGCTTCCTGCTCCTTTCAGCAGAAAAAGTTGTAGAGTCTGGAGGGCCAAACAAAGATGACTTTATGAGGAGGGGCAAAACTTACGAGCAGGATAAAAAACACATACAGTACACAGAGAGACTCTCTTCCAGTCCGTGGGATGGAACGTCTCTCCCCCACACATGTAGAGTTTTGCGCCGTCAACATTAAATGGTGTGATCGCGACTTTCATTTTGTCCGATCTCCAGAAAGGAATACTGTTGTGGTAAAAACGAGAAGGAAGTTGATACATCGATAGTCCTTCCAGTTAATTTCATCTGGTCAGGAAGGTACCCACTTGTCCGTCTAGGTGTATTGGTCATGATGCATAAACCAAAAACCAAAGCACCCGAAAAAGGATGTTGAACAGAAAGGCTGAACTGTTGTCTAGATGATGAAGTCACGTTCATGGCGTCATTGAGAGCCTCGAGGAACAATGCGCCTGAAGATCATGTGTCGTCATGACGTCCTGGGTGAGTGGGAAATGTTGATGTTCGAAAAGTCAAGCTCTCCTGACCTGCGCGCCTCCCAGAAACCTTTTCACCCAAGCGGATGATTTGAGGTGAGAGAGGTCAAGTCATTCGTTCTTCACCTTCAGTCTTCGTCTTGCAGAGAGCTGGACACACAATGACCATCATCGAGAGGACGGGTGTGGTACTTGTATTTGAGGCCTTCATCCAGCAAAGCACCTGGTGTTATTTCATGCCTCGACTGCCTGTACTACGGGATATGAGCATGAATCGAGGTACCTAGGTCATTCGCCACATACCATAGTGTATCATCCATGCCATCCAAACCGTCTTCACCTGGATGTCAACTCGCCATCTTTCTCCCTGCCCTTCCGGTCTCTCCCTCCCCTCTATCCTAAGCGTAAGCCAGCCGTCAGGCTGTTTTAAAGTTGGAGGGACTGATCAAAGGTGTTTTCATGAGGAAGGACAATAAGACTGGACTGAAGAAAACACACATGAAGCTCTCATCCAGTCCACAGGCAGAAACGTGTGCTGCCAAAGAAAATGGTGTCATGCCATGGTGGTAGAGACAGGAAGGAAGGAAGTTGGGCCTCACATACTTCAATGATTCAGTAAGGTGCTCACTGG